CATATGATCTCGCAGATGATCTCGATGTCGCAAGCGTGCGATTCGAGATCGTGAAAGCTGCAACTATGGACGCCGCGGCCGCGGTGGACGCCATGCTCGCCGTCGCCGAGTGCTGGGCGGCCAGCGACGACGTGCGCGTACGAAACAACGGCGCCGTGCTGCGCGCCGTCGTCGACGCGCGCGACCGCGACGAGGCCGTGCCCGCCTGGACGGACCCCTACGGCCAGCGCGTCGCGCCGCCGCCGGGCCTCGACGCGAAGCTCCGGGAGCCCGCGGTTGACGCGGCGGCCGGACGCGTCGCCAGCGCTTTATCCCGCTGCGACCTCGCGGCGCTGCCGTGGAAGGAGCCCAAGGGCCTGTCGCCGAGCTACGCGAAGATCCTGGGGCCCGGCGCGATGCGGAGCGCCATGCTCGTCGGCGACCGCCGGCACGGCGCCATCGTCGAGAGCGCGAAGATCTTCGCGGGGCTCATGTGGATGCGGCGCGGGTCGTCGTATCCGCCGCACTGCCACGACGCCTCGGAGCTCTTCATGGTCGTGTTAGGGAGGGCGACGTCAATGTGGTCCGTGCAACCGGACGTCTCGGAGCCCGGCGCCTTCGCCGTGCCGCGCTGCGGCTACCTGCACCACCCGAGCGGCACGCCCCACGCGGTCCGCACGGGCGCGGACGAGGACATGCTCTGCGTCTACTTCTGGAGCGGCGACCTCTACGGCCGCTACTGGTTCTGCGCCGACGGCGAGCCCACGGACCGCTCGGGCTTTGATAATGCCTCGTAATGCTTGTTGAACCCACCTTGTACTTCACCTTGCCGTCGAGGGCTCGAGCCATGAGCATGTCTAGCTCTAGCTCGCGCGCGGCAATTTGCATGGCACCTCTGCGCCTCGCGCTCGTCGTCGCGCTCATCCTGCCGCGCACAGACGGCTTTGACCCGGCGATCCTGGACGCGCGCTTCGCGCTGGCCGCCGCGCCGGTCGCCGCCGCCGCCGCCGCGGGGCTCCTGCTGTCGGCGCTCGACGAGGACGGCGCGCCGTCGGACTGGGACTCGTCGGACCCCGGGCGGTGGACGCGCGTCTACGACGAGTGGGCCCTCGGGCCGGCGACGGCGCTGGGCGCGGACGGCGCGACGCGCGTCGAGGCGCGCGGCGGCGGCGCGTGGCGCGTGCTAATGAGACACGGGAGCGTGCAGAGCGCGACGGCCTGGGACGCGGCGGCGGGCGCGCCGCGGCACGGCGTCGTCGCCAACGAGTACGTCAAAGTCATGGCGTCCGCGGCCGTCGGGGCCCTGGGCCGCGCGCCGGCGAGCGCGCTCTTTCTCGGCCTCGGCGCGGGCACGCTGCCCATGCTCCTGCGCGAGGGCGCGGACAAACCGCGCTGCGTCGCCGTCGAGCTCGACGCATCCGCGGCGGCTTTGGCAGAGGCGCACCTCGGCCTCAACGGCGTCGACGTCGTCCTGGGCGACGCCGCGGCGCATCGGGAACTCGCGCCGGGCGCGTACGATCTGGTCGCGCTCGACGTCTACGACGACGACAACCGCGTCCCCGCGGCCTTCGCGACGGTCGCCTTCGCGGCGGGCGTCAGAGACGCCCTCGCCGACGGCGGGGCCTTCGTCGCCAACTTCCACGTCGGCGGCGGCGAGGACGCGATTTTAGCCGAGGCCGCGGCGAACTTCGGCGCCGTCTTCCCGGACCTGGCCCGGGTCGACGTCCGCTACCAGGGCAACTGCGTCCTCCTCGCGACGCGAAACGCGGCCGCGCCCGACGCGGCCGCGCTCGCGTCGAACGCCGAGCGCGTCGCGCGCGCGAAGGGGTGGGCCTTCGACCCGCGGAGCCGGCTCCGACGGCTCCGGCGGGCGTAAGGATGACAGTGCCGCTTATCCAGGGGGTGATCGCCACGCGCTCCGCCGCCTCCGGCGGCTCCGGCGGGCGTAAGCTCGACCGTCGCTAGACCCCTTCCGCGCGGCGATCGCGTCCATCAACCCGCCGCTAGGACCCCTTACCGCGCCCCCGCGCGGCGATGGCGTCCATCAGCCCGCCGCCGCCGCGCGCGCGGCCGCCCTTGGCGCCGCGGCCGCGCGCGGCGATGGCGCCCATGAGCCCGCCGGCGGCGCCGCCGCGCGCGCGGCCCTTGCCGCGGCCGCCGAGGGCGTCGAGGAGGCCGCCGCGGCCGCCGCCCTTGGCGCCGCGGCCCGCGAGCGCGGCCATGAGCCCGCCGCTCATCTTGCCGCCCTTGCCGCCGCCGCCGGCCGCCGCGGCCTCGGCCTCGGCCTTGCGCTTCCGTTCCTCGTCGGCCTTGCGCTTCGCCTCGCGCTCCGCGCGCATCTTCGCCTTGGGGTCGACGTAGTCGAGCTCCGCGGCGACGGCGGCCTTCCACGCGGGCGCGTCCGCGGCCGCGAAGGCCAGCTTCAGCGCGCCCGCGGCGAGCTCGAAGCCGCCGTCGCACTCCCCCAGCGCCGCGTCGGAGCGCCGCCCGCGCACGGGCACGGCGAACGCCGGCGGCTTCGCGAGCTTGAGGTCCGACTCCTTGTCGTAGGCGCGGAGCTCGCCGTTGACCAACACGAGGAACGTCTGGCGGGGCTCGAGCGTTTCGCCGTCGCCGAGCGTCCCCGACGCGGCGACGTCCCCCGCCTTGACCGGCGCCTCGTCGCGGGGCTTCTCCCTGGGCTTGACGGACGCGTCGACCTTGATGACGGGCTTCTCCTGGGCCGCGTAGGGGTTGCTCTTCATGATGCCCGCGCGCACGAGCGGCGCGTCCGGGTCGAAGTAGCGCTTGTCCCGCTCCAGGTCCTTGTAGCCCGGGTTCCGCGCCTCGTTGCGCGACAACCGGCCCTGGCCCTCCTTCGTGACGAGCTCCATGAGCTTCGTGCGGAAGTTGGCCTTCCATTGGGCCTTCTTGCCGTCGCCGTCGTTGTCGAAGACGTCCGGCAGCGACGCCCAGACGCCGCGCATCTCGACGATGTCGAGGCCCTGGTTGTTGTACTTGGAGAGGAGGTCGGCGATGTGGAGCTTCGCCGTGTCCTCCGGGTGGAAGCGCACGAGCCACGTCGCCTTCTTCGTCCACAGTCGTCGCACGACGCCCGGCGGCAACCCGCTGTCGCCCAAATCCGCGAGCGACGCGGACCGCACGTCCGGCGGCACGAGGCAGCGCATGGCGTTCTGGGCGGCCTCGTTCGCGGGCCTCGTGTCCTTGACCCACTGCTCGGCCTTGGCCGCCTCCTCCTTCTCGTAGTCCGGGTGCATGCGGATGATCTGGTCGTACTTCTCGACGTCCTTCTCCGCGTCCATGTCGCCGTCCATGAGGCGCTTCACGGCCGCGTTCATCTTCTCGCGCGCCTCGGCGAGGGGCACGAGCTCGACGGCCTGGACGCCCGCGGCGTTGAGCTGCTTCTTGAGGAGCGCGATCTGCTGCTGCAGCGACGTGACCTTGTCGTCGCCGTCGCCGGCCGCGTTCTCCTTGCCGAGCCCCGAGAGGCTCCGGCGCCGCTCGGACGACGTCGACAGGTTGCGCCGCGCGACCTCCATGGACTTGTCGAAGGAGTTCGACGGCCGCCGGACGAACTTTTTGCGCGTCGGCGTCGACGGCGACCGCGGCTCCGCGGGGGCCCCGTCGACGGCCGCGGCGCGCGGCCGCGGCGCCGCGCCGGTGCCCGCGGGGCGGAAGATCTGGTTCACCAGTTCGTCGTCCGTGAGCTCCGGCGCGTCGGGGGCGAGGTAGGCCGCGAGGCCCGCCTCGTCGAGCTCCTCGGTCTTCGCTACGAGCTTCGGCGCCTTCGCGAGCACGTCCCGCAGGTTGTGGAGCGCGGACCGCAGGTCCGCGTTGTACCAGGCGTCGCCGACCCGCGTCTCGCGCTCCCGCATCTCGATGCCCTCGTCCGACTTGGCGCGCACGTCGCGGTCGACCCAGGACTTGACCTCGCGCGCGTCGCGCGGGCTCGTCGGCGCGAGCCGCGCCTCGAGGACGCCGTCGAACTTGGCCGAGAGGGCGGCCTCGTTGAAGTCGCGCCAGCGCTCCACGGCGCGGTAGAGGCGCACGCGGTGCCAGCGCGTGAGCGCGCCCTTGGCGAGCTGGAGCCGGCCCATGGCCCGCCGGATGTCCGCGGCGACGCGCTCGTCGCCGACGCTGTCCTCGAGCGCGCCCGCGTCCCGGAGCAGGTCGTCGACGCGCACGCCGCCGAGGTTCGCCACGGACGCGCGCACGCGCGGCGTCGCCGGGTCGGGCGCGCCCGGCTCCGCGTCGCCCGCGTGGCCGTGGAGCGGGTTGCCCCCCACGGCGAAGGCGCCGTCGTCCTCCTCCAAGCCCGCGCGCTCCTCCTCGATCTTGTCCAGGAGCGCCCGGCCCTTTTTTTCGCCGATCTCGCCCCGCGTCATGCGCTCGGCGACGATCTCCGACGCGGGCCGCGCGACCGCGCGGACGTCCTCGACGGCGACCGCGGCCTCGAGCTCCGCGCGCTCGCGCTCGAGCCGCGCGGCGCGGATCAGGTCGTACTCGCCGTGGAACACGCGCAGGCACCGCACCTTGCAGAGCGCGCGGCGCCAGATTCGTCGCGCGCGCCGCCGCCGCTTGCCCCGCCCGAAGGTCACGTAGTAGCGGTACCGCGCCTGCACGAAGCGCGCGACGCGGGCCACGGACGCGCGGCTCCGCCACGCGTCCAGGAGCGCGCGCGCGGTTGTTACTTTCGCCAGGGCGGACCGCCAGCGCCGCCGGGAGGCGAAGTAGCGGAGCCGCCCCGCGAAGGCCAGGCCGTCGGGCGACCCGAGGTCCACGGCGTAGAGCCGGTCCAATAGAGCGATGGCGCCCGTGCGGAAGAAGACCTTGGATCTGCCCATGCGGTAGCACGCCGGCGGGATGGACAGCGCCCAGAGCACGGCCGCCGTGAAGCCGCGCGCGTCCAAGCTCGCGAGCGCGTCGAAGCCCGCGGCCTCTCGTTCCAGCTTCGCCGCGGGCTCGCGGTACTTGGCCTCGATGGCCTCGAAGTTGACGCGCGTCGGCATGCCGCACCGGAGCACGTCGCAGGTCTGGGGGATGCCCTGGGCCCGGAGCTGCGACGCGACGCACGCGCGGTCGAAGACGCCGACGGCCATCTTGTGGTTCGGTTTTAAACAACGGACGAAGCTGCACGTCGTGCTGTCGAGGAGACCGCAGAGCTCGCGCATCTGCGTCGCAAAATTCCGCGACAGCGAGTCGTCGCCCGCGCGGTCCGGCGCGCGGCCGTAGGCCGCCAAGCCCCGGAACGCCGCGGACGCCTCCAGCAACTCCCCCAGACCCTCGGGGACCTTGTTCGAGTTCTTCGACACGAAGCGGCCCGTCGTGTAGGCCACGGCCCCGGCGTAGTGCGCGACGACGAACGTGTCCTTGACGTCCTTCTTGTGGGGCGCCGCGAAGCAGGTCTTGCCCGCCAAAGCCTCGTGCAGGTCGCGGCAGAAGGCGCCGTCGCTCCGGCTCTGCTTCGACGCGTCGTCGAGGATCGAGAAGACGCTCGGGGGCCTCCGCGCGGCGATGAGCTCGACGCAGGCCTCCGTGTCGTCGGGCGCGGCGACGGTCTCCTCGACGACGATGCCCTCGAAGGCGTAGACGTCCCGCTCGGCGACGAGCACGGCCTTGTTGAACGTCGCCTGCAGCGACTCGTTCGCAAAGTTGATGAGCAGCTGCTCGAGGTCGTTGCGCGCGAACGCCTCGAAGCCGAAGATGTCGAGCACGCCGATGAAGTCGAGGGCCGCGTCCGTCGCCGCGGTCATGGACGCGCCGAGCGCCGCGACGACGGCGTCGAAGCACCGCGCGTAGACGTCCTTCGCGACCGCGTCGCGCGCGAGCGCCGCGGCCTCCGCGTCGCGCTCCTTGACGTAGAAGGACTGGGACCGGCCCCGCGTCGACGGCGCCGCGATCGTGCGCCGCACGAGCAGCGCCTCGAGCGCGTCGGCGGCGACGTCGCCGCCGAGGCAGTGGACCGCGGCGTTGAGCGCGGGCCGCGCCGCGTGATCGCGCGACGACACGGCCGACGCGCGGTCGCCGCTCTCGGCCGTCTCCAGACCATCGAAGGTGACGTTGCCGAGGTGGAGCGCGGCGCCGAGGCAGCGGCCGACGAGGTCGAAGTACGCGCCGCGGCCCCGCTTCTTGGGCGACGCGGCGTCGCGCTCCGCGAGGCCGACGGCGGCGAAGGCCCGCGCCGTGGCGCCGTGGGCCGCGGCGTCGTCGACGCCGGCGATGGTCGCGCAGGACGACGCGCTGAGGTAGCGGAAGTCCGACGGTTTCTTGAGGAGCTTGAGCTTGGACGCGTCGAGCGCGGACGCGCCCGCGACCCATTGGTAGAGCGCGTGGTAGTTGCGCTCGCCGTCGGTCTGGCCGACGACGCGGCTCCGCTCGAGGAGGTAGGTCTCCACCGTCGCCCCGGCGAGGGCGACGGCGCCGGTCGCGCGGGAAAACTGGAGCTTCAAGAACTTGCCGAAGCGGCTCGAGTTGTCGTTGCGGAGCGTCCGCGCGTTGCCCAGGGCCTCGAGGATGGGGTTCGAGTCGAGCAACCGTCGGTCGAGGTCCGACGGCCCGGAGGACGCCGACGCGACGCGCCGGCAGAGGTAGCCGAGCACGATCTTCGCCGTCTCCGTTTTGCCCGCGCCGGACTCGCCGGAGATGACGACGGACTGGTTCGCGCGGCCCCGGATCGCCGCGCGCTCCTCGAGCACCATCTGCCGCAGGGCCGTCTCGGCGATGGCCCAGGGGTGCGGCGGCGCGTCGGAGAGCGCGCCGCCCCGGAACGAGGCCTCGTCGGGGTCCGGCACGGGCCGGAGCGGGTTCACGGCGATCAAAACGTTCGCGATGCGCGTGTAGGGCCGCTGCTGCCGCAGGTCGCTCCGCTGCTCCAGGTTTTCGATGATGCCCGGGTCGTGGAGGTGGTAGAGCGTCGTCATGTCCTCGGCCGTGTGCTCGTTGACCGGCAGGAACGGGATGAGCGCGGGCTCGAGGTCGAGCTCCGCGCCGTCCTCGAGGTCGCGCACGCGGCAGCGGCTCTTGTCGAGGGCCAGCACGAGCACCTTCACCCAGACGCGCTTCGGGTGCGGCACGAAGTAGACGCACTTGACCTCGATGTGGGCCAGGTCCACGCGGCTCAGGGCCCGGCCCTCCTCGCGCTGCGGCTTCGGCGGCGGCATGGCGCTGTAGCGCTGGAAGCGCCGCTTCGGCGTGCGCGGCCCGTCGTCGGTCTGCCGCCGCTCCATGTAGCGCGGCGGCGGCGGCGGCGCTGTCGCCATGCGGCGGCGTGCGCGTCGCGCGCGACGATGGGATGGCTCCGCGCGAAAAATTACAAGCTCGGGGCGGTAGCCCCGAAGCTCGGGGCGCAGCCCCGAAGCTCGGGGCGCAGCCCCGAGCGCCGGAGGCGCTCGGAGGCCGGGGCCGGAGGCCCCGAGCCAGAGGCCCCGAGCCAGCCCGAGGACCGGGGCCGGAGCCCCGGGCAGGGAAGACCGGGGCGGGGGGGGCCGGGCGGGGAAGACCGGGGCGGGGGACCGGCGCGGCGGAGGCGACGGCCCCGCGCCACGGGAATGTCAGGCCGCGGGTCGGGCAATGCGAGGATGGCGAGGCGGGGCGAGCTCGGGCAGGCGGCCGGTTCGGGACCCAGCGCCGGCAGCACGACAGCGCCGGCGAGCGCGCCTCGGCAGGTCGCGGGTCCGCTCCGCAGACGACCCACCGAGCTGGGCGACGCGTCCGCGGCATCGATGGCCCTCGTCGCTGCGGTCAAGTCAGGCGCCGGGGCAAGTCAGGCGCCGGGGCAGCACCAGCGCGGTGGCAGAGGCTCCGCGCTTCGCGCGGTGCGGCGTGATCAGAGCTTCGCACCCCGGGCAACGGCCCGCGTAGCAGCCAGGAAGACTCCGCGCTGATAGTCGAGTCGCCGAGGCCGGGCGACACGTCACGAGCATCGAGGTGGCGGCGGCGATGCGGAAAATTTTCCTCCGCGCTTCGCGCGGCCGAGCAGCGCGACGGTCTCGAAGACGTTCGAGGGGACGACGCCGACGCCGACGGCGGGATCTTCGTCGATCTCCCGCCGCCCGCCGGCCGTCGCGTGCGTGGAGTCCATCGCTCCGAGTCCCGTGGGCACTCGTCGAGGTTGTAGTCGTGGACGCGGCCGTCTCGAAGTCCTCGGGCACGGTCGGCGCGCGAGCCGGAGGCCCGCGGAAGGCCCGGAGGTAGTCGAGGTGCTAGGACTCCTCGCGGACGACGTCCACGAGCTGCATGTCGATGGACTCCTTGTCCTCCGCGTGGTTGCCTTCGACCGCGGGCTGTTGCCCGCGTCGGTCCGAAAGTACAACCGTTTTACGGTTGCACGGGCGCGCCGAGGGGACGACGCCGTGGCGCGACGGTCCGCGGCCCGTAACCGGTCATCCGACGGGCTGCGTGAGCTCGCGGCGAGACCCAGACGCGCGGGGCGTCCGGCGCGTGCGCAAAATTTTCTTCCGGCGCTTCGCGCCGGGGGTCGCCCCGAGGCCGAGCCCCGCGCGACGGTCCGGTCCGGTCGGCCGCCTCGACGATGCGATCCGGGTCCCGGCGCGCGGCGCGCGGGGGACGCGCCGCGAGCGCCGGGCCGCGGCGACGCGCGCCGCGCCTTCGGGCCGTCGCCGTCGCCCGAGGTCGCCGTTGGGGCAGTTGGGGCAGCCCCTCGGCGAGACGCGCGTCCCGTCGACGCGGCGCGCCGCGGGCGCCGCGTCGACGACGCGCCCGCGCCCGGCGGGCGGCGCGCGGGCGGCGCGGCCGTCCATCGCCGCGGTCCGGGGCCGGTCGCGGTCGCGGACGCGGCGGACTTGGCGCTAGCAAACGGTCGCGCCCCGAGCTTCGTCGATCGGCGCCCCGAGCTTGTAATCTTTTGGGAGAGCTCGTTTGATTGGGCTGCCGAGCTACGAGCTTTGGCAGTGCTCCGTGAGTGCAACATTGAATGTTGACGGCTCTGCGCGATCTCTTTGTGACGCGCTGGGCCCGCACCGACTGCTACCACCCGGCTCGAGCGCTCCACCTCGCACGGCGGCCGTCGCAACCGCAGCCATGCTCCGCCCGCTCCTCCTCCTGCACGCCGTCGCCGCGTTCAGCTCGCCGCTGGGCCGCCGCGCCGGCCGCAGCGCCCTGCGCGTGCGCGTCGGCGGCGGCGCCGTGGCGACGGCGCCCATCGAGGGCATGCGGCCCGGCACGTCGGGCCTGCGGAAGCGCACGAGCGTCTGGGTCGAGACGCCGAACTACGTGGAGAACTTCGCGCAGGCCATCGTCGAGGGCTGGCGGTCCGTCGGCGGCTTCCCGGCTCCCGGCGGCGGCACGCTCGTGCTCGGCGGCGACGGCCGCTACTTCAACGACGCCGCGCTGCAGCGCATCCTCCGCGTGCTCGCGGGCAACGGCGTCGCCAGGGTCGTCGTGCCTGTCGGCGGCGTGCTGAGCACGCCCGCGGCGTCGGCGCTCGTGCGGCGCCTCGGCGCGGACGGCGCGATCCTGCTCACGGCGAGCCACAACCCCGGCGGGCCCGACGGCGACTTCGGCGTCAAGTTCAACACGGGCCCCGACGGCGCCCCCGCCAAGGAGTTCCTCACGGAGGCCGTCTTCGAGGCGTCGTCGACGCTGGAGAGCTTCAACGCCGCGGACGCGCCGGACGTCGACCTCGCGGCGCCGGGCGCCTTCGCCGTCGGCGACACGCAGGTCGAGGTCGTCGAGTCGAGCGACGCCTACGTCGCGGCGCTCAAGGAGTGCTTCGATTTCGACAAGCTCAAGGCGTTCATTGCGGAAAAGAAGCCGAACCTCTTCCTCGACGCCATGCACGGCGCCGCGGGCCCCGCGGCGAAACGCGTCTTCGTCGACGAGCTCGGCGTCGACCCGGCCATGCTCTACCGCTGCGACCCGCGGCCCGACTTCGGCGGCGCCCACCCGGACCCGAACCTCAAGTGGGCCGACGAGCTCGTGAGACGCGTGGGCCTCGAGCCCGACGGATCGCCGATGAAGGACCGGCCCGAACGACGCGTCGACTTCGGCGTCGCGTTCGACGGCGACGGCGACCGCAACATGATCGTCGGCGACGCCTTCTTCGTGTCGCCCTCCGATTCGCTGGCGGTCCTCGCGGCGAACGCCAAATCGGTCAAGTGGTTCGCGGACCGCGGCGGCCTCGCGGCGTGCGCGCGGTCGATGCCGACGTCGCGCGCGCTCGACCGCGTCGCGGCGAAGCAGGGCATCGAGTGCTTCGAGACGCCCACGGGCTGGAAGTTCTTCGGCAATCTCATGGAGCTCAAGCAGCCCTTCCTCTGCGGCGAGGAGTCCTTCGGCACGGGCGCGGACCACGTCCGCGAGAAGGACGGCCTGTGGGCCGCGCTCGCGTGGATGAGCGTGCTCGCGGACGCGAACGCGGGCTCGGAGAAACTCGTCGGCGTCGCCGACGTCGTCAAGGCCCACTGGCGCACCTACGGCCGCGACCTCTACTGCCGCCACGACTACGACGAGTGCGCGTCCGAGGGCGCGAACGCGATGATGGCGCGGCTCGGCGAGCTCTGCGGCGCGGCGAAATCGGACCTCGCGGCGCTGGACCCGGGTCTCGAGGGCGTCGAGTCCTTCTCCTTCGTCGACCCGCTGGACAACAGCGAGACGACGAACCAGGGCATGATCCTCTCCTTCGACGGCGGCGGCCGCTGCGTCTTCCGCCTCTCGGGCACGGGCTCCGCGGGCGCGACGATCCGCGTCTACGTCGAGAAGCCCCTCCCGGAGCCGTCCGAGGCCGACCTCGACCTCGTCGCCGCCGACGCGCTCGGCGACCTCGCCGACGCGGGCAAGAAGGTCGCGGACCTCGTCGCCTTCAGCGGCCGGGAGAGCCCCTCCGTCATCACGTGAGCGCGGCGCGTGGTTAAGCTGCTACTAGTAGCGCGGGCGGCATGTCTAATGCTAGCCCTGCCACCAGAAGTCCAGGACGTTCTCGAAGCAGCCGAGCGGGAGCTCCTGTTCTTGGCCCGCGCCGAAGAGGCGCGTGGCGAGGTAGTAGTGTTCCTTGAAGAAGGAAGAGTCAGACGTTGCTTTCCACGGCTGCTCGTGGTGCGACTTCGCGCGGCCGGAGGAGCACAGCGCGCGCAGGAGGACGAGCTCGTAGCGCGGTTCCGCGAAGTAGTTCGCGTAGGAGCCCGCGGCTTGGACATGGAGAAGAAATGTCAGGCCCTTTTCCGCCCGCCACTGCCACTTTTCGACGGTCTCTCCGCCGTCCTCAAAAGCGAGCCCGAGCCCCGCGACACTTTTCAGCAGCTCTCGCCCTGTTGGCTCGAGGGGCACATCGCAATGGCCTTGGCTTAACAGCCATCGCATGAAATTGACATGACCCCTCGCGCAGGCAACCAGAACGACCTGAGGCGTCACCTCAGCGCCCGCCGCGATCAGGATCTTCGCGATTTCGAGATTCGAGTGACTCGCCGCAAAATCGAGGGGCCGTTTGTTGCGCTCGTCAGAGAGGTCGGGGCCCGCGCCGATGCGCTCGACCAGTATCCGCACGGCGTACTCGGCGTTCATCTGGCAGGCCGCGCAGAGTAATGTGTGACCTGCTTCGTCCTCGGCGTCGACGTCCACAGCCGCGAGCAAATCCACAACTCGGTCGATCAGAACGGGGCCGCTTTCACTCGCCTCTTTGATCATGCTCACGACGTAAGACGAGGCGCCACGCTGTCCGGTCCCGATATCATCGGCGAGGCGTACCAATGCGGCGCTGCTCAGTCCTTGGAGAACCGGCCCCAACAGAGCCGAAAGTGGCCGGAAGACCGGGGGCGGCGCCCCGTTGTCGATGTCCAGGTTCGCAACAGCCGATTGAACATGTGCGAGCGCTGCCTGCAGCTCAGCGGTCGTTGCCTCATCCGGCGGGCCGTCCATTGTCGACAGCCCGTCCCGGTGTGGAGATTTTGACCCGGCCGTCGGCGATCGACCGGGCGCTCTCTCTCTCTCTCTAGAGCCTCTCTAGCGCACTATGCGACACACCCCGCCTACGCGCCTACCTTGGGCAGACGCGGGCACTGGGAGGGGGACGCTCTGGACCTTTAATATCCCCGCCCTAGTGCAGCCCCTCGTAGCGCCCCGTGGCCGTGTGCTTGGTGACGAAGGCCTCGATGGCGCTGTAGTCGACCTCGGGCTCGTCGGGGAGCGCCTTCCAGTTGGCCGCGTGGTCGCGCTGTAGCGCCGTGACGCCGTAGTCGAGCATGGGCGCCGTGACCTTCGTGCTCGCAGGCATGCGCACGGAGAGGCCCCGGTTCACGAGGTCGTTCATCGTCTGCTCCTGGTCCGCGACGCAGGGCACGACGAGCGTCGGGAGCTTGCAGCGCAGCGCGAGCGTCGTCGTGCCGATGCCGCCGTGGCACATTAGCCAGGAGCACTTGGGGAAGAGCCACGCGTGGGGGCAGTCCTCGAGGAGGAGGAAGACGCGGGGCAGCTTCCGCTCCTCGAGCGCGGCGATCAGATTGTTCTCGAGCTTCGACGTGCCCCGCATGACGATCACCGCGCCGTCGAAGTTTTCGATCCACGCCAGCAGCGCCGCGACCGTCTCCTCGACGAGGACCATGGACCCGAAGCACACGAGGCCCGCGGCGCCCTGCTCCGCGAGGAAGGCGTCTACCGCTTCTCGCTGCGCGTCCGACGGCACCTCCACGGGCCTATAAGTCCAGCGCGGCGTGAAGAGCACGTGCGCGCCGTAGGTCGGCGTGCCCAGGTCCTCGAAGGCGCCGCCCAAACTGCAGACGCCGCCCTCGGCGATGCCGCGGTCCACGCGCGCGGCGGAGAAGTCGTTGCCGATGACCGTGGGCGTGTTGAGCTGCTTCGCGTACATCTCGCCGGCCGTCAACACCTTCCGCCCGTGGGCCTCGCAGGCCTCGGCGTAGCCGCTGTCCATGACGACGCCGTGGACGGACGCGTAGAACGCGCGCCAGACGACGGGCATGAGGAACGACGGCACGAAGCGCACGTCGACGATGGGGTGCGCGTGCGGGTTCGGCGTGAACTCGACGACGTCGAGGCGCACGTAGGGCACGGGGATCTTGTCGTGGAGCAGGTACCTGCGGACGGGGCCGTCGCCGCGCGCCGCGCGGACGTCCGTCGGGCGCCGGCCCGCGCGCGATGAAGTCCGCGTTCCCCGGCGAGAAGAAGAGATCGAAGGGCTCTTTCTCGTGGGCGGCGATGACCTTGGCCGTCATCGACGAGATCACGTCGCGCTGGCAGAAGAAAGAAAACCAGACCTTGACGAACGGCATGCCGAGGTGGCGCCAGACGTCGGGCTTCTCGCGGTTGAACTGCGCGATGGACATCCAGGGCACGGCCTCGAAGCCGCGGCTCTCGACCAGTTCCACCTGCTCCTCGCTGCAGAAGAGGCACGGCGTCATGAAGTCCCTAATATTCTCCAGGAGGTCGAGGAAGGGCAGGCAGTCGCCGTGGGACCCGAGGAGCAGCACGCAGGCGCGCTTCAGCTTCCGCGTCGGCTCCGCCCGCGAGCCCACGGTCTCCGGCTCGGCCGGGGCAGCCTCTGCGTCATCAGCCATCGACATCGCGGGCGGGTTTTGGTCAATATCGACCTCAACCATGGATCCATGGACGACAGGCTCTCCGGAGGCTGCCCGAAGTCGCCTTTCGACGTCGCAAATGGCCGAGCTCGCCGCTGCAACAGAGGCGCCAAACACAACGCTCGAGTTCGAGACCCTGCGGGACCGGCTGGACTACCTCGCGCAGCTCGACGGGGCGGAGGACAAGGACCAGCCGCACAGCCTGAGCTCCTACGGCAAGGCCCGGGTCCTCGAGGAGCTCGTCGGCGGCGTCGAGGCGCTGGACCTGCGCGAGGTCTGGGACGCGGAGGACCTCCACGCGGCCCTGGGCCGCCCGCTCGAGGCGGACTACGAGGCCGTCGAGGTGACCGTCGACGGGGCTTTGGGAGTGGAGCTCGCGCCGCTCGGGGGCGCCGCGGTCGTCTGCGGCGCGGCGGACGACGGCGACATCCGACCCGGCGACTTCCTCGTCGCGGTCAACGGCGCGACGGTCGCCGACGCGCTCGGCGGATCGCCGGCGTCCGAGGCGAACTTCGGCGCCGTCGTCGCGTTCCTCAAAGCCGCGGACCGCCCCGCGGCCGTCTCGCTCCTCCGCGAGCGCAACCCCGGCGCCGCGCCCGCGCCGCCGCGCGCGGGCGTGTCTCTGCGGGCAGCGACCCACCTGCCCGCCGTGCGAAACGACATCAAGCGCTGCGTGTCGCTCGACGTGAGCGCCGCGGACGACGACTACGACGCGGATTTGCTCGTGCCCCGCGAGATGGGCTTCCAGCGCATCGACCTCGGCTGGCCCGCGAAGCGCGACGACGCGGACAACTTCTGGATGCTCGGCCACAGCCGCGTCTCCGCCATGGTCGCCGCGACGCTGCTCCGGGCCGCGGCGCCGCGCGTCGACTGGTTTGTCGTCGCGTGCCACACGTACGCGTGCGTTTTGGGCAATTGCGGCGGCCGCGGGAGGCCCGTGCTCGTGGACCCCGCCGCGGCGACCGTGGGCTACGACGCGCGGGCCTACCTGAGAAAGGTCGGCGCCTACGGGACGCCGAACATCTTCCCCGTGGACGGAGGCGCGTACCTCGACCGCATGCTCGACCCGCTCGTCGCCGTCAACGAGCGCCGCAAGCGCGTGCCCAGGTGGGCGCCCGTGAACGGCGCCATGGACTTCCAGGCCAAGTGGGAGTCCGGCGCCATCAGGGACGCCGACAAGCCCGAGTTCTTCCGCGCGCCCAAGGCCGCGCCGAAGAAGGTGAAGCTCCGCGCGATCGACCGCGGCGAGGGCAAGCCGAGCGAGGAGCTGTGTGCAAATCAAATATTCAACTCGACTTCAATGTGAGCGTATTCGAATGTTTTGACACGAGCACTTCCGCTGTGCTTCGAGAACTCGATGAGAGCAATCGATTCGTCCAAAAGTCAGCCGAATCGACGTCGATTTGACCAAGCTAGAGAATTTCAAAGTTTGGCCCCGACGTCCCAGCTCACTGGTTGATTTGCACACAGGCGAGGAGTGGGTCGACCACAAGACCCGGGGCTCGCGGCGCTTCTCGAGCGCCCAGCGGAGCCGCGACAAAGCGTCGAAGCGCGACGGCATGGCGGACGCGCGAGCGCTCTACGACGACGCGCTGGCCTGCTGCCGCCGGGCCGCGTGCCCCGTCGAGGACGCGTCCGCGTTCCCCGAGGGCCTCACCAAGGGCCAGCGCTGGGCCGCGGCGCTCGCGACGCTTTTAGGCAACCGCGGCGCCTGCGACCTCGAGCTCGGCGACGCGCTCGTCGCCGTCGCGGACTGCGAGGGCGCGCTCGCCTGGTGGCGCCGCGCGCCGAACCGCGACGAGTTCCGCGACCGCGTCGACCGCGTCAAAACCCGCAGGAACCGCGCGCGCGACGCGCTCGCGCCGCCGAAGACGATGATCAGCGACGACCACAAGCCCGCCGGGAGCGTGGCCTGGCCCAAGGTGACCGTGGTCGTCGACGCCAAACGGACGACGCCCGCGGGCGTGACGAACGCCTTCCGCGTCTTCTCGGCGCTCGACTACGACGCGCGGCTCGTCGACTTGCTCGTGCTCCGCTACGACGACGACGACGAGCTCTGGCGCGAGCTCGTCGTCGAGGACGACTTCCTCGAACTCGTCGAGGAGGGCGACGACGACGAGGAGGAGGACGAGGAGCAGGCGCGCGCAAACGCGCTCCTCCACCGCGACGACGTCAACGTCCGGCCCGAGCTCTACGACGACTTCTCGACCGTCGCCGGCACGTCCGTGGCCCCGTCCACCGTCGTCGTCAAGGAGATGCGGCGCAAGCCCCGCCGGGTTGCGAGCGACGTGCCCCGGAAGAAGGTGCGGGTCGTCGCGGCGCGCGGCGACGGGTCCGCCGCGGTCCGGGACCGCGCGCGGGGCGACGTCTTGGTCCGCCTCCGCGACGACGACGTCGTCGCGCCCCACTACCTGAAGACGCTCGTGCTGCCCATCGCGCACGGCCGCGCGGACGCCTGCGCGCTGGCGTCGTGGTACCAGCGCGAGGACTTTGCCTTCACCCACGCGACGTTCGCGACGCCGCTCGCCGCGCCGCCGTTCCTCGCGCGAAAGAAGGGCGCGACGGGCGCCGCCCTCTACGTGCCCGACTCGGGCGGCGTCGCGCTCCGGGCGACGCGGGCGGCGGACGCCGCGACCGAGGGCCAGGTCAGCGCCGCGTTCCTCCAGGCGTCCCCGCTCGGCTGCGTCGTCGACCTGCCCGTCATCTAGGAGCGGTGGTGGGGTGTCAGTTTAAAGGGCGGGGCGGCCGCGGCGGCGAAGGCCCGGCGGCGGGGATGGTCCGGTCGCGCCCTAGAGCTCGCCCTCGCCCGCGTCCTCGAAGTCGTCGAGGTCGACGGCGTCCTCCTCCTCCTCCTCCTCCTCGGGCTCGTCCGGGACCTCGATCTCCGGGAGGAGGTCCATGGACTCGACGGAGAGGCCGGATTTGAGGATGCGGAGCGCGCGCTCGCTGAAGGCCGCGACGTCCGAGGCCTCGAAGCCCGACTGCATGAGCGCGTTGTCGAGGAGGAGCCAGCTCAGGTCCGACGTGTACTCGTCGTCCTTCTCCGCGGCGACGAGCTCCTTGAGCTTGGCGATGATGGGGTGGCGCGGGTTGATCTCCATCGTCTTCTGCGACGACATCTGGCCCATGGCCTGCTTCTCCGAGAAGGCCTGGGCGCGCATGATGCGCTCCATGTTCGCGCTGTTGCCGTACTGCGACGTGACGATGACCGTCGGCGTCGTCTCGACGCGGCGCGACACGGACACCTTGACGACGGCGTCGCCGTAGAGCGCCTTGAGGTAGTCCGTGAGGGGCTTGAAGGTCTCCTTGTAGAGCTGCATGCGCTTCTTCTCCACGTCCTCGTTTTCGTCGCCGAACTTGAGGCCCTCCTTCGTCACGGACTGGAGCTTCTTGCCGTCGAACTCCGTGACGTGCTGGATGGCGTACTCGTCGATGGGGTCCACCAAGTACAGCACCTCCAGGTCCTTGGCCTTGCACTTCTCGAGGAAGGGCGACTCCTCGACGGCCGCGACGGACTCGCCCGCGATGTAGTAGATGGCCTTCTGCCAGTCCTTCATGTTCTCGACGTACTCCTCGAGGGACACGTAGCCCTCGCCGCTCTTGTTCGACTTGTAGCGCAACAGCTTCGTGAGCTTGGACCGGTTCGCGGAGTCCTCGATGATGCCGAGCTTGATGTTCTTGCCGAATTTCGACCAGAAGCCAATGTAGGGGTCCTCGTCGTCATCCTCGGACTCGTCGGCGTCCTCGGACTCCTCGTCGTCCTCGTCCTCGTCGTCGTCGCCCTTCTCCTTGAGCTGGCTGAGCTTCCGGAGCATCTCCAACGCCTTGCGCACGAGCTTCTTGCCCATGACCTTGAGCACCTTGTGCTGCTGGAGCGTCTCGCGCGACACGTTGAGCGGCAGGTCGTCGCTGTCGACGACGCCGCGGAGGAAGTTGAGGTAGCGGGGCACGAGATCCTCGAACTCGTCCGTGATCAGCACCTTGCGCACGTAGAGGCGGAGCTGCGCGGACTTGGTGTGGTACGAGTCGTACATGTCGAAGGGCACCTGGCCCGGGACGAAGAGGATGGACTTGAACTCGACCTCGCCCTCGGCCTTGAAGTGGATCCACGTCGTCGGGTCCGCCGTGTCCTTGCTCAGCGTCTTGTAGAAGGACCGGTACTCCTCGTCGTCGACGTCGGACGCGTCGCGGCTCCAGATCGCGCTCTCGGAGTTGACCTGGTGCCAGTCCCAGTTCGTCACCGTCGTCGTGCGCGGCTCGTCGTCCTCCTCCTCCTCGTACTCGTCGTCCTCGAGGTCCTCCTCCGACTCCTCCTCCTCCTCCTCGTCCAGGTCCTCCTCGTCCTCGTCCTCGTCGTCGTCGACCTCGACGGTCTCCGTCTTCGACTTGTAGAGGTAGATGGGGAAGGTGATGAACTCGGAGTAGCGCAAGACGAGCTCCTCGAGGCGGTCCTGGTCGAGGAACTCGCCCGCGTCCTCCTTGAGGAAGAGCTTGATCTCCGTGCCGCGGCCGAGCGTGTCGCCGAGCGGGTCCTGCCAGACCGTGAAGGAGCTGTCCGCGGCGGACTCCCAGACGTGCTGGTCGTCGTCGTTGTGCTTGGACCGCACGCGCACGCGGTCCGCGACGAGGTAGACGGAGTAGAAGCCGACGCCGAACTGGCCGATGAGCGACAGGTCGCCCGACGCGTCGCCGGACATGGCCTCGACGAAGTTCGTCGTGCCGGACTTGGCGACCGTGCCCAGGTTCGCGACGAGGTCCGCCTTGGTCATGCCCACGCCGCTGTCCTGGATCGTCAGCGTCCGCGCGTCCTTGTCGAACGAGATGCGGATCTCGAGCTCCTTCTTCGTGTCGAGCGCGGCCGCGTCCGACACCGCGAGGAAGCGGATCTTGTCCAGCGCGTCCGAGCCGTTGGAGATGACCTCGCGGAGGAAGATCTCCTTGTTCTTGTAGAGCGAGTTGATGATGATGTCCATGAGCCGGTTCACCTCGGCCTACGGCGGGGGTCGAGCGTCGGTCCGGGGGCTCTTTCGGAGGGCGCTCGCGGCGCGCGCGCGCGTCCGGGCGGCGTTCTGGCCTCGCGGCGCGCCCGGAGAGGCCTCGCGCGCCCCGGCGCGACGGCGCGGCGGCGGCGCGCGCGGTCGGCGAGCGGCGGATCCACGGGACGCCGGCGCGCGCCTGGAACTCAAAGGTCTCGGGCGCCGCGCCGGCGTCCTCGGCATAGGCGACGGTGCCGAGCGACGCGACGGCGCCGAAGACGAGCGCGACGAGCTTGAGGATGCTGAGCTTCATTGGTGCGCTGGCCGAAGCTCGCGGCGATTCGCCTCTGGTGTGGACGCGTGGAGGCCGAAGCGCTGCAGAGGACCCGTAACGGACGCGATTGGCCGGGGCCGCCGCCGGCCCGGCCTGGGGCGACGCGGACGACGAGGCGAGGTGCAGCAGCCTCACGCCCCCTTCTTACCTTTCTTCGTCCCCCAGTCGCCCCCGTCCAGCGCCGCGCAGAAGGCCGGCCCGAAGATGGGGTGGCGGTCCTTCGTCCCCTCGACGAACGCGGACACGCGGTTCGCGTCCCAGCCGCGCTCGAAGGCCGCGCGCGCGGCGGCGACGTCGTGGAACGTCGAGGACCCGACCTCGCGCGGGAGGAGCTCCGCGCAGGACGCGAGGACGTAGTTCTCCGCGAGGGCGTCGCGGATGCCGTCGACCGTGGACCGCGTCGCCGCGCCGCCGTCGCCGCCGAGGAAGGCGACGCCGAGCGATCGCGCGGCGCCGCGGAGGAGGCGCTTCGTCTTCGCGGACTGCGGGTCCGCGGCGACGAAGACGCGGGGCGTCGCGTTCGTCGCGGCGCGCCGCGCGGCCGCGGCGTCGCGGACGCGCTTGACCCACTTGTCCTGCGCGCGCGTCCCGCGGCGGCCGACCTCGACGTCCGCCTTCCGCAGGTGCACGCCGACGTCGCAGGCTTCGCCGCCGAGCGCGCTCTCCACGGCGTCGGCGACGGCCTTGACGGGCGTGAGGAGCAGGTCCTGGAGCGCGCCGAAGCGCGCCCAGGGCGACGGCTCCGGCGCGGCGAGGCCGCACGCGGGCGCCCAGCCCCACCAGTAGTACCCGAAGGCGCAGAGCACGGGATCCTTGGCGCGCCAGTCGGCGCCGACGTCGCGGAACCCGGCGGCCGTCTTCGCGTCGCGGGGGTCGCTGATGGCCCAGCGCTTCAGGCCCTTGCGCCCGGGGCGCCGGAAGACGTCCTCCTGGCACTTGCGCACCGCGTCGCGCACGCGCGAGTCCGCGGGCAGGGACCAGTCCACGAGGCCGTTCCGCTCGAAGAGGTCCTGGATGCCCGTCGGGTCGCCTGAGACGGCGCGCGATCGGCGGCGTCTCGAGGGAGGCGAGATTGTTCTCTCTCGCGAGTTCGGACGCCGCCGAAACGCGCAGTCGGGCTTGTTGTGGCCGAGGTGCTTCGAGCAGTCCTGGCGGGGCCACCGCACGGCGAGCGCGCGGCCGGTCCGCATCGCGAGCGCGAGGCTCGACACGACGGTGTCCACGCGGTTGCCGAGGCCGTAGTTGTCGGCGAAGGCGACGACGTAGCGTCCGTCGTCGCGGCGCCGCTGCGCGCGCTGGACCGCGCTGTAGTTCGCCAGCAGGGCCGCCCAGGCGCCGCGCGTGCGGCCGCGGACGAGGGCCTTGTGGCCGTCGAGCCACGACGACGACGACGACGACGCGGCGGCGGCGACCGCGGCGGCGACCAGCAGCGACCCGCGCATCATCACGCCGCATGCGCCGCGGCGCCGCAGCCTCGCATCATCGCCTCGGAGAGCAACCCATAGAGATGCAGCCCATCGTGCTTCGGAGAGCACTTTCGGTGCACGATGGAGGGCAGCCCGGAGGCAGCCTCGTCGTCGGACGACGTCGCCGTCGCCCTGCCCCGGGACGACGACGACGGCGGCGACGCGTCGCCGGCGTCGCCGGCGTCGTCCGCCGGCCAGGTCGACGACGACGACGCCGCATCTTCTCCCGCCTCCTCCACCGCGGCCTACGCCTCGGCGGCGCGCTGGGGCGCGGACACGTTCTGCGCGACGGCGCGGCGCCAGCTGCGGACGCGCGAGCTGCGACCGGAGTGCAAGCAGCGCCACGTCAACTTTTTGCTCCTGGGGCCGGCGGGCGTGGGTAAGTCGTCGCTGATCCACACGTGCTGGCGCGCGCTGCGGCCGTCGGAGGCCGGCGGCGAGGACCGCGACGCGCTCATGGCGGCGCTCCAGCTCGGCTGGAGCCGGGACGACGCCGCGCGGCGCGCGGCGGAGCGCGGCAAGGGCGGCGGCCTGCGGGCGAAGCACGGCACGACGCGGTTCAACGCCTACGCGCTGCAGCGGCGCCAGCCGCCCGGCGACGGCCCGATCTTCGGCGCGGGCGCCGTCGGCCTCTACGCCCAGGACACCAAGGGCCACCAGTTCTTCGACGCGAAAGAACAAGCCTTCGCGGCGCGGCTCGTCGACGGCGCGGTCCGCGAGGGGTCGACGCAGGAGCGCGCGTCGCTGCGCTACTGGGCGCTGCTCAGCAAGGTCGGCCTCGGCGGCCTCCTCCGGAGCGCCGAGGCCGCCGACTGCCCGTCGGTCGTCGTGCTCGTCTTCGACCTCACGCTCCGGAGCTTCCTCAAGATGCTCCGCGCGAGCGACGACGACCCGCAGCTCGGCTGCTACCGGAAGATCGCCGCGCACGCCAAGGCCCAGGGCCTCGGCTGCCTCGCGGTAGGTCGTGCGCCGCGCGCGACGCGTGACGCGCCCCCTCGCAGGTCCTGACGCACGTCGACGTCCTCGAGCGGAGCAAGGACGACCTGCCGCCGACGGCGTCGCCGCGGCGCGTCGGCGAGGGCCTCGACGACGACCTCGGCGCGATCAAGAAGCAGCTCGCCGGGGCCATCGGCGGCGACCTGCTCCCGGAGGGGCACATCCACGCGCTCGTGAACTACCACGTCCACAAGAACGAACCGGACGCGGCCGTCGACCTCGCCGCGCTCGAGTTCCTCGCCGCGGTCGTCGACGCCGGCGAGGCGTTTTTGGTGAAGAAGCGCGCGCGGGGGGACTGCGTGGTATCGTAGGCTCGTGTTTTTTTGGGGGGGGGGCTGCGGGCGCCTGTGGCCCCTAGCCCAGGGCGCAGGTCTCGGGACTCCCGGTGCGGAAGGCCTCGCGGAGGCGTGCACGCGGCGTCTCGCCGGCGGCCGGCGCGCGCCGCCGGTGCAAGTTGAGATGCTACCCACACGCTTCTCTCTCTCTCTTCGGATGTATCGGTCCACGACGCTGCTCGACCAGGCCCTGCGCGAGCTCCGAGCTCCCGGAAAAAGCACGCGCGTTTCACCATGCAGGCGAGTCGATACCCGCCCCCGAGACCCTCCGACCCCCACCGGGGCCGCGGCCCAGCCCCTGGGGACGCCGGACGGCGAACCTCAACCCGGGGCGGACGTTAACGTTCGCGCGCGCGCGCGGGCGCCGAAGTGGACGTCAGAACGACGCTTCTTCGCCCCGGCGCGCCGCGGGGCCCGCCCCAGCCCCGGGCCGGCCGCCCGGCGCCCCCGGGCCCGCGCCGCCGCCCCGGCCCGCGCCCCCCGGCCCCCTCCCCCGCGCGCCGACGCGGGGCGGAAGGAAACGCAATCGAGCTTCTTCTCCCCCCGCGCGCAGATCTTCGTCAAGACCCTGACGGGGAAGACGATCACGCTCGACGTCGAGCCCAGCGACACCATCGACAACGTGAAGCAAAAAATCCAAGACAAGGAGGGCATCCCGCCGGACCAGCAGCGGCTCATTTTTGCCGGGAAGCAGCTCGAGGACGGCCGGACCCTGAGCGACTACAACATCCAAAAAGAGTCGACGCTGCACCTCGTGCTCCGGCTGCGCGGCGGGATGCAAATTTTCGTCAAGACCCTGACGGGGAAGACGATCACGCTCGACGTCGAGCCGAGCGACACCATCGACAACGTGAAGCAAAAAATACAGGACAAGGAGGGCATCCCGCCGGACCAGCAGCGGCTCATATTCGCCGGGAAGCAGCTCGAGGACGGCCGGACCCTCAGCGACTACAACATCCAAAAGGAGTCGACGCTCCACCTCGTGCTCCGGCTGCGCGGCGGCTGCCCAGGCGGCGAGATCATCGTGCCCAAGCCGGGGAACGTCGAGGCGCCGCCGGAGCGGCCGACGCACGCCGTGAAGCCCGACGAGGTCGCGAGCGCGCCGGTGGAGAAGGCCGCGGAGGCGCCCGCGCCCGAGCCGATGGCCGTCGACGAGCCCGTGTCGTCGCCCGCGCCGAAGAAGAAGAAGAAGAAGCAGAGCTACAAGAACCTCATGGCCCAGATGACGAAACCGTCCCCCGAGGACGAGGAGAAGAAGAAGCGCGAGGCCGAGGTCGCGCGGCGCGCGCTCGGCGGCGGCGAGTTCCAAAAGATCGCCAAAATTTAGGGCGGCGGGCCGGTTCCCGAGCCCCCGCCCACCTCCAAGCTCGACGGCGCCGCCGACCCCGGCGGCCCCCGTTCGCACCCGCAAAACACCGCGCGCCGCGTCGCGCGCGCCGCCCCCCGGGGCGCCGCGCCGCGCCGGCGCGAACCCTTCGCCTGTTTATACCAAAACTAAAAACATAGACTGACCACTGGCACACCCCCGGGGCGCCCGGGCGAATTCCCACACTTAATCCGTTCCCTCACCAGTCGCGCTCGAAGAGCTCGGAGTTCCAGGTCGGCGTGCGGAAGTGGACGTAGGCGACGAACATGGACGCGAGGCCGCTGAGCATGGTGCAGAAGAAGGACGTGTAGGGCGTGTTGAAGTTGACGGGGTAGGACTCGCCCGGGTCGTCGACGGCGTAGGCGTAGGCCTCCGCCGCCGCGTCGTCGAGCACGTTGACGGCCGCGGCGTCGTCCGCGTCCACGGGAATGTAGAACTCGCCCGTCGGCAGCTCCATGAGGCAGTTCAGCGAGAAGTTCAGCAGCATGCCCAGGATCTGCAGCGTCGAATACAGCTCGACGCCGATGCCCACGAACTTCCAGACCCAGGAGTCGGCCTCCGTGTCCACCTGCGGGGAATTCGGGTTTTGGGGGAAACTTCGACTCTCGAGCGCGGTCGAATCGACGTCGATGTGGCGAGCGCTTGTCTCTCCTCGAGCTCTCGACCCTGAGCGAAACACCTCTCGCGAAACCGCGCGCGCGTCGAAAACCCGCGCGGGCGCGGACGCGCTTGTAGAGCACGAAGCACGCGACGAACTTGACGAAGACGATGGGGTAGATGGCGCCCTGGGCCAGGGCCCCGGCGTCGCCGCAGGCGTTGACCCAGTCGTAGGCCGACCCCGCCGCGTCGTCGTCGACCTCGCCGACCTCGAAGGCGACGTAGTCCTTCGTGCCCGTGAGCGAGTCGTCCGCGACGCCCGCGTCGTCGTCCGCGAGGACGTCCGCGACGACGACGTAGCCGCTCAGCCCGACGACGAGGTAGGTCAGCGCGTCCGTCGACTGGAGGCGCGCGAAGCCGAAGACGGACACGAGCTCCGGGTCCGTCTGGCCCGCGAGGTACCTGGGCAGGAAAAGAGTGCGAAATTCCCAACTTTGGAGGCTCGTATCTCGGTCGTTCGTTTTCCACTCGTTTCGGCTAATTTTTGGACGAGCGATCATCTCTGGGAGCGCTCTCGACGCGTGGATGCTTTTTCCGGAACGCACGCGCGCGGCACACTCACGTTGAAGCGAACTTGAATCACAATTTCCCTGCCCTGGCAGGTACGCGAAGATCATCGACATGAACGAGAACGTCGTCACGAAGAAGACGCCGCAGAAGCACTGGCCCCGCCGCTCGTCGAAGTAGATCGTGCCCCCGATGGCGCCCAGGTCCGGGCACTTCCAGCCCAGGACGCAGTACCCGTAGACGAGGTGCGCGATGAACCTGCGCCGAATTGGTCTGGGCGGTCCCGACCAAACTTCTCGAGCTCGGTCACATCGAAGTTGATTCGGCCGACTTTTGGACGAATCGATCGCTCTCGTTGAGCTTCTCAAGCAGGGCCGAAGACTTTGCGTCGAAACTGTCGCGTACGCTCGCATTGAAGTCGAGTTGGAGATGTGACTTCGGCGCGGCGACGAACCAGCAGAGCGCGCCGCCGAGCACGCAGCCGACGACGATCGCGATGAGCGCGATGAGCGCCTCGACGACGTTGATGCCGCTGCTCGAGTCCGCGTCGCAGTAGGCGAAGGCCTCCTCGCCCGCCGTGATGTTCAGCTCGTCGTTGTGGCAGCCGTAGGCCGTCGCGTTGAAGCCGAGCGCGAACGTCTGCGGGATCCGGTCCTCGTAGACCTTGTTCGACTTGAAGTACGAGTCGCCGTGGTAGACGTAGATCGCCGAGGCCAGGCGGCCCTCGTTCTCGTTGAACTTGCAGCTCTGGACGCGCAGGTAGGACGTGTCGCGGCCGTCGCCGACGAGCGCGATCGCGCCACCGTGGCCCGCGGCCGTGTTCTCGCGGAAGAGCGAGTAGTAGACGAGCGCCGTCGTGCGGTCGACGTAGATGGCGCCGCCCGACGAGTAGTGCAGGTGGTCCAAACCCGCCGTCGCGTTCCAGGGCGCCGCGTTGGCCGTGAACGTGCAGTCCGTGACGACCAAAGCCGCGGGCCACCGCACGAGGACCGCGCCGCCCTTGCCTGGGCGGGAAACGAGAGATTCGACGTCGCTTCAACGTGAGCGTTCCTCGCGCGCGCGTTCCAAATGAAGCATCCACGCTTCGAGACCGTTCCGAGAGATGATCGCTCGTCCAAAAATCAGCCAAAACGAGTGGAAAACGGCCGAGATAGGAGCCTTGGGAATGTCGCGCTCTTTTCCAGCCCCGGCCCTCGCCGTAGCCGCCCTCGAGCTCGAGGTTGTAGAGCGTGAGCTCCGACGTCGGCGCCGACGCGTAGGGCAGCTCGCCGTCCTCCTCGAGGCGCCGCCGGTCCTCCTCGACGCGGCCGCCCGTGCCCGTGACGACGAGGATCTGCACCGTGCCGTTGCCGCTGAGCTTGACGCCGTCCGTCGAGCCGATCTGGCCGCCGTAGTCGACGGTAATGACCGTATTCTCGAGGAAGATGTCCTCGACGATGTCGACGTCGTGGTCGTTCGCGATGATGTCCCGCAGGTCGCTCTCGTTGCGCGCGGCGTGCGTGTGCACGGGCGCCATCGTCGGCGCGGGCGACGGCAGCACGCTCGGCATGGGCGTCGGCAGCGGGCTCGGCAGCAGCGACGGCGCGGGCGACACCGTCGGCGACCGCGTCGGCCTGTGGTTCCGGAACCAGTCCTTCCACGTCGTCGGCGCCAGGCTCACGGGCGTCGGGTAGGGCGTCAGCGTCGGCGCCAGCGTCGGCGCCGCCGTCGCGTTGTCCGGCAGCTCCGTCGGCGCCGCCGACGGCGCCGTCTCCTCGGGCACGACGGCGGGCACGAGCGCCATGAGGAGCACGGCGAGCCTCGCGCCGCGGGGCAGCGGGAGCCCCATTGCGGCCCGAGACCGTGTCATCATAGCCCAAATTTATCTCGGGAAACGTAGAAAACACAAGATTCTTGCCGCTCTTTTAAAGCGCGCTCGCGAAAGAACTCGTATTATGAAGGACGACGACGACGCCTCGCCGCGGCCGGACCCGTTGACGGCCGTGGCGCCGCTCGCGTTGCCGCCGCGGTCCGAGGCCAAGAAGATGCCGTCGCTCGCGCTGCCGAGCGCGCGCGGGCGGGCGCCGGGCCTGGCGCTGCCGCCGCGCGACGAGGCCAAGGCGCCGCCGACGCCCCGCGTCGACGACGGCGAGGCGACGCCGGCGCCCGCCGCCCCGAAGAACGAGAACATCCAGAAGCGCTGGGACGCCTTCAGCGCCCTCTACGCCCACAACTTCCGCCTCTGGTCCTCCCCGGCGCACCAGGCCATGGTGTCCGCGCTCGAGCTCGACCGGTCCATGGGCGTGCTCGAGGTCGGCTGCGGCGCGGGCTGGCACCTGCGGAACATCCGCACGGAGTCGGCCTACGCCGCGGGGTTCCGCGCCGTCGACTTCTCGCCGAAGATGATCGAGCTCGCGGGCGACCGGTCCGCGCAGGCGGGATGTATATTGTCGGTGGGCGACGCGCAGGCGCTCAAGGACATCTGGACGGACCGCTTCGACCGCATCCTGTCGAACCTCTGCATCCACATCGTGCCCGACCCGGACCGGGCCCTCGCGGAGTTCTTCCGGTGCTGCGCGCCCGGCGGCGCCGTGGGCTTCACGGTCTGGGGCGAGCGCGCCAAGTCGCCGCTCTTCACGCTGCTCGACGACGTCCTCGCGGAGCTCCGGGCCGCGGGGACGATCCCGACGCCGCCGCCGTCGGACGCGCCGCCCGTGCGGAGCCAGTTCCACCTCGGCCAGGACGACGGCGCGCTGCGGCGCCGCGCCAAGGCCGCGGGCTTCGTCGACGTCGCGAGCTGGCACGTGCCCTGCGCCTGGCCCCGGGGCATCGGCGGCATGCGCCCCGCGGGCGACACCTTCGCCGAGTCCTGGCTCAAGAGCCAGCTCTCGAGCGTCGAGCTCGAGAGGGCGCTCTCGAAGCCGCAGTGGGCCGCGGTGACGCGGGGCCTCGCGGCCAAGGCCCAGGCCCTCTTCGACGGCGGCGCGCCCGTGCTCTGCGACATCGTCGTCGTCATCGGGCGCAAGCCCGTGCCGCCGGGCCTGGAGAAGAAGGCCGTCGCCGTCGACTTCTTCCCGCCGCGGGACCCGCTCATGGACGAGGCGCCCGAGGACATCCTCAAGCGCATCGTCCGGGAAGGGGATCTCGAGGCCTGGCGGGAGGAGGAGCAGCAGCTCGCCGACGACGCCATCGCCGTGGCGTTGGACAACGAGAAGCGCCGCGCCAGGGGCGAGCCCGAGGTCTTCCCGGGCGAGAAGGTCGCCTACGAGGACATGTGCGACGACGAGAAACGCATCGAGGACGCGAAGAAGATGCACATCAAGATGACGCGCCAGGGGCCGTCGGGCTAGCGCGGCTTCTCTAATTTAGTTGTCCTTCAACTTAAAGCAGCCCATCTCTGGTGGTCGCCTTGGGACGATGGCCGCGGCGGCGAAGGTGTCGATCACGGTCGTGAGCGGTGAGCGCGAAGCGCTGAAGCTCACGGTGAAAGGCAGCCTGTCCATGGGCGCCGTGTCGAGCAAATACGAGAAGTGGCTCGCGAAGAAGACCGGCCGGCCGCAGCCCGTGCGCCTCGAGCACCTCGACGGCGCCGCCGTCGACCTCGACGGCGCGGCGGCGGCGCTCGACGGGCAGGCCGTGCGCGTCGTGCTCGCGGCGCCGGCCGAAGAAGAGGCCGCGCCGGCCGAGGAGGCCGCGGCGCCGTTGGCCGAGGAGGTCGCGGCGGCGCCGGCCGATCCGCCGGCGCCGGTCGTCGATCCTCTGCCTCCGGCGCCGGCCATGAACGATCCGCGCGTCGATGCTTCGCCTCCGGCGCCGGCCATCGCCGCTCCGCCTCCGGCGCCGGCGACCGCGCCGCCGCCGGCCGCCGCGCCGCGGCCGCGCGCCTCGGCGCCGCCGCAGCCCGGGAAGAAGAAGATGGGCCTCAAGGGCGCCGTGGGCCGCGGCGCGAAGCGGCGGCCGACGAAGAAGGAGAAGTACGCGCGGGAGCTCGAGCGGCTCGCGGCGGACTACCCCGAGACGTGCGGCGCGGCGTACGACGAGACGCGCGAGGAGGAGGTGTTCCTGCTGGACCTCTACGTGCAGAACGACGTCGCCCTCGGCGACGCGGGCGTGCGGCGCTACGTCGCGGAGAACACGACGGCCGCCGCGCGCCTCGACGGCGCGGCGGCGACGCTGCCGCGGTCGAGCCGCGAGCGCGGCGCCGCGGCCGCGGCCGCCGAGGAGGCGGCCGTGCTCGTGAGCGTCGTCGTGCCGACGACGGGCCGGCGGTCGGCCTTCCACGGCATGCTCTACGCGTGCTTCGCGGCGCAGACGCACGCGCGGCTCGAGCTCGTCGTCCTCGACACGGGCGCCGCGCCGTCGCCCTTCTTCTCCGGCGACCCCGCGGCAACGGCGGACGCGCGCGTGCGCTACGCGCACCGCCCCACCGGCGCCTACGACGACGACGCGACGGGCGCGAAGCGCAACGAGCTCGTCCGGCGAGCGCGGGGCGCGGTCGTCGTCCAGTTCGACGACGACGACGTCTACACGCCCCGGTACGTCGAGCGCGTGCTGAGCGCGATGCGCGGCGCCGGCGCGGCGCTCTTCAAGCTCAGCGCGTGGAAGTGGTTCGACGCCGCGCGCGCGGCCAAGCCCGACGCGGACGACGCGAAGCTCCTCCACTGGTACGACAACGAGCGGGACAAGACGACGGGCTACTGCGCCAACTACACGGCCGCGGGCTGGCACTCGCGCAAGTGGGGCTACGGCTTCTCCTTCGCCTTCGACCGGGCCGTCGCGCTGCGCCACCCGTTCCCGCCGACGTACCTCGGCGAGGACTACGACTTCGTCATGGAGCTGCTCGCGGCGCGCGTGCCCGTCGTCGCCTACCGCGACGACCCGGACGACTCCGTCGTGCTCCACGTGCTCCACAACAACAACTCGTCCGTCGTCGCCAAGCACGAGACGTTCCCGCTGTCGGACCTCGACGCGACCTTCGAGACGCCCATCGGCGCCACGATCCGCGACATGCGCCGGGCCCGCGCCTTCGACACGGAGCTCAGCTCGTACGTGTCCCTGGCGCGCAAGGCGCGGTACGAAGAAGGGGAATTTAAGTGAGTCCAGCGAACGTCCGCTCGGAGCTCACGAGGGGGAATTTGAGTGAGTCCGGTGGACCTCCGCTCGCAGCTCACTGCAAGCTGCGCGTGGAGCGGCCTGGCAGCCTCTTGGGTAGCACTTTTGTCGACGCGATGTTGTTGAAGCCGATGTTGGGGGAGTTTTAGATGGACGACTCCCCCATGTAAAGCAGCGTCGCCTTGCGCCCTCTCCGGTGCGCCGGTTTAAGCGGCCCGAGCTCTCGGAAGCCCCCACCCGGGCGCGGGTCCGCCCGCGCCGTTGGCCGCCCCTCTTCGACCATGGGCGGCGGCCTCTCCAAGGGCCACCGGAGCTCCGCGAAGGACGCCGTCTCCCGCAAGGGCGAGAGCACGGGGCTGCCCCACGGCCGCCTCGCGCTCGGGGAGTCGTTCTTCAAGAAGTCCTTCGCCGTCGAGCTCTGCGCCAAGGCGGGCCTCGCGCCGGCGCAGGTGCGCGAGAGCCTCCTGGGCCTGGGCGCGACGCCGACGCCCGCGGTCGCGGGGCGGCCCTGCGCCGTCGGCGCGCTGACGCTGCGGTCGCTCGCGCCCGGCCGGGCGCCCTGCCGGTCGACCTTCGTCGTCAACGCGTCGTCGTCGGCCAAGGCGCCCGACGGCTCCGGCGACCGCGCGGCCTGGGCCGCGCTCTGCGAGGGCCACGGCCCCCAGGGCGAGCAGTGCGCGAAATTCGCGCGCGACCGCATGGAGCACCTGGTCCGGCGGGCCATGTCCGCGCCCTACGCGACGCCGCCGGCGGCCCTGGCCAACGCCTTCGCCGCGCTCGACGGCGCCCTCGACGAGGCGCGCGTCTGCGGCGCGCGGAGCGGGTGCTCCGCGGCGGCCGCGCTCCTGAGCGGCGACCGCGCGTACTGCGCGCTCCTGGGCACCTGCGGCGTCGTCTTGGTCACGAAGGACCGCCAGGGCTGCCACGCGCGCGAGCTCGCGCCGCGCCACGTGCTGAGCGTCGCCGCGGAGGCGGACCGCGCGCGCGCGGCGGGCGCCGTCGTCTGCGCGGCGGCGGAGCGGCGCGCGGCGCCAGGCGCGTTCGGCTCCGACGAGGCGCTCCTGGGCGTGCTCGAGGCGGGCGACGGCGGCGACCGGCGGCCGCGGCTCTACGCGGCGGAGGAGGGGTCCACGCTGCCCGGCTACTCCTTCGCGCGGTGCCTCGCAGGGCAGCAAAAGAAAGCGAAATTCCCAACTTCAAAGGCTCCTATCTCGGCCGTTTTCCACTCGTCGGCTAATTTTTGGACGAGCGATCATCTCTCGGAACGGTCTCGAAGCGTGGATGCTTTTTTCTCGGAACGCGCGCGCGCGGCACACTCACGTTGAAGCGACGTTGAATCACCCTTTTGCCGCCCAGGTGCCTCGGCGACCCGGCGGCGAAGAGGCTCGGCGTCGTCGCGGAGCCGTCCGTCGTCGAGCACGAGTTCGGCCCCGGCGACGAGTTCCTCATCCTGGCGTCGGAGTCGGTCTTCGACGCGCTCCGAAGCGACGCCTTCGCGACCATCTGCGAGGGCCAGGACGACCCGTGGACCGTCGCGCACCTCGTCCTCGCAAAGGCCGCGGAGGCCGTCCTCGACGCGCGGCTCTCGCCGGACGACCTGACCTGCGTCGTCGCCCACGTCGGCGGGCGGCCGGGCGCCGCGCCGAAGCCCGCGCGGCCGCGCGCCGCGGACGCGGCGCCGCTCGCGCCCGTGCCCAAGCCCGCGGCCGCGGCGGCCGAGGCGCCGCCGCCGCGCGCCCTCGACGCGCCGGCGCCCGAGGCGCTGCCCGCGCTCGCGGCGCGCAAGGCCAAGGCGCCGGAGCCGCTCCTCCTCGGCGAGGACGGCGCCGCCAAGGCGCCGGAGCCGGCGGCCCTCGCGCCCGTCGCCGCGCCGCCGCCCGCCGCGGCGAGGGCGCCGCCGGACGACGCCGCGGAGCCCGAGCCGGAGTCGGAGACGGCCGCGACGCCGTCGCGGCGCCTCGCGGCCGGCGCGACGCTGGCGCCCCTGGGCAAGGCGGCGACGCCGCCGGCCCTGGGCCGCAAGCTCCAGCCCCTCGGGTCGCCGCCGAAGGCGCTCAAGCTCGCGCCCCTGAAGCTCGCGCCCCTCGGGTCGCCGCCCGCGCTCGGGTCGCCGCCGCCGCCGAAGCCGAAGGAGGCCCTCGGGCCCGTCCTCGGCTCCACGCCCAAGGCCCGCCTGCGGCCCGTGATGACCGGGTAACATCGACATATTTTCGCGGCCGCGTGAAAGTTGCACCTCAACCCTAAAACCTTGCCCCACCTCAGCCCCGTCACGAGCTGCGCCCGCCGCGTCGTCGTCGGCACGATGCGCGTCTCGAGGTTCGCGATGTGTTCGTTGGTCGTCGCGACAGCGCTGCGGCCGCAGACGTCCCGCGGATCGACGTCGCGTTCATGGCATGTGCAGCGAGCAAGAGCGCTCGTGATCCAGAAAGGTTGGATCGAACAGATGGATCAGGCGAGCGGGGATATCTTCTACTACAACGACGAGACGGGCGAGTCGTCGTGGCACCCTCCTCCTGGCTTTCAGGTCGGAGGAGCCGCTCCTCCAGGAGCGATGCCGGGCGGTTGGGTCGCGCTCGTCGACGAGGCCTCCGGAGAGACCTTCTACGTCAACGAGCAGACGGGCCAGTCGCAGTGGGAGCCGCCGCAACAGGCGGCGGTGGCCGCGCGGCCCAGGCAGCACGACGTGTATGATCCGCGAAGCGTGACGCAGTCGTACGATCAGTATCTTGCTGAGCCTCCAGCCGCGGGCCAATGAGCCCAGACCCGGCCGGTGTGGCGCGTGGCGCTACGCCGGCAAGGATCGGATGCCGCGTTCACTGAGTTAACATCTGACTCGTGCGCACGCCCGCCGGGTTACTTCGTATCACTATGATCGACGAGCACAAGCCCGAATCCTACGTCCGCCCCGCGCGTGCCTCCCTCGGACGCGCGCTCACTCGACCATCGGGCAGTGGGGGAATCGAAATCGCAAGATCGTAGAGCACTTGGGGTGTTTCGAGTCCGCGGAAGGGTTCTGGAAGGGTTCCGGATATGTTAGCGATCACGCGCGCGGCGACGGCGGAACTTGGAGGTCCCTCACGGCCTGCTCGAGGTCGAAGGTCGCCGTGACTTTCGGGTTCCGCCGTCGCGTCATCTCGTCGCCGACGGTCTGCAGCATCACGAGCGACGCGTAGATCGCCGCGCCGAGCGGCCGGAGCACGCCGAGGCTCGCGAGCGCCGCCGCGCCGCAGAGGAAGACGTTGACGCCGAGGAGCCCGCGCGCCGTGGCGTCGGCGACGGGCGCGGGCGCGCCGTCCTCGTCGAAGCGGCACGCGCCGGCGCCGGACGCCCAGAAGCGGACGTCGGCCGCGGCGAGCACCGCGGCGCCCGCGAGCGCGCGGCCCGACGCGGCGACGGCGAGGCCGACGAGCTGGCCGACGATCTTCGCGCGCACGACGCGGGCCCACCTGTCGCCGTTGGCCCCGCCCCAGCCCGCCGCGCGCTCCGCGGACGCCAGCTGGCGCTGCGCCGTGGGCTCGAAGTCGACGACCGCGGCGAGCGCCGTGGCGACCTGCGCGGCGCCTTCGGCCCGCGGGAGCCGGAAGGCGGTGGCCAGCGCCGCCGCGGCGAGGCCTCGGTAGGCCAAGGGCAAGAGGGCGCGCATGAAGAACGGCGCGAACGCCAGGTCGACCGGGGGGGGCGCGAGCGCCTCGTCGTCCGCCGGCTGCGCCATTTCCTCCGCGAGTAGGCGCAGCTCGGCTTGGATTTCATCCTTCTGCGGTTTCGGTTGTGACCGGAGCTGGAAGCTGCGAGGCGACTGGACGCTGCGAATCGACTGGAAGCCGCTCGCTGCGGCCACGAGCGCCAGGAGAAGCATCGCAGAGCGTCGCTTCGGCCGCACGCAGTCGAGCAAACCTTCAACTGCGGCAATGTTGCGGCACGTATCAGCGCTTGAAGCCTGCCCAACGCTCTCGCATCGAGGCAACTATGGGCGGCGGCGTCTCTCGCCCCCCCGGGGCGCGGCAGATGGTGCTCTACTCGCTGAGCAGAAAGACGCACTTCGAGAAGGGCGAGCTGTCGAAGCTCCACGTGAAATTCCGGGAGCTGGCGGCCAAGGAGGGCAACCCCTACACCATCACCCTGGCGGACTTCCAGGAGGCGCTGACCTTCGTGGGCATCGACGAGAGCGACGGCACGCTGCTCGCCGCCGTCTTCAAGCAGATGGACCTCACGGACAGCGGCGTCGAGACGGGCCAGGTCAACTTCAGCCAGTTCTGCGCGGTCTGCAGCAGCATGCTCAGCGGGCCCATGGAGGAGAAGCTCGACTTCTCCTTCGCGCTCTACGACACGAACGGCACGGGCCTCGTCGAGAAGACGGGCATGGTCGAGATACGCGGCCATCAACAGCGCGGCGTCCTTCTTCGGCGACCCGACGCTCAGCCCCGAGGAGTGCACGGAGCTGGTGGATACGATCTTCAAGGAGCACGACACGGACGGCACGGGCTCCCTGTCCTACAAGCAGTACATGTCGGCCATCGTCGCCAACCCCATCCTCACGTCCTTCGTCTCCGGCCAGGGCAAGGGGCCCGTGTCCCAGGCGTCCATCAAGGACCTCCCCGCGGACCTCCCCGAGGCCGCGCCCGAGGCCGACGGCCCGGCGCCGGCGCCCGAGGAGGCCGCGGCCTACGCCGCCGCGCCCGCCCCAGCGGCATAGGGCGGGCGCTCCCCCCGACCTTCGCGCGACTTCGACCCCCGCCTCCCCTGCCCCCGCGCCGCGGGACCTAGGACCGACTCCGGCGGCACGGGGGCGCATGTTCGGCGGCCGCGCGCAGGGCCAGCCCGGCGCGCGGATCTGCCACCGAGGCGTCGGACGAAGTGGCGTGTAGAAGCTGCGAGGCAGTCGCTGCTTGAAGTGCATGTTGACGGAGATGCTGATTGTCGGGCTCGCCATCTTCTTGTGTTGTCTTGTGGCAGGGCAGCGGCGCCGCCATACTTCGCGTCAAGAATACGCCTTTTTGATGTCTCGCTGCGGAGCCGTGCTGGCCATTTTGGCCGTCGCCGCCGCCGCCGACGACCCCTGCACCCTGTTGCCGCACCCGACGACGGCGGAGCTGCTGCCGGCGCCGGCGAACGCGTCGGCGCACGCGGCCTGGCTCGCGTCCTTGATCGCCTTCCGCGAGACGTGCCTCGCGTCCGTCGGCTGGCCCGGCAACTCGACGGTGTGGGAGGCGCTGCGCTGGACGCGGACGTCGTTCGTGCAACCGCAGATGCACCCCTACGACCGCGGCTTCTACGACCCGAAGCGGGGCTACACCGTCGACGCCTGGCTCGACGGCCTCGAGGCGCGGTACGGCGGCATCGACAGCGCCCTCGTCTGGCCGACGTACACGAACATCGGCATCGACGAGCGGTCGCAGTTCGACTACGTGCTCGCGATGCCCGGCGGCGCCGCGGCGCTCGCGAACGTCTCCGCGGCGCTCCACGCGCGCGGCGTCCGCGCGCTGTGGCCCTACAACCCCTGGGACACGGGCACGCGGCGCGACGCCTACGGCCGGTCCGACGCGGCGATCCTCGCGGCGCTCGACGTCGACACGGGCTTCGACGGCTTCAACGGCGACACGATGACGACCGTGCCCGAGGCCTTCTACGACGCGTCCGTCGAGGCCGGCCGCCCCGGCGCCATCGAGCCCGAGGTCGGCGGCGACGCCGCGGAGCTCGCGTGGGGGACGCTGGGCTGGGGCTACTGGGCGCAGACGATGGGCGAGCCGAGCCCCGAGGCGCCGCCGGTCGATCGGTGGAAGTGGCTCGACCGGCGGCGGCTGACGCACGTGTGCAACCGCTGGGCCAAGGACCACGCGGACGACCTCCAGTTCGCCTGGTTCAACGCCGACGGCTTCGAGGCCTGGGAGAACGTCTGGGGCGTCTGGAACGGCCTGACGCCGCGCGACGCCGAGGCGCTGCGCCGGGTCGCGACGATGCTCCGCTTCTTCGGCGCGCGGAACCTGACCTGGGCGTCCGGCTGGGTGCCGCACGCGCCGGTGGGCGGCGCGGGCGTCTACGCGAGCCTCTGGCCGACGGCGACGGAGGCCCTCTGGACGCTGGTCGGCCGCGGCGCGGCGGCCGCGACGGCGCGCGTCGACGTCTCGGGGCGGGTCCCCGAGGGCGGCCGCGTCTACGACTGCTACGGCGGCGCGGAGCTCGACGTGAAGGGCGGCGCCGTCGAGGTCGCCGTCGAGGCCGGCGGCTTCGGCTGCGTCTGGGCGACCGAGGCCGACGGCCGCGACTTCCTCGCGACGATGGCGGCGATGACGACGCGGCCGCTCGGCGACTACGGCGCGTCCTGGGTCGCCGCGAAGCAGACGCGGGCGCCGACGCCGGCGACGACGCCGACGGACGACGTAGAACGGGGCATGACGCGCTTGCCGAGCGCCGTCTTCCGCTACCGGGTCGCGGGCGTCCAGATCGAGGCCTTCCCGGACCAGAACGGCGTCGACGTCCAGTTCCCCTGGGAGCCCGCGCCGACGCGGAGCCACGACCAGCTCGTGACCGTCGACGCCTTCGACGTGGACACGTACCCCGTCACGAACGCGGACTACGACGTCTACCTCGCCGAGTCGGGCTACCTCCCGGAGAACGCCTACAACTGGCTCAGGACGTGGGCCCACCCGCGCAACGACAGCGCGTTCCACCGCGCGGCGTCCGCGAAGCCGGCGCCGCCGCCGGGCGCCGGGAAGCGGCCCGTCGTCCACGTGGGCCTCGAGGAGGCGCGCGCCTACTGCGCGCATCGCGGGAAGCGGCTCCCGACGGACGCGGAGTGGCAGTACGCGGCCCAGGGCCTCGACGGCCGCGCGTACCCGTGGGGCGACGCGGACGACGCGTCGCGGCGGCCGCCGCTCGTCGACGACGCGGCGGCGTGCCCGCCGCGGAGCGACGTCGACGCGTACCCGTCCGGCGCGTCGCCCTTTGGCGTGCTGGACATGGCGGGCAACGTCTGGCAGTACACGGACGAGTTCTTCGACGACCACACCCGCGGCGCGCTCCTCCGGGGCTCGGCGAACTACCGGCCCGGGGCGTCGACCTGGTACTTCCCCCGGGCGCTCCGCAACGACCAGCACAACAAGTACTTCCTCATGGACGCGTCCTACGAGCGCGCCTCGACGATCGGCTTCCGCTGCGCGCGCGCGGCGCCCGCCGACGACCGGGGCGCCGCCGCGGACTGCGTCCCCGGCGCCGGCGCGCTCTGCCTGCGGCTCCACCCGCCGGCGGCCTTCGTCGACTTCGACGGCGCCGCGGCCTGGATCCACTGCGGCCTCGCGGGCACGGCCTGCGACCGCAAGGCCAAGGCCACCGCGAACTTGACGCACGTCTCGGGGGAGGCGACGAGCCAGTTCACGAACAACCCGTCGGCCTTCTCCTGGACGGGCGGCGAGCCCACGAAGAAAACGGCAAATACTACAAACGGCGTCTTCGCGACGGCGGGCAGCCTCGCGCGCCTCGAGGCGACGGCGCCGGAGGGCTCCGTCGGCGAGCTCACGGTCTTCGCGGGCGCCTACTACGCGGCCGCCGACTTCACGGTCTCCGCCGGCGGCGAGTCGAGGGCCATCCCCGTGGCGGCGCCCGACGGCCTCCAGACCGTCGCGTTCACGGTCAAGTTCACCGGGACGCTCGCGACGTCCTGGACGCTGACGGACGCGTTCCCGTCGACGGACGCGCCGAACATCAACTTCCAGGCCGCGGCGCTCAAGCTCGCCTGAGTCTAAGGAACAACATGAGACAGGCCTCTCGACTGGTCCAAGGTGCAGGGGACGACCCCGGCCCGAAAACCACATCCGTGCCAACCACACTCAGCCCTCGTTGCACTTCGAGTTGCACACATGTTGGCGTGTGACGATGGCTGCTCGTGGTCACTCTCGCGCCGTACCATGTCGACGGACAGCACAACGCCTCTGCCTGTTGCTCCTCGCGACGACGCAGGCGCTGTCGCCCTACTCCCAGTTGGGCATCCGCGTGGACCCGCAGCGCGTCGAAGCGCAGGCCATGCTCCAAAAGGCCGCGGAGACGACGCCCGGCTTCCGGCTCGTGGGCGACGCCGCCATCTCCGCCGACGACCTGGGCTGGAGCTGCGCGCTCATCGACGGCGTCTTGGAGTTCGAGACGCCGACGCTCGACGAGTGCGCGTGGCTGAGCCAGCGGTTGGCGGAGTGCGGCGCCGTCGACGCCGTCGAGCTCTTCGCGTCCACGGCGCTGGGCTACTGGGGCGAGTTCCGCGAGGCGGCGACGCCCTACGCCGACGACCACTGGGACTTTGACGTCGGCGCGCTGCGCCGCGACGGCTACGCGATCCTGCGGGGCGCCGCGCCCGAGTGGCGCGCGGCCGCGGCCGGCGCCGCGGCCGCGGGCGCGGGCAACCTGACGGGCCAGGGCCACGACCTGCGCACGGACCGCGTCCACTGGGTCGACGGCTCCGCGGCGCCGGCCTTCGCGGGCGCCGTCGGGGCGCTCAAGTCCGTCGCGGCGTACCTCAACGGCCACTTCGTCGACGGGCCGGGCTTCCTATGCCGGGGCCCCGCGCCGCCGGCGGCGCCGGCGACGGCCGACGCGCCCCTCACGGTCACGAGGCACGTCCAGCTGGCGACGTACCGGCCCGAGGTCGACGGCTCGGGCGGCTACACGCTCCACTCGGACAACGGGCCGTCGTCTCCCGGCAAGGCGAAGAAGAACGGGCGGCACGTGACGGCCATATTGTACCTCAACGAGCACTGGGACGAGGCCGACGGCGGCGCCCTCGAGCTCTACCCGGACTCCGTGGACGACGCGGCCGTGCAGCGAGTGCTGCTCGGGCAGGCGGGCCGCGCGTGGACGCCCGCGGACGAGCGGAATCTGGAAGCCGCGCTCGCCGGCCACCGCCGCGTCGAGGTCTGGCCCGAGGCGGGCACAGTCGTCGTCTTCGACTCGCGCCTCGTCCACACCGTGCGGCCCGCGAAGCGCGACCGCCGCGCGCTCACGCTCTGGATGTCCAAGCCCGCGGACGGCGACATGCTCCCCGTGGGCCGCGGCGAGGTCTACAACGACTTCGCGGGCAGGTGGATCGGGGACGACGAGTAACGAGAACTCTGTGAGTTGTCCGCGGCGCGTCGACGTGGGGTTTCGCGTGCACCGCGCGCTCGCAGCGCGCCCGCTCGTTCGCCAGCTCGTCGAGGCGCGTCGCGAGGCCGTCGCGTCCTCTTAGCCGCGGCGCAGGGAGGAATCGAAGGGAGGGAGGATCAAAGGGGAGGGCTAGCGTAGCGGAGCGAGGAGCGAGAGCACGATACGCCTCACGATCGACACCTCGAGAGGCGTCTCGAGGTGCCTCGATCGTCGCGTCCTCCACTTCGACATCGGCGATCGTACATGTAGATCTCCTCCAGGTGGAGACCGGTGGTCGCCACGCGGACCCGATCGACGAACGATATGCGTCCGCGTCCGTCTCGATGGCGATGGTCGCTCCCCCTCGTCGTCGCCCTCCTGGGTGCCCCGACGGCGGCGTCCTCCGAGCCGACGTGGAGCGCGGGCGCCATGGACGACTACGTGAAAGACTGGGCGCGGGCCGGGTCCGTGGGGCGCTGCGGGTCGGACCACTGCGACTGGATGAAGGACTTCGGCGCCATCGACGTGGGCTGCACCTTCGACGTCGGGCGCATCGGCCTCAACGTCAAGGACGCGGCGCGCGGCGGCCGCGGCCCCGAGCTCGTTTTCACGTTCGGCGACGGCACGACGTTCGTCGCAACCGCGACCGGCGGGCCCACGACCGCTTCCTGCGCCGCCCCGCGGTCTGCGAGTACGCGCCCGGCGCCGCGACGAAGCCCCAGGACGGCGCCCCCGCGCTCCTCATGGTCGCGAACGGGCCCTACTACCTGTTTCGCCTCTGGCCGCTCTTCCTCAACAAGCTCCTCTACGCGTCGGACGCGGGCCTGCGGCCCTTCATCTGGCTCGGCGAGCTCCCGCCGACGCTCGAGGAGGCGACGGCGCCCCGGTGCCTGGACAGCAAGCCCGGCAAGGCGCGGAGGGAGAAGCTCGCGACGCAAAAGGCGGCGCGCGACGCGGAGCGGCTGGCGAAAATGTCGGCCCGGTGCCGCGCCGGCGACTCCGAGACGTTCTGGTACGACAATAATATGGGCTTGTATGGTTCTATACAACCTCTCTATGCCACATCTCACGCTCGCTGCGGCATGAGCCGCGAGGATCTCGTCAAATGTCCTTCGTGAGCACGTGCGCAGGGCTCGCGTGCGATCGAGCGTGCACCAGAGCTCCAGAAAGCTGGATGTCTATCTCACCAAAGAATTGGCTCAACAGCGCGAGCGCCATCGCCTGTTGGAGTGGCAACGTGAGATGGAGACGCAGATACGAGCGGAGCGGGAGCGCGTCGAGAGGGCGTACAGGCGCACGAGCTGGTGGTCCAGGATTCTCCATTCGCTCTCCTGCATACCGCACGACGAGTTTGAAGATCAAGTGCGGCTTTTGCGGTCCCCCCCCTGTAGTCGCGCGAGCGAGCGTGTAGGTTCAGGGGCGTGACCCGCCCAATCCTGCACACGGCTCAGCTCGTGACGCGAAAGGGGGCGTCCCCAGCTGGGTCAAGCGGATCCTCTCTCTTCCCCCCTTTCCTCCTGTTTTTTGGGGGGTGGGGGTGGGGGAGACATGATTTAGTCGGCCTGTCTCGAGAGAAAAAAAAAAAGCCGACGCCCGCGCCGACGACCACGCCGACGGCGACCCGCTGCGAGGACGACGACGACTGGCTCTACGACGGCAAGGACGGCCGCGGCTGCGCGTGGATCGCCGAGAAGACGTTCCGCTGCGACGGCAAAGACGGAGCGCGCGAGGCCTGCCCCGCGACCTGCGGCGAGTGCGAGCCCGCTTGCGAGGACGACGAGACCTGGTTCTCGAAGAAAAGCAGCAACAACTGCCGGTGGGTCGCCGAAAAGCCCGACTCACGCTGCAGCAGAAAGAGCGACGACAAGGTCAAAGCGAAGGATGCCTGCCCCGTGGCCTGCGGCACCTGCGTGTAAGAACGAAGGGCGCCCGAACGCGGAGAGGAAGCCCTGCAAGAAGGCAGACGGCTGCTAGTGGAAGAGGGGGCAGTGCATGGCCTCCTCGGGAACTTCCTGCAAGAAGCAGAAGAAGGAAAAGAAGTGCACCAAGGCCGCCGGCTGCGCGTGGAACGCGAAGAAGGAGAAGTGTGCGGACTGCGCGAAGCAGAAGAAAGCCAGCAAGTGCAAACGGGCGGGCTGCAAGTGGAAGAAGAGCAAGGAGAAGTGCCTCGCGAAGAAGTAGGAGTAGGGCCCTAATCAAGATTCTCCCACGTTCCCGGGCGCGTCAGTTAGCCTCCGCCTCGACGAACCGTCGCGCGAGGGCCGCGGCGTCGCGCTCGGCGTCCGCGCGCGCGTCGAGGCGGTCGACGCGGAGCCGCCCTGTCGCCCCCCCCCCCCCCCCTGGCGCGGCGCTCGCGCTTAAGGAGCTCGTGGGCGGCCTCGGCCCGGCCGACGACGTCGCGCGCGTCGGGGGGCGGGCTCTTGGGGAGACGCGGCGCTGCCTAGGCCGCGACGCTCGAGTGCACATGCTTACCCGTCCTCCTCGGACGACGGCGGCGGCTCGTCGTCGTCGCCGCCGTCGCCCTTGATCTTCGCGCGGAGCTTCTTCATGGCCCCCAGCGACCGCGCGGACGCGGCCATGCCGAAGGACCGGCGCCGGCCGACCTGGGGGTTGAGCGGCGCGTCGCCGTCGCCCGGCTCCGGCACGGGCAGGTCCGCCTTCTTCGGCTTGATCATGTTCTTCCACTTGGAGCCGCCGGCCAACGCCGAGAACGCGCCCTTGACGGAGCCGCGGCGCGGCTCCTCCTCCTTCTCGACGAACTCGAGCTGGAGCGGGTTCGCCGCGACGTCGCCCACGGCCTTGGCGCGCGCGTCGGCGTCGGCCTGGCTCTTGACCATGGACTTGCGGCGCCAGGCCTTGCCGAGGCCGATGGCCGCGAGGCCCGCGGAGCCCGCGCCCTCGACCTCGGGCGCCTTGGGCGTCTTGGCGCGCTTCTTCTGCTCCGCGCCCTCCATGGACAGCTCGCTGTCGGAGCCGCCGTCGTCGGACGACTCGTTCGCGTCGCTCTCGGAGTCGCGGTGGAAGAACGCGGCGAACTTCTTCTGCACGTCCTCCTCCTGCTTCTCGTCGTCGTCGGCGGGCGTGCCGCCCTCGAGGAGCCGCGCGCGCTCCGCGGCCTTGGCCTGGCGCTCCTCGGGCGTGAGGGGCCGCTTCGGCGTGTGGCGGTGCCGGCTGTTGGGGCGCTCGGGGCTCTTGCCGCGCTTCGGCGTGCCCGGCGACTTGGACCGCTTCGCGCCCGTGCCCGGCCGCGGGCTGCCCACGGCGGCGTCCATCTCCGCGCTCAGGTCCTCGAGCGCGCCCTCGCGCATCTCGCCGTAGGCGACGGCGACGAACTCGAGGTCCGGCCGCGCGGCGTCCTCGAGGAAGAACGCGTGGCTCCCCGCGGCCGTGACCTTGGTCGAGAAGTCGGACGACGCGTCGGCGACCTTGAGGGGCGTGTCGCGCACGGGCACGCGCACGCGCCGCGGGAAAGCGCCCGTCGCGAGGCGGTGCCGCTCCGCGGCGCGCGCGCGCTTCCGCGCGCCGCGGCACGCGTTCTGCATCTCCTCCTCGTTCGCGTCCATCTCCATCTCGAGCGACGGGCAGCGCCAGTACTCGTCGTGGAGGTAGGGCACGAGCACGCGGAAGCGCCGGTACTGGTGCACGAGCTTCGGCGGGAACTGGATGGCGAAGTTGAGGTTCTCGAGGCACTTCTTCGCGCAGGGCACGTTCTCCTGGACCGCGCGCGCGAGCACGGGGAAGAGGCAGGGCCGCTGGCTCATCTCCGTGACGAGCATGGTCCGCGCGCCGCCGAAGACGACGGCGAGCAGCGCGCCGGCCGTCGCCGCCGGCGGCGCCCGCGCGGGCGCGCAGCGGCCGCCCTCGAAGGCCGCGGCGCACGCCTTCTCCGCGACGGACATGGGCGCGACGGCGCGGCTCGCGTCGCTGATGGCGTTGTCGTCGTCCTTGGCGGACGCGCCGGCGCCCTGGATCTCCGCGCAGTAGACGTCGCAGGCCTCCTCGATGAAGTCGAGGACGCCCAGGCCCCGCACGAGGCCCTGGAGCGCCGCGGAGCAGCGGTGGATATCGGACGAGTTGACGATGAGGACGCGCGGGAACGTGACGACGGCCGCGATGAGCGCCGCGGCGCTCTCCTGGGTCCGCGGGTTGCAGAGGTTCGCGACGCACTCCTCGAGGACGCCCTGGCGGACCATCTCCGCCTTGCGCTTCAGGAGCTCGGGCACGGGGATGCGCTGCTGGGCCTCCGTCGGGTCCATGCGGTCGATGGTCATCGTCGCGATGGCGCCCTGGAGGTTCTTCTTCGTCTCGCCGTCGTTGACCTCCTTCTTCGACTTGGACGACCCCGCCTTGGCGACGCGCGCGCCCGCGGAGCAGCCGAGCATGAAGAGGAGCTTGCCGAAGTAGGTGTTGCGCTGCTTCGGGTTGAGGCACTCCGTCGCGAGCTTGCGGCTCAGGGCCCCGATGGACTTGGCGATCTCGCGCTGCTTCCGCTTCTCCTCCTGGAACTGCTTCGTCTTCGACGACAGGAGCGCGCGCTCCTTCTCCGCCTCCTTCTCCTTCTTGGCGACGTCGCGCGCCATGAAGCTGAAGACGGGCACGCGGGGCACGGGGTCCCAGAAGCGCACGAGGAGCGCGACGCACATGTGCGTCAGGCCCGTCTCGTCCTCGAGGCGGTACCACGCGCGGTACGGCGGCGCGCACATGAGCTCGCGCGTCGTCAGCCGCAGGCGCCCGATGGGCGCGCCGCCGCCGTCGTCCTCGTCGGGCTTCTTGCGGCCGAACATGGTCATGCGGCCGCCGCCGCGGCGCTGCTCGCCGCGCGACGCGGCGAGGAGGCCCTGCTGGCCCGCGATGGCCAGGCCCGCGTTCGACGCGAGCGCGTCGACGTGCTGCGTCTCCGTCTTCGACGTGTCGACGATCTGCTCCCGGAGGTGCTCGTCCTCGCTGTCCGTGCCCGGCGTGCCCGGCCGCGGCGGGAGCTTGCCCGGCGCCTCGCGCTGCTCGCTCCCGGGGCTCGTGGGCCGCGCCTGCGCCGGCGCGAGGCCGAAGACGGCGGTCTGCCGCCGCGCGAGGAGCGCGTCCTGCCGCCGCGCGCGCTGGGCCTTCTCCTCCGCGGCCCGCGTCCTCCGCTCCTCGACGAGGCGCTCGCGCTCCGCCTCCCGGGCCGCCGCGTCGTCCTCGGCCTTCTGCTCGTCGTCGCTCTTGTCGCCCGCGCCCTTGGACGGCGTGCCCGGCCGCTTGACGAGGCTCCGCATCGTCGTCCGCCGCTTGCCCGCGGCGCCCTCGCGCGCCTTCTGCGCGTCGCCGACGGAGCCGAGCTCGAACTTGCGGCGCCGCGCGCGCGCGGCGACGCCGCGGACGGCCGTGTCCTGGACCTCGATCTCCAGCACGGAGTCGCGCATCATGGACTTGGCGACCTGGCCCGCGATATTGTCCGTGACGCCGATGCCGCCGAGCTTCGCGGACGCCTTGACCTTGAGGACGTGGCGCGTCGTGTCGCACTCCCTCCACGTCGGCCGCGCGGCGTCGACGGCGATGGCCTGGGGCGTGACGCCGCCGACGGGGCTCAGCGCGTGCTTCTCCTCCTCGATGGGGTCGAAGGGCTCCGACTCGCCGACGACCTTCGCGCCCCACTTGATGACGAGCCGCGGCTTCGACGGCCGCTCCTTGCCGCTCGCCTTCTTGTTCACCGTCGCGCGCCGCGCGACCTTGGGCTCGTCGTCGTCGAGGCCGTCGTCGTCGAGGATCGTCGCCGCGTCCTTCTCCGCGAGGGGGTAGGCCTTGTCGGGCAGCTGCGGCGGCGCCTCGCCCGCGAAGCGCGGCAGGTTGATGACCTCGAGCACCGTGACGCGCAGGACGCCCGTCTCGTTGAGCCGCGGCTCGCCCGCGGCCTTCTCGAGCTCGGAGCAGCAGTCGCCGACCTCGTCGCGGCCGAGCATGAAGACGCGGCACGCGTCCAAAAGCACCGCGCCCTGGTAGATGCGCGTCGCCTGTGCCGAATTCAACCGCTGGTTTGGGTGGTCCTGACCAAACTTCAGAACTCTCTAGCTCGGTCACATCGACGTCGATTCGGCTGATTTTTGGACGAATCGATTGCTCTCGTCGAGTTCTCGAAGCGCAGCCAAAAAGGTTGCGTCGAAACTGTCGCGTACGCTCACATTGAAGTCGGGTTGAAGATTTGATTTCCACACTGCGCGTCGCCTGCACGGCGATCTTCGCGCGGTCGCCCGGCGCGCCGATGATCTCCACCTCGAGCTTCTCCCACTGGCGCACCATGCGCGCCCGCTTCGATTCCGAGTAGCGGTCCTTGTAGTCGAAGCCCACGAGCGCGCAGCCCGAGTCGTGCGGCCTGTGTGCAAATCAACCAGTGAGCTGGGACGTCGGGGCCAAACTTGAGAACTCTCTCGCTCGGTCACATCGAAGCCGATTTGGTTGATTTTTGGACGAATCGATTGCTCTCGTCGAATTCTCGAAGCACGGCGGAAGTGCTTGTGTCAAAACATTCGAATACGTGCACATTGAAGTCGGGTTGAAGATTTGAATTCCACACAGCGTGCGGCAGCTCCTCGCGGTCCGTGGAGCAGTCGTGGTACACAAAGACCTCGACGCGGTAGCGCCGGCTCTCCTTGACCTCGATGTCCGCGCAGCAGCCGCCGTCGAGGCCGCCGGGCAGGTTCAGCACGAGGCACTGGCGCCCCGTGAGGCAGCACGGCCGCGGGTGCGGGTCGTCGTCCGACGGCGCGGCGGGCTTCGGGTCGCTCTGGGCGATGGTCAGCTTCTGCGCGAGCACGTAGTCGTCGCCCGACGCCAGCGCGTTGGCGCCGCCCTCGCCGCCCCGGGTCAAGATCCCGAAGAACACGGACCAGAGCCGGTCGATCTCCTGCGGCTCCTCGAAGAAGAACGCCTGGCAGTACGTCGCCTTCGTCGTCCGGATGGGGTTCGACGTCACCCTCGTGCCGTCGACGATCATGGGCTTGGCGCCGCCCTTCTTCTGGGCGCGGTCGTGCACGGCCGCGAGCTGGAACTCGTACTCCGTGTCCGACTTGAGCGACGTGACGACGCGGCTCCGCGTCTCCGGCTCGCGCGTGTGCTCGACGACGGTCGTGAACGCGCCGCTCCCGAAGCCCTGGCCGCCGTAGGACTCGCGCATCATGATGCGCACGCCGTCGAGGCGGTAGCGCGTCTTCGGCCGCGTCCACCGGAGCCGCACGGACGTCGACGTCACCTGGTCGACGAGCAGCAGGTTCACGCGCTTGCCCGCGTCGTCCTTGTTCGCGTGCGTCAGCTTGAACTTCGTCGCGAGGCCCTTGCTCAGCGCCTCCGTCTTGATGGCCGTGCTCAGCGCGTCGGACGCCGCCTCGTGGCGCGCGGCCTCGGCCTTGCGCGCCTCCTCCTCCGGGTCCTTGGACGCCTCGTTGGTCGTCACGATGCCCGCGCCTAAAATGTCGAGCGCGCCCATGTCGAGGTCGTCCATGGTTGCGGCGGCGCGGCGGCCGCGGGCAGCGCCGACGCGGGCTGTTGTGTTTGCGGCGGCGCGGCGGCCGCGGGCAGCGCGCGCGCCGACGCGGGCTGCCGCCGGCCGGGCCAGCGCTCAAAAGTGCAACGACGCTTAATTGACTTGGGTGCATTTTTGTAACGTTCTAGATGGGCTTCCGATCGCGATCTGGGCTGCTGCTGCTGCTCGCGCCGAGCGCGCTGGCCATCAAATGCTTCGAAGGCTGGAAAATGTACCAGCCTCAGAGCGGCGAGTACGATTGCAGCTCGCTGACGGGCGTCGAAGACAAGGCAACCTACGAGCAGGAATGGCGCGAGGAGGACAACTACGTCTTCGACTGCAGCACCTTGCCGGAGCAATACACGGAATGCCTGCTGATGACCTACACCAACGAGTGAGTTTCTAAACCTTCGCGCAGACACGAGAGACGCGCGCGCGACGCAACGGATCGCCGCGTCGCCCCGGGGATATCCGCGACGCGATCCGAACTCGCCATCCCTACGTAGCATTCCCAATCCCGACTGGGACGACAACGACATCGGCGGCCGCTGCCGCCAGTACGTCGCCCGCGGCGAGTGCTACTCGCCGTCCACGAGCCAAGGCTGCGACTACAACAAAGGCTCCGGCGCTTTCGATTGGACCGGCGACTGGGAGTGCTCGAGGTGCACGGAAGACGGCTGCAACGTGCTCGAGCCGGAGACCGGCGGCGGCGGCGACGACGACGGCGACGACGACGACGACAAGCGACACCTGGGCCTGCGCTTCCTCTACGCCATCGGTGGCCTTTTGCTCGTCATCGCCATCATCGGCGTCCTGGCCGTCGGGGCGACGAAGCTCGTGAAGAGCTTCAAGCAGCCGGAGGAGGACGAGCCGGAGCCGCGGGACACGGAGCTCTCCACCGCGGGCGGCGCGGAGGTCGCGTGACGGCGCGGACTCGGATCTTTAAGTTTAACGAGATGGCCCCGCGACGGGGGCCTCGGCTATGTTCAGTTCGCGGGCGAGCGGGGGGGGGGGGTCTATGTGCACTTCGTGGTTGGAGCGCGCGTCCGGCTACGGGTCGATTCACTCGGCGACGAGTGAGCGCTCGAGGATCTCCCGGCGGAGCACCGCGTGCTCCCCCTTGACGTCGTCGACGATGGCCTCGGCCCAGGCCGCCGCGAGCTCGCCGCGGATGCGGAGGATGTTGTTCGCGATCGCCGGCGGGTCGATGGCCGAGCCGCTCGCGCTCTCGAAGGCCGGCGTGTCCAGCAGGTCCTGGAGCCAGGCCGCGGCCTTGCCCGTGTCCGCGCAGTGGTCGCCGAGCGCGTCGCGGTACTGCTGCAGCTCGCAGACGCGGTCCGCGAGCTCGCGCGCGAGCGCGCCGCCGTCGTCGCCGGCCGGCGGCGCCGCGGCGCGCGGTCGCCGGTCGACGTCGTCGGGCGCGAGGCGCGTCTTGAGGTAGCGGGCCCAGGCCGCCGGCACCTCCTGGATCGCGATGAGCGCCGCCGTCCGCGTCGCGAGGCGCTCGCACAGGTCGAAGGACGCGCGGCGGAGCGGCGAGTGGTCGTACATCGACGCCGCGGGCCGCGCGGCCATGTTCGCGACGCTCGCGGGCGACGCGTCGGGCACGAGCGCGCGCAGGTCGTAGGAGATCTCCGCCGCGAGCTGCTCGCGCGTCCGCATGATGAGCTGCGCCATCTGCTTGGGCTCGATGGTCTCGTCGTACTCGACGTACTTCTTCTCGCGCTTGAGGAACGGGTTCCGCCGCCGGCACGCGGCCGCGGGGTTGGAGGCCAAGGGGCCGGCCTCGGCGGGGGCGGCCGCGGCCCTGGCGGCGGGCGACGCGCGCGGCGCCGGGCCCGCGGCCATCCACGGCGGCGCGGACGACGTGTCCGCGGCTCTCGAGGCCCCGGCGGCTCTCGAGGCCCGGGCGGACGCGGCGGGCGCCGCGTCGGCGAAGTGGCTCATGAGCGAGGGGACGGCCCGGGCGGGGGCGGCCGCGGAGACCGCCGGTGCGGCCGGCGCCTTGCTGACGACGCCGGCGGCGGCGAGCTTGATGCCAAAGTCCGCGTAGGACGCGACGCCCGACGCGTCGCAGGCCGCGCGCCACGCGGCGGCCGTCGGGGCCGCCACGCGGCGGCCGGCGGGCGCCCCGGCCGCCGAGGCGCCGAGTCGGACGCCAAAGTCGGCGTAGGACGCGACGCCCGACGCGTCGCAGGCCGCGCGCCACGCGGGCGCGGTCCGCTCGCGCCGCAGGAACGGGTTCCGCCGCCGGCTCGCGGCCGCCGCGCCGACGCCGCCGGCCATCCAGGACGGCGCCGACGAGCCGCCCGCGGCCTTCGAGGCCGTGTACTTGGGCGCGAGGCTCGCGTCCGGGAACTGGCACGCCGAGCCGAGCAGGTCCGCGGCGCCGGACGTCGCCCCCGCGAGGCCCTCGGGCGCCGCCGCCGCGGCGCTCCCGCGGCCGTCGTCGACGGTGCCGACCTCGTAGCGCACGGAGTAGCGCACGGTCGCCGCGCGGATCATCGCGCTGAAGTAGTCCACGGCGTCCGGCGTCCCGCTCTCCTCGCAGAACGCGTCGAGGCCGTGGTACCGCGGCTGGACGGATTTGTCCGAGACGCGCTCGACGTCGAGCGTGACGGACGGCTCGCCAAAGGCCGCGACCCACTTCGCCTTGGGCTCATCGTGGAACCCGGCGAGGTAGCAGACCTGCGTCTGCACGGCCTGCGGGAGGGAAGCGGCCGGTCTACGAGCGGCGCGGCTCCGATTCGATCGCGCGGCCGCGGCTCTTCGAGCAAGGAGGTTCGAGGTCGCGGCGCGTCGCGCGCGATGTCGCGCGGCGAGCTTGGCGCGTCGCTGGGGATGTGCCGCGGGGCGAAGCGGCGCGCGCGCAGGCAGCTGCCTCGCCGACGGCGATTTGTTTTTTTGAAAGTTTGCGGCGCCGGTGCGCGCCCGCTGGAGGAGCAACTGCGAGAGCTCGTTGCGCAGGTAGCTCCGCGGCGCTGCGAGAGCGTCGGCGGTCGCGATCAACGCAACGCATCTAGTAAGCACCCGCTGCGGTGGCATCTGCCTTTTGTTCGATTGGTCGAGGAGCCGTTCGACTTTTGTGGTCGACACAACTCTAACGACTGAGGCGATGATGCCCTTCGATGTCCAAGTTGCCCCTGGGAGTTGACACCGTTCAAAAACGCGCTCTCGGGGCAGCGTAAACGATGGCATAAGAGCATGGCAGCCCCGTCGCTGCCCGTGAGCGCCGCCGCGCTGCGGCACGCGGACCTGCTCTTCGCGAAGCGAGAGACGAGCGACGCCGCGCGGGAAGCGGCCTACGCATTACTCAACGACAACGGCGGCACGCTCGAGGGCGGCGCCCTGCTGAAGAAATGCCTCGCGGCCGTCGTCGCGGACCCCTACGGCTCCCTGGGCATCGAGCCCGGCGCCGACGAGTCGGCGATCAAGAAGGCCTACCGGAAGCTCGCGCTGAAGTACCACCCGGACAAGAACGACAAGACGACGGCGCTCTTCCAGGCGATAAAAACGGCCTACGACAAGCTCCTCGAGCCCGGCGGCGCCGAGGCCGCGGCCAAGGCCTGGGAGAAGCGCAAGGCCGCCTGCGCCGACGCGCGGCGCGAGCGCGCGACCGCGCGCTTCGAGCGGACGAACGCGCGGCAGCGGGGCTTCGGCGGCGGCGGCGTCGCGCGCGGCGGCCGCGCGCACTTCGTGCCGCCGCACCGCCAGCAGCGGCCCGCGCCGCCGGACCGCCGCGCCGCCGAGCAGCGGGCCGAGGAGCGCGGCGCGGAGCTCCGGCAGGCGAAGGCGGCCGCGGCGGCCGTCGAGCGGCACCGGCGGCTGCGGGAAAAGAAGGCGGAGCTCGACCGGAAGCGCGCGGCCCACGCGGAGCGCTGCCGGGCCGAGCGCCTGGCCCGCGGCGCGAAGCTGAACGCGGAGCGCGCGCGCGCCGAGGCGATGCTGCGGGCCCAGCGGCTCGAGCGCGAGGCCGAGGAGGCCGCGGCGCGCCTGCGGGAGGAGGCGGCGCGGCGCGCGGCGAAGCACAGCTCCATGTTCGACGACTTGATGGCGGGCATGGCCGCGAAGAAGCGCCACGGCCGGCGCGCGGCGAGCCCGCCCATCGCGCTGCGGGCGACGGACGTCACGGCGTCGACGGTCGACCTCGCGTGGGAGCACGCGGAGGCGGACCGGTCCTTCGAGTTCCAGTGGCGCAAGCGCGACGCGGGCGTCTGGGTCACGGCGTCCGTGCAGCAGGCCCTCTGCCGCAAGAAGAACCTGGAGCCGAACACGCCCTACGCGTTCCGCGTCCGCGTCGCCGCGAACGGCGACGCCGCGGCGTCGGACTGGAGCCGCGAGGTCGTCGTCGTCACGACGGTGGCGCCGGCGACGACGGCCCTCTTCTCCCCGCCGCCGCGCAAGCCCAGGGCCGCGGCCGTCCACCCGGAGGACGACGACGACGCCTTCGACGCGTCGCCGTCGAAGCTCAAGCGCGCGGCGTCGGAATTCATGAAGCGCATGGACCAGGGCGCGCGGCTCTTCGGCTCCAAGCCGCCGTCGCTCTTCAACTCGCGGTCCGACAAGCGCGTCGGCGTCGCGCCCAAACGCGCGCCGCGCAAGTTCCCCAAGCCCAAGTCCGCGCCGCCGCGCGGCTGGTACGAGCTCAAGGACGACCAGGGCGCGGTCTACTACTGGAACTCGGCGACGGACGAGTCCCAGTGGGAGCCGCCGTCGTCCTGGGCCGAGGAGGTCGACCCGGCCTCCGGCGTCCGCTACTACACCGACGGCATGCACTCCACGTGGCGCAAGCCCGCGGACTTCGTCGACTTCGTCCGGCACGTCGACAACCGCCGCGCGCCGGGCTACCGCGACTGGGCCAAGGCCACGACGCGCGCCAAGCGGCCGGTCTAGGGGCTGTTCTGTTAGTTTCGTTCGACTCGCGGGTGCTTCGAGACCGTGCGCGGATCGCATCACGGCAACATCGCTTCAGCGCAGTCGAGTTGCCGCTGACCTCGGCGTCTGCCGCGGCGCCGCCGCTGCCGGCGTCGCATCGGACACACTGATCGGACACGCTAATCTCCGCGGGCATCGGACACACAGGCGCAACGACACATGCGCCGCCTGCTCTTCATAACCCCAGTAATGGTCGCATCGCTGGGCCGCATGGAGGTCTGGCTCGACGCGCGGCGCGGCGGCAGTCCAAAAACGCTCGACAACGACCTCTTCGACCGCGTCCTCTGCACGGAGGACACCGCCGCCGCATTCAGCAACGCAGCATGCCTCGTCGCCGACGCAGAAGCCGACGGCGTCTGCAAGCTGCGCTCGAAAGGCGCCATCGCCGGCGGCTCGACGGTCGTGTCCTGCGGCGAGACGCAGAAACGCGCGACCGCGCTCGTCGGCAGCGTCGACTGGTTGCACGTCGACGCGCTCGCCGGCCAGCCCATGATCGTCGCGGAGAATTTGTTGGGCGCCGCGGAGGATTCGGGCACGCGCGTCGCCTGCTCCGTCGCCGAGGCCGAGGACGTGCCGGGCCTCGCGTTCGCGCTGCGCCGCGGCGTCGACGCGCTCGTGCTGGAAGACGGCTGCGACGCCGCGACGCTGGAGGCGGCGACGATCGCCAAGGCGCAGCGCGCGGAGGACGCGGCCGACGACGCGTTGGCGCGCGACGTCGACGCGCGGGACGCCGGCCCGACGCTCGAAGCCTGGGACGTCGTCGGCGTCGAGGAGGGCTCCGTGTCGGACCGCGTCGCGCTGGACCTGACGTCGCTCATGGCCCACGACGAGGGCTGCCTGGTGGGGTCGTCGGCGAAGGCGCTGGCGCTCGTGCTCGGGGAGACGGCGACGGGCGGCTTCGTGCCGCCGCGGCCGTTTCGCTGCAACGCGGGGCCCGTGCACTCGTACGTGGCCATGGCCGACGGCAAGACGAAGTATTTGTCCGAGGTCGGCGCCGGCGACCGGGTCCTCGTCGTGTCGGGCCGCGGGTCGCGCGCCGCGGAGGTCGGCCGCGCCAAGGTCGAGCCGCGGCCGACGCTCCGCGTGGACCTCCAGCGCGGGGGGAAGAAGGGCAACGTGTTCCTCCAGCAGGCGGAGACCGTGCGGCTCGCGGGCGCGGCCGGCGACCCCCTCGCCGTGACGAAGGCGAAGGCGGGCGACCGCGTCCTCGTCGCCTTCGACGACCGCGGCACGCACGTCGGCGGCCGCATCTCCGTCCGCGTCGACGAGCGGTAAGAGTTACGCGGCGACGCGGGCCGCGCGCTCGACGGGCCCCTCGTCGAGGAAGAGCGGGTGCGCGCGCGCCTCGATGGGCAGCTCGGAGAAGGCGCCGTCCTCCTCGACGAGGAGCGCGGACTCGGCCAGGTTCACCGTCGGGCAGACGTGCTTGGGGACGAGGTAGAAGACGTCGCCCTTGGTCGGCCGGTCCGACGGCTCGCGCACGGCGACGGGCAGGTGCTCCTCGGACGGGATGAGCGGCTCGAAGCCCTCGTGTCCGAGCACGGCGCACATGGGGTGGCCCGCGTCCGCGGCGAGGGCCTTGACGCCGGCGTCGAGCGTGAACCGGCGCGGGAGCGGCGTGCTGACGACGCGCGACGCGACGACCGCCGCCGGTCGCAGCCCCAGGGGGCACTGGGCCTCCGCGCGCGTGTCCGAGAGGACGACGGTGCCCGCGGAGACGCGGTGCCGCCCCGAGTCCCGGAGCCCCGCGTGCGCGAGGCTCGGCAGCAGCGCGGGCGTGCCCGCGGTGACGAGGTCGAGCGCGCCGTCGAGGGCCAATAGGTCGTCGTAGAGCGGGAAGAGCGCCGCGTTCCGCGCGTCCGCCGTGTCGCCGAGCGACGCCGCGTGGCCGTCGTACATGTGGATGCCCGCGAGGTCGGTTCCCGCCACGGCGCGTACTCGCGCGAGCACGTCGCCGGCGCCGTCGAGCGAGGTCCCCGTGCGATCCATGCCGCAGTTCACGTCCACGTAGACGCCCAGACCCGCGTCCACCGCGCCCTCGGCGCCCGCCGCGTCCTCGACGAGCACGGACCAGGCGACGTTCGCCGCGTAGCGCGCGGCCGTCCGGCCCAGCCGCGCGAGCGTCGGGCCCGTGTGCGGGAACGCGACCAAAACCTCGAAGGCGCCGTCGCGCGCGGCGAGCGTCGACCCGAGGAGCTCGGCCTCGCGGCTCGTGGCGCACTTGAAGTGGCGCACGCCGGCGTCGCAGAGCGCGTCGAGCGCCCAGCTCGACTTGACGGTCTTGATGTGGGGCTGCCAGCGCGTCGGCGACCCGCAGGCCGCGACGACGCGCGCGATGTTCCAGCGCACGTGCTCGGCGTAGATGATCAGCGCCGGCGTGCAGAGCTTCTCTTCGATGGTTGATGGGAGCCGGTAGCTGCTCAAGTTGTGCAGGCTGCGGCGCGCGACGCGCGACGCCATCATGTTTTGCCACGAGCAGAGCTTAAATTGAAGTTTTACCCTGCCCACGCCACTGGAAAATCGACGATTTTGGGCACCTCGACCGCGGACCCCCTGCTTGTCTCATCGTGATGGACGTTTATCTGGGGCTCCGGAACCGCAGCCGATCATGCTAGGTCATCGATTGGCACAGGTTATGGCCGAAAATGTCGGTTTTTGGAGATTTCCGGCGTGCGCGAGCGCCACGTACGCGTGTCCACCCGACGGCGGCGGGTGCCACGCACGTCCACGCTAGCCCAGGGAGTCCGCCCGGTCCCCAGGCGGTCGCGCGGGGCGCCGAAGCGAGTATATACGGCCGTATACGACGCGTTTGTACTGGTTTAGTACGGCTAGGGTGTACTGGCGAGGCACCAACGGCAGGAAAACAGGCGCGCAGAGCACCGTTTCGACGGCCGAGCGTCTTCTGGAGTCGAGACAAGATGTCTCGACGCAACGACAGCGCCAGTCCGCGTTCGTGGGCGCGTCGTCGCTGTAGACCGTGTTGGTGTCGTTTTCGAGGCGCTGGCAGGGGGCGCCCAAGCTGTAGCTGTCGAGTACCGCGTTCACCTGACGCGCGGGCCAGCGGAGCCCCGGTGATCGGTCGTGAGAGGGCATCGGAACCGCTCTGGACGTCCAGGGGCGTCGCGGCGCCGCACACTGGCTCGTTTTGACCGCCGCCAATCGATGAGAATCGAGGAATCGAGGCCGTAGGGTGGTCCGACGGTGGCGAATGCCTGGTTTCGCGAGACATGTTCTTCGTAGCAACCCTCCCCGCAGCTCCCCCGGAGAAACCAGGCATTCGAGGTCCAGAACACGTCCAACACGCGCCAGCCGTCTCGAGAGGACGCTCCGACGAGGCCGTTGCGTTTCGACGACGCCCGGACCGTTTCGCGCGCGGCGTCTTCGCAGTGGCCTGGCCACGGACGGTCCCGAGGCACGTGCGGGAGCCCGCGGCCCCACTCCCCGGCGGCGCGGCGCACGCGCTGTCGCGGCGGCCGCTCTCCGAGCCGAGCGCCTCGGCTCCCAAAGGGCAAGTTCGACCGCGTGGGCAGGGTAAAAGTTCAATCTGCCGCGTTTAGCCCGACGCGATGTGATGGTGGACAGGGAGCCCCCGCGTGCAAAAAGATGGCTTGCCTCTTCGTCGTGACGGGCAAGAAGGGCGCCGTCTGCCGCGCCGGCGTCGAGCTCGACAGCGAGCGCCTCGTCGACGTCCCCAAGGGCGAGACGGTCTACGTCGTCGAAGCGTCTTCATCGGCCTGCGGCGTCGCGCGCTTGCACGTCGCGTTCCCCGTCGACGGCTGGGTGAGCGCCAAGGTCGTCGGCCGCTGGTCGAGCCAGGCGAAGCGGACCAAGCACGGCCGCGACGGCGGCGGCCTCGGTTTCACCGTCGGCGAGCCGGCCGCGCTGTCGAAATCGCGCTGGGACGCGCAGGAGCGGTGCGCGGGCGCGGGCGGCTTCGGCGGCGTCTTCCTCACGGCGAGCGAGTACCACTTCGTCGCGCCGGCCCGCGACGCCTGGGCCGAGGCCTACCTCGGCGCCGACGGCGCGCGCGACGCGCTCGCGCGATGGTGCGTTGGCCTCGCGCCGCGCGTCCAGCCGTCGGACCGCGACGGCTACGTGGCGCTGCCGGCGCACCTCGACGAGCCCGGCGGCTTCACGCGCGTCGCCTGCCCGCTAAGCCAGCTCGGCGAGTGCGCGGACTCGAGCTGCAGCTGCTACCGGCCGTCGCGGCCGCGGTGCCGCGCGCAGTTTCGCGATTTGGCGCGCGACCTCTGCTGCGAGCGGCTCGGGAGCGCGCCGGGTGCGCTCGACCGCGGGGGCGTCCTGCGCTACGCGTCCATCGGCTCGGGCCTGCTGCTCAGCGACGCGGAGGTGCTCGGGGCGTTGATCCGCGACGGCTTCGAGTTGCGGTCCGCGTGCGTCGTCGACACGTGCTACGCGCGCAACAAGCTGGCGCCGCGGACGGAGGCGGCGCTCCAGGAGTTCGCCAATTTCGTCGGCGCGCCGGTCCACGTCTTCTCGTCCATGGGCGCGCTCCGCGAGGCCGCGCTGCTGTGGCCGGGCGCCTTCGGGCGGTGCACGTTCTTCGCGAACATCGACGCGGCCGTGCCCGACAAGGATCTCGTGCGATGCCGCGACGCCGTGCTCTCGCCGGGCGGCGTCGCGGCGCAGCTGAACAACCACGGCTCGAGCGGCCGGTCGTCGGCGAACGCGTGGGTCCGCGAGACGTCCGACGACAACTTCCTCGGCCGGGGCCGCGCCTGGCGCGCCGACGACGACGACGACGCGCCCTGGCGCGTCGCGGGCGCCGTGCCGGGCGCGTTCCGGCCGCGGCCGCGGCCCAAGTCCGACGACCTGGGCTTCCAGGTCTACGGCGGCGGCGGGCCGCTCGCGCCGGACGCGTCCGAGGTCCTCGCCTACGGCGCGCCCGGCGACAACCCCTGCCACGTGCGGGACCTCGCGCTCGGCGACGGCGACCCGCGGCTCCCGACGGCGGAGGCGACGCACGCGAGGCTCCGGCGGGACGCGGCGAAGGCGGGCGCCGCGCGGCTCTTCGCCGTCGTCGCGTCTTGCGCGCACGTCCGCGACGGCCCGCGCCTCGACGCCAAGGTCGTCGGCACGCTGCGCCGCGGCCACGAGGTCCTCGCCGTCGCCGACGCCGGTGCCGACGTCGCGGCCGCGAAGGCCGGCGCGTTCGCGGCGCAGGACCCGCGCTGGGTGCCCCTCGACGCGGCCGCGAACGCGCGCGCGCTCCTCGACAAGCTCATCCCGACGCACGCGAGCTACGACGCTTCCGCCGTCGCCGACGCGCTCGCGTCCCGGGGCGCGCCGCGGCTCTGGATGCTCACGCACGGCGCGCCGCTCGGCATGGGGCCCCTCCTCGAGGAACTCGACGCCGACGCGCCCGACCCGGGCCGCCCGCGACCGCCGCCGGCGCAGCGCCAGCTTGAGCTCGTCTAAGGTCGCATTGGTTTACTTGTGTTCTACTTTCAAAAACCAAAAGCGAAGTTCAATACGCGCAAACATTGAACATTCAATACGAGTGCAAAGGGACTAAAAAAGGGGCGTACGAAGGTCGGTTGCAACGTACGCGCTCTCCGGAGAGGCAGCTGTCCAGATCTTCTGCGAAGACACCGTGATGGCACGCCCCCAAGGGCAGCCCACGATTGCCCTCGTGTCGCCGGAGGCCGAGGGAAGGCATCTGGGACGATCGTCGGCGCAGAAGCGGCAGATGGAAGCGCCGCTCGCATTCCAACCCATCGATTTCGACGACAGTGACGTCGACGACGCGAGGCTGTCCACCGCTCTGCCACCGAATCTGACGGATCGGATCCGCTGCACGACGCCGACGCAGGACTCGGATGCGCAGCGCAAGAACTGTCCGCGCTTGGACAAGCGACGGCGGCAGATCTGCGCGAGCGGCGACCTCGACGGCGACACGTCGCCGACGAGCAGCGCGACGCCTCCGATGCTGCCGCGCGACGCGAGCTGCACGTCGCTCGAAGAGCTCGAGGAGCTGACGCTCCTGCGAGCCCGCTGGCTGCGCTCGAGCTAGGCCCGCCGTGTGTGCACAAGCATGTTCTCCGTCCCGCCCGCCGCCGACGGTCCACGCCCGCGCGCCGCGCCGCCGCGGGCGCGGCGCGCGCGCGCACGACGGACCGCCGCCGACGCGCGCCGGGACCTGTAATTCAAAAGATTTAAGTCCACGAGATGATACGTCTCCGCGGATCGTCGCGAAACTACGAATAGAGTGTTAGTTCGCCGCGGGCGCGTCGTCGTCGGCGTGGGGCCAGGTGGGCATGGGCGTCGCCGCGGCCGTGGGCGCCGTGGTCGGCCCCCAGCCGTCGGCGAAGTCGCTAAAGTGGAGGCCCATGGCGTCGCATGCGGGCCAGTTCGTGAAGGAGTCGTAGGTATACGGAAGCTCCGTGTTGTACGGAGAAATAAAGTCCCAGAACTGGCGGTTCGTGTACGTGTCTCCGACGCCCAGGAAGTCGCCAAAGGGCAGGAGGTCGTCCTCCTTGTGGCCCGCGCACGTGCCCGGCGTGCACGTGGGCAGCTCCATGGAGTCGCCGACGCCGGACCAGTCGCAGACGTAGTGCGTGTCCGAGGGCACGTCCATGGAGTGGTGGTACTTCCACGTCTCGTCCAGGTGCGTGTAGCCCTCGTGCGCGAGGATCCGCTTGAACCCCACGAAGCGCTCGCTCAACCCGTGCAGCACCCAGAAGATGGGATCCAGCGGCGCCGCCGACGTCCAGGAGTCGCCGACGTGGCCCACGTGGCAGATCGCGTCCAACAGCGTCTCGCGCGGCCACGACGCGAGGTCCGCGCCCGCGACGGCGTCGAGGCCCGTCGCGTTCCAGAACTCCTCGACGGTCCAGTGGCTCCGGAGCTCCTCGGGGCAGGAGCAGGTGCACGACTCCGTCGCGTCGGCCGCGCACGAGTCGGGGCACCGCAAGTAGCCCTGGCGCCAGAGCCACTTCGACGACAGGATCGACTGGAGCGACTGCTTCGCGATGGCGCCGTCGGCGTTGGCCATCCACTTCTGGATCGACGTCTCGAACTGGGCGTCGAAGCCCCAGATGCCGCCCGTGAGGATGTGGACGGGCCCGTGGAGCTGGCCGTTGAACTGCTCGAAGAGCCTCCCGATCGTCGTCGTGTCGTTGAAGGCCCAGTAGAAGGCGCTGCAGTCCGGCAGGGACGTCGTGTCGTCGACCCCGAAAATGGCGCGGGACCGCGAGAGGTAGGGCACGGGGTTCTGGTTCCAGGGGCTCCGGAGCATGCCGTAGGAGTTCGTGATCGTCGAGTAGTCGCGCGCGCCCTGCGACGCGGTCATCACCGGCAGGTAGGAGAAGCGCCCGCCGCCGTCGACGACGTAGTTCGACGACGCGTTGGGGATGGGGCCGAACCAGTCGTCGTCCCAGATGATCGACTCGGTCCAGTCGCCGCCGATGCAGTCGGCGCCGCACGTCTGCTTCGACGCGTTGTAGTAGTACGCGTCGTAGCTGTAGTCCCAGTAGGGGACGCTGACGGACGCGTCGACGGACTGGAGCGACTGCTCCAATTCCAGCGTGAAGGCGATGTGGTGCGTGACGATGCCCGCGTCGTCGTGCCAGTGGTCGCACTCCTTGCCGCCGCCGCCCAACAGGTGCTTCCGGACGAGGTAGTGGGAGCTGCGGAACTTGTCGCCGTAGACGCTCTTGCCCAGGTCGTCGCCCGTGGCGTAGACCGCGGACAGGGCGTCGAGAAACCGCGACCGGTCGTCCACGGACAGCGATCTGATCTCGTGGCGCACGTAGCGGACCGTGACCGCGAGCTCCACGTGGAACCCGAGCTCCTCGCCCCGCGTCGTCGCGACGCGCATGGACACGGTGACGTTGCGCGTGCCGTGGGTCTCGAAGATCATGGTCACGCGGCTGCCGACCGCGTGGCCGACGTCGTCGCCGGACCAGTCGACGCGGCGCACGCGGCTCACGGCCTCGTCGCCGAGCTCGAAGGCGTTGAGCTCCGCCGTCGTCGGCTTCCACATCTCCACGAGGTACATGTACGGATAGTAGCCCTCGCCGATGGGGATGCCCGACGCGTCCTCGTACTCGTTGTGGAACCGCACGACCTTTTGGAGGTCGCAGAGACGGCACGCGGCGTCGTTCGCGGACGTCGTGTTCGGGCAGTAGTCGAGGCAGAGGCCGTCGACGTCCGTGTCGTCGTCCCGCAGGCCGCTCACCGTCGCGTTGCCGAGCCGGCTCGCCGACGCGTTCGCCAGCCCGAAGACGTGCTCGTCGTCTTCCTCGAACTCGAAGGGCCGCACGACGCGGCTCGTGCCCCGGCCCGCCCAGGCCGCCACGGCCGCGGCCGCGACCACCGCCAGCCCGAAGAGGCCGCGCCGCCGCGTCCGCACCCAGATGTCCGGGATCTCCCTGGACGGCGCGTCCATGGCGGCGCCGCCTATAGCGTCGCGTCCTCGAATAAATGGGCAGCGTCTTAGCTTGAAGTGGATACCTTGCACCTCGCGGAATCATTGCGTGCTCACCCGCGCGACTGGAAGGAACCCGCGCGCCTCTGCGTCACGAACTCGGCCAGCGTGCGAATAGGCGCGCAGGCGTTACGAGTCCTGCTGGCGGAGGAGCGCGCGCCGGACCTCGAGGTACCGCTTCGCGCACTCCGACGGCGCCTTGCCGACGAGCGCGGCGATGCGCTTCCATCGCTCCTTCTTCGGCAGGTCCGCGGGCACCTCCGCGAGCGCGCCGTCGAGGCGCTGCTGCTCGTCGTCGGTCCACTCCGGCGCGTCCTCCTTGGCCTCGGGCGCCGGCCCGGCGCCGACGGACGCGAGCGCGGCCTCGAGCTTCTTCCGCGCCTCCTCCTCGGGGTCCGCGGGCGTCAGCGACACGACGCGCGGCGCCATGCCCTTGAGCCGCTCCTCGGGCCGCGGCGCCGGCGGCGGCGGCGCCGGGGCCGGCGGGGCCGGCGGCGGCGGCGCCTCGGCCTCGGTCTTGAAGGTCGCGATGTTGTCCGCGACGCGCGCGAGCACGTCGTCCTTCTTCTTCTTCGGCGCCTTCTTCTTCTTCTCCTCGCGCGGCGGCTGCGGTTCGTCGCTCGGCTTCTTCGGCGCCTTCTTCTTCTTGTCGGGTTTCGGCGGCGGCGCCGCGTCGCCGCCGTCGTCGTCGAGCGCGAGCGCCGCGAGGATGGCGGCGTCGATGGCCTCGTCCGTGGGCGCCGTCCGCGGCGACCTCGGCGCCGCCGCCGCCGCCGCGTCGGCGGCCTTGGACGCCTTGGCCGCCGCGCGCTTCTCCTTTTGCCGCTCCTTTTGCTGCTCTTTTCGTTTTTGTTTGTAGGCTTCGGCTTTTTGCTGTTTTTTAGTCAGCGGCGCGGCCTCGGTGGGCGGCGCGGCCTCGGCAGGTGCTGGCTCCGGAGGCGACATCGCAGTGGAGTTTTTAAGCGAGCCCTTTGTTGAGCTTCACTTGAATTCCCACCTAATGCTTTCGTGCCTACGAAAGTTTCCTCCTCGCAGTGTGGGACCGCCCACTGCGCGGGAGTGCTCGACACAAGCACGGCACCTTCACAGTTTTCGCCGATCCTCCCGGACCATCGGTGGCCCTCCGTCGCTTGAAGTACCTAGCCTAGAAGTCAAGCAAGACGCTGCCCGGTCCAAACGATGGTCAACCGGCATATTTGCATCATCGCGCTGTGCTCTCTCTTCCGATGCTTCGCCCAGCCGGAGCCCTGCACCACCTGCCCGCACTACGTGAAGAAGACGGTCGACGCCCCGGCGCGGTTCCTCTTCATCGCGGGCCTCGAGGGCAGCGGCCACCACAGCTTGAGCAACATGTTCGCCATGTGCGTGCGGCGGCGCGTGCTCTGCCGCCACGACCGCGAGCTCGGCCAGCTGCTCCACGGGAACCGGAGCCACCCGACGGGCATCTTCGTCTACGGCCGCCAGGCGGCGGCGGACATCGCGGCGCTGCGGAAGCGGTTCTTCGCGCGGCTCCAGCACCTCCGGGACGCGCCGCGGGACCGCGGCGCGCCCGTGCTGTACCTCCTCAACGTCAACGCCGACGGCGCGACGATCCCCGACGCGGGCATGATGTCCTACCCGAACTTTGGGCCGCCGGACAAGGTGCTGCACCACCCGGACATGCAGACGCTGGCGACGATGGCCGAGGCCGCGGGCGCGGACCTGCGCGTGCTCGTCGTGCTGCGCGGCGCGCGGGAGACGCTCGTGTCGACGAGCGTGCACCGGCTCGGGGAGTTCCCGCCCTGGCCCGAGGAGGCCGCGGTGCTCGGGAACTCGGCCGCGGCGCTCGCGTCGGAGCTCGCGCTCGTGGACCCGCGCTTCGTGGTCTGCGCGCCCTTCGCCGTGGCCACGGACCCGGGGGCGCACCGCGGGGCCTGGGCGTCGCGCCTCGGCCCGGCGCTCCACCCGGGCCTCGACGACGCGCTCGTCGCCGTCCTCGCCGAGGGCCGCGCGGTCGACACGACCGCGGTCGACAAGACGCGGAAGGCGATCCCCGCGGCGCCGCCGACGCCGCCGGGCGCCTACGACCCCCACGTCGAGCACGTCGAGAAGATGCTGGGCCTCGTCGACGCGGCCTGCCGGCGGCGCGGGGGGGTCTACGTCGAGGCGGAGGCGTAATCGCCACACTGATTTACCCCCGGCCAGGGTCCAGCGTCGGACGAGCCGGAACCTGCTCGGACTTTGAACGCGCGCAGGGCACTCGTCCGTGCTCGTGGCCGCATGACCGAGGCACCGGCGCCTCCTGCGAGCGCCATGAACGATAACAAACCACCGCAGGACGACGCACCACCAAGCAGCGATGCGCCTGCAACGACGAGCGACGCGCCGGTTGCGGAGCATTCGGCGACCGTAGAGGTCGCTGAGAACGTCGACGCCGCGGCAAGTGCAGACGCGCCCGCGGAGGCCGCGCCGGCCGCCGCCGTCGTCGAGGACGCCGCGGAGGCGCCCGCCGCGCCGGTGGCGGCGCCGGACGCCGCCGAGGCCGCGGCGCGCGAACCGGCGCCCGCGGCGGAACCGTCTGAACCGCCGGCGGAACCGGCCGCGCCGTCCGAGCCGGCGCCGGCGGGCGACGCGCCCCCGCACGACGGCGGCGCGGAGGGGCGCAAGTCCGAGGAGCCGTGCACGTTCACGGAGAAGGAGGCGGCCGCGGCGTCGCGCGCGGCGGAACCGGCGTCGCCCGTCGCGCTCGACGCGCCGGCGGAGGCGTCGCCGAAGGCCCCGTCGTCCCCCGGGTCCCCCGGCGCGCTCGTCTTCGTCGCGCCGTCGGCGTCCGAGGACGAGGCGTCGCCGCGCGCGCTGTCCGACGACGAGCCGAGCCTGCCGAGCCCGCCGCCGGCGCCCGCGCCGAGGACGCGGCCCGGCCGCTGCGTCGAGTCCGTCGGGTCCGCCGTGCGCCAGGGCGGGCGCGCGGAGCAGCAGGACCGCGTGCTCGTGCGGCGCGAGCCCGGCGTGGGCCTCGTCGTCGGCGTCTTCGACGGCCACGGCGGCCAGGAGGCCGCGGAGCACGCGACGGAGCGGCTCTGGGGCAACGTGCTCCGCCTCGGCGGCGACGACGCCAGCGCCGCGGGCGCGGCCCTCGTCGCGGGCTTCGAGGAGACGCACCGCGAGATGGAGGCCTGCGTGGGCACGTGGCCGAAGAACGCGACGCTCCGGAGCGACTCGACGGCGGGCACGACGGCCGTGCTCTGCGTGCTCCGGGAGTCGGGGAACGTCCTCGACGTCGCCCACGTCGGCGACTCGCGCGCCGTCCTCGGCTGCGTCGGCGAAGCGCCGCGCGCGTCGCGGAGCTCGCCGAGCGCCGTGAGCCTCACGCCGCCGGACCTCGGCCGCGCCGTCGCGGCGCGGGGCCTCACGAAGGACCACAAGGCCCACGACGAGGCCGAGCGGCAGCGCATCGAGGCCGCGGGCGGCACGGTCTACCTCTACGGCGCGGGCCGCGCCGGCGGCTGCGTCGACTCGCGCGTCGGCCTCCCCCGGTGGAAGAGCGACGCGCTCAAGCTGACCGCGCCGAAGCGGCGGACGCTCCACCCGAACCCGCCCCGGTCGCCGCCGGGCGCGCCGCGCCCGGCCGACGACGTCGTCGTCGACCTGCCCTTCCTCAACATGTCGCGCGCGCTCGGCGACTGCTGGAGCCGCCACCCGGCGACGCGCGAGCTCCTCGTGTCGCCGCGGCCCGACGTCGGCCGCGTCGTCCTCGGGCCCGACGACGCCTTCCTCGTGCTCTACTCCGACGGCGTCTCCGGCGTCGTCAGCGACGCCGAGGCCGTCCAGTTCGTCGCCGACGAGCTCCGCGTCGTCGACGCGACGAGCACGTCGAACCGGAAGACGCGGCGCGCGTCGAGCCTCGCCGTCGCCGGCGGCCGCGCGAAGCGCGTCGCCGAGCGCCTCGCGGACCTCGCGCTCAAGCGCTGGTCCGACCGCTACGGCGGGCCCCAGTCCGCGGACAACATCTCCGTCGTCCTCGTGCTCTTCCGCGACGACGCGGGCGACGCGGACGCGCCCGGCTCCCTCAAGCGGGCCAACTCCGCGCCCCTCGCGCCGCCGGACGGCGAGCCGCCGCTCAAGCGCGCCGCGACGCTGCCCGCGCCGCGGTCGCCGCGCGCCGCGTCGCCGCCGCCGAGGCCGTCCTTCGCCGCCGCGGCCGCGCCGCCCGTCGCCGAGGAGGCGTCCTGAACCCCCGGGCAGAAGGCCCGGGGTGTACATAAGAGCTTCGCCGAGACGCGTCGACTCGTTACGCGTTCCGCTGCGGCCGCGCGCACGGCGCGCCGATCGCGGCGCCGCCGAAGGGGTTGTCCCTGTAGTAGCCGAGGCCCCGGTCGCCCTTGCGGAAGACCATGCCCTTGCGGTAGCCGCAGAACGTCTTCGCCGGGTAGAAGGACAGCTCCCCCGCGAACTCGCGGTCGCTCGCGCGCGACGGCTCGTCGACGTAGTAGCCCTGGCCCTTGTCGCCGCGCTTGAAGACCATGCCTGCGAGGGCGCGTGGCGGCGCGACGCGCCAGAGGCGGCGACGCACCTTGGCGGTAGCCGCGGAACGTATCGCTCGCGACGAAGTCCTCGGCCGGCGACGACGCCGCGGCGCCGCCGTCGTCGTCGAGCGGCGGCGGCCAGTCCCAGGTCCTGCGCATGGGCGCGTCGAGCGGCGCGGCGCGCGGGTCGCGGCGCGGGTGCCGCGCGTCGCGTTCGTCTTCGTGTTGTAGTAGTAGGTCTTGCCGGTCGACTCGTCGCGCGCCCCCTGTGGTGTGCGCGTTCGACGGCAAAAAGCTGCGTTTTTTTCGCACCTGCCAGTCCGCGTAGGACGGCGCCGCGTCCTGCGACGACGTGCGCTGCCGCTTCGCCGCGTGCTCCGACATGGTTCGGCTGCGATCGCGCGGCGTCGTCGAGCTCTTGTCGAGCGGCGTCGATTTGCCACAACTTTAGTTGTACTTGTAAAGCACACCATGTTACCCCTCTAGGGCTGCCTGCGTTAGTGATGGAGAGCTCCCGAAGAGGAACCTAAGCCCCCTCCCTCGACGATGGACACGCAGCGCATCGGCGGGAGCCGCGCGACGCTGGGCCGGGGCGGGTCCCACGCCCCGGGCATGTCGAACGACGACTTTAGCGTCCTGTCGCCGCGCCAGGTCCACGACTTCCGCAACGCGCAGACGCAGTGGCAGCGGGCCGTGTGCCTGGTGAACTCGCCGGGCCGCTTCGCGCGCACGGGGACGCTGCTCATGGTCAACGGGAGCTGCGCGGTGCTCGTGGGCGGCGGCGACCACGACGGCAAGCGGTGCATGTCCATGGTCGACGCGGACCACGCGTCCGCGGACTTCTACTGCGACGGCAGCGCGGAGCCGACGGCGAAGGCGCGGCTGCTGCCGCGGGCGCTCTGGCGCGAGATCCCGGAGCACGGCCTGGTGGTCGTCGGCGTCGACGGCGAGCCGCTCCGGGGGCCGCGGATCTGGCCGCTCGTGCCGTCGCCGGAGGTCATGTCGGGCCTGGCGGCGACCATGGGCGAGGTCGGCGCGGGGCCGACGCTGACGACCTACTCCCACGTCCACGGCGTCACGAAGACGGAGCACGTGCTCCACCTCGACGAGTACGACGTCCGGAGCGACCGGCTCTTCCTCCGCGATCCCGCGCCCGTGCAGTGCCACGGGTCGCCCGTCTTCTACGCGGGCCAGTGGGTCGGCGTCGTCACGGAGGAGGTCGAGGAGCTGCCTCGGAACCAGCGGGCGAAGCTCGGCATCGCGCCGCTCTACCTCCACTCCGCGGAGCGGTGCGTCGGCGTCGGCAGCCTGCTCCTGGGCTTCGGCGTCGTCGGCATCAACTTCCACGAGTGGCCCATCCCCGCGGACGTCGACGCCGACGAGGACGCCGAGGAGCTCGACGACGAGGCCGGCGGCGACGACCGCGCGCCGTCGCGGAGCCGCCAGATCTGCGGCGACGTGCGCCTCGACACGCCCTTCGAGCGGCCGCGGCTGCCCGCGATCGAGTTCGTCGGGCGGAGCGGGCGCGCGGCCCACGACGCCCAGCCCAAGGCGGGCGTGGGCCACGGCGGGACGCTGCTCGTCGACGGCGGCGGCCCCGCCGACGCGAACCGCGGCCGCCACTACGTGCCCGCGCTGGCGCTCAAGGCCGTCCACGAGTCGAACGTGGAGGTGCTGGCGCGGCTCAAGGAGCGCTACGGCCCCGATTTTTTGCGGGATTTGCGCGTCGCCGCGGGCTGGACGCTCGCGCACGTCGCGGCGACGGTCAACGGCGGCGCGATGCTGCTGCCGCTGGCGACGCTGGGCGTCGCGCTCGAGACGGCGACGCCCAAGGGCGACACGGTGGCCCACGTCGCGGCCTACCACGGCAACGTCGGCGCGCTGCGGGTGCTCCGGGCCCGCGGCGTCACGATCAACGCCGAGAACTCGCGCGGCGAGCGGCCCGTGCACAAGGCGCAGTTGCGGCGCCACGACGCCGCCGTCGAGTGGTTCAAGCGGCGCCGCGTGCGCCTGCCCAAGGCCGACTTCGACGAGAACCGGCACCTGGGCTTCGCGCCGGACGCGCCGTCCGTCCCGGGCCGCAACGCCGCGGGGCCGCGGCCCGACATGGACCCGGAGTCGTTCCTCGAGGGCTTCTTCGACGACGCGGGCTCCTACGACTCCCACTCCTCCCACTCGACGGACATCCGCCTCTCGCGCGCGTCGGGCCGCAGGCAGAAGGGGCCCTTCTCGCCGAACGCGGCGCACGCCGCTCGGTCCCTCGAGTTCAGCCCGGGCCACGCGCGCCGCGGCGTCCACCTCGCCGCGGCCCACGCCGACGCGCCCGACGCCGCACCGCTGCGCGGCGAGATGGCGCGCACGCGGGCCCAGATAACGACGCTGTAGGGGAGGTAGGACGTTTTGGTTGAGGCTCTCGTTGACGCGGGGCTGCCGCGCTCGCACGGCTCGGGAGACGATGTGCGAGAGCCCTGGGTCCATGCGCATGAGCGAGGACCTGTGGACAGAGGTCTTCCTCTGTCTCGCTCCGTGCGAGACTTGGTTTCCGTCGCTCACCTCGCGCTTACTCAGCGCGGTACTTCGTCGCGACGGACTGTGGAACGCGTTCGCTGCGCGCAAAGCGCCCAAGCACTGGAGTGTGCTGAATTCACAGCCCCCCGGCCGGGAGCGCTTCCGCCGCGCGACTCTGCTCGAGCGCGATCGTGCTGCGCCTCCCGACGTGACCGAGCCGCTGACGTGCGTCGTCACCGTGACGTCCGGCGACGCCGTCGTTTTCCTGGCGCGGTACCCGTTCGCGCCGACGGTGGTAGATGACGATGAAGAGGATCACCAAGCCGGCATGCTTACCTCGGGCCTGTACCAAGGTGGCTTCGAGCCCGCGGTGGAACCAGAGATCATAGACATATTTCCTGCTTTGCCCGCGCGCGGTGAGTCTCCTCCATGTCCGCTGGAGCCCCTGGAAACGAGTTGGCTACTGGAGCGGCCCGATGGACGCGTCGCACGGCTTGTCACCTTCCGCGACCGTCACATAAAGGACCGAGACGGATCGAGTGACCCGGACCAGCCCTTCTCGTTCCTGTGCATGTGGCACGAGAAAACCCTTCGGGTTGATCCATCGCTGCGCCCCTGGCGTTTCGAACTTGGCCTCACGCTCGAGTTCCAAAGGTGCCTGCATACCGACCAGGTCAGGGGCGTCGTTACGGATGTGGAGTTTTTTGCTGCCACTTGGTATCAGCGGGGCGGGTGGGACGGCAACCGGGAGGATGATGTGCCCAGCAACAAAACAATCTTCTACCATTACGCTATGGATACTCGGCTTATAGCGCACTGGGCGGTCATTCCGAAGCATGCTCTCCCATGTCCCCTGGTATTAAGCGTCGCTCTAAAGCGCGTAGCGCACCTCGCGCGGCTCGGGCACCTCGCGCGGCTCGGGCGAGACCTCGGGCGCGTTCCGGTCCCGGCTTCCGCGGCCGCCCTCGACCTCGACGAGGCGGTCGTAGCCCAGCGGCAGCGCCTGGACGACGCGGCGGTCGAGCGCGACGTCGTCCGGCGACCGCCACTTGGCCTCGTAGGGGATGCGCACGTCGCCGCCCAGATCCGCGCGCAGCGCCGCGGCCGCCGCGACGTAGGCGTCGCCGTCGGCCGCGCCCGCGGGCGCCCAGGTCCAGAGCGCCCACGTCGCCGTGCGGAAGAGCACGAAGCACGCCTCGTCGTCGCGCAGCGCCGCGCGGACGACCGCGAAGGCGTCGTCGGCGTTCTCGTCGTCGTCGTGCGCGAGCGTCGCGTCGAGCGCGACGACGCCGCCGCGCAGCCGCGCGCGCAGCGCCCGCTTCGCTTTGGTGAACGACTGCTCGTCGAAGACGGCCTCGAGCTCGAAGCTGAGCACGGCGCCGCCGCCCGGCGCACCGGAGGTCGACGCCTGCGCCGCGCAGCCGTCCTCGTAGGGCTCCCACATGGTGCTGCGGCAGCGACGAGCTGCGGACGACTTCGGCTCGAGCACACGCTCGAGAGCCTTGTGGTAAACTCGCCGAAGCTGAAAACAAAATCAATGAAAATATATATCCAGGCTGCCCATCGAGAGAGCCAGTACGATCAACGCATCCTAGAGCCAGTGATCACCAGACACACTGCCCAAAGACATGATGCGCCTCCTCTCCCTCGCGCTCGCCCTCGGGCTCGCGGCGGCCTCGTGCCCCAACTCCTGCTCCGGCCACGGCACCTGCGGCAGCGACGACACCTGCACCTGCTACCAGGACTGGGTCATGGGCGACCAGGAGGGCGGCGACTGCTCGGACCGCAAGTGCCCCTACCAGGTCGCCTGGTCCGCGTCCCCGGACCGCGACGGCAACATCCACACCTACGCCGAGTGCGCCGGCGTCGGCATCTGCGACCGCTCCACGGGCGACTGCGAGTGCTTCGAGGGCTACACGGGCAAGGGCTGCGGCATCCAGACGTGCCCGAACGACTGCTCCGGCCACGGCGCCTGCACCTACGCCGAGGACGCGCCCTTCGGCACGGTCTGGGGCGACTACTACACGGCCAAGTCCAACTCCCTCACGGGCCTCGGCACGGAGCCGGTCACGCTCGCGCAGGCGCCCGCGTGGGACTCGGGCAAGGTCAAACTGTGCGTCTGCGAGCCGGGCTACACGGACATCGACTGCTCGCGCCGCATGTGCCCCAAGGGCAACGACGTCCTCGACGAGCGCCTCAACCTCGTCACGGCCCTCAAGTACCAGGTCCAGAACGTGACGCTCATCGCCGCGGGCGAGACGGGCGACGGCATCACCTACAACCCCTCCGGCGAGGTCTGCAACGGCGGCTTCGGCGACAGCACCAACGGCGGCTGGTACGGCAAGTACGAGTCCAACAACTGGGCCCGGGGCGCCACGTCCATCGCCGGCTTCAACGGCCAGAACAGCGACAACTGGGACCCGGACTGCTTCAAGGACTTCCTCAACAAGTCCTTCGCGCTCACCTTCACGTCGAAGATGAACCAGTCCTACACGACCAAGCCCCTCGTCCTCAACGAGACGAACGTCTTCAACATCTCCAAGGCCTTCTCCTTCGACGTCCGCAAGGCGCTCGTCGAGCTCCCGAACTACGTCATCGACGACGTCGACGTCGACTGCTCGCTCCAGTACGTGCACCAGAACCTGACGTCGCTCTACCCGGCCCTCTCCTGCCTCATCGCCTTCACGGGCGACACGGTCATGGGCCCCCAGTACCTCCTCGAGGTCGAGACCGACGAGTGCCTCGACGGCTGCACGCCCAAGCTCGAGAACCCCGTCTCGCTCAAGTCGCACTCGCGCGCGAATATCACGGGCGGCGTCATCGGCGGCAACACCCAGAAGATGGGCACGGCCCCGTTCCTCCAGTACAAGGGCAACGTCACGTCCATGCCCGACATCTTCTCCTTCGTCAAGGAGCAGGTCACGGCGGACTACAACTCCTACGAGTGCGGCCGCCGCGGCAAGTGCGACTACTCCACGGGCGAGTGCGAGTGCTTCGAGGGCTACATGGGCGACCGCTGCCAGATGCAGACCGCGCTCATCTAGGCGGGCGACCTTCGCCGCGCCTCCGCTCCGCGCCGCGCGCGTGCAGCGGGCCTTGTAACTGCGATTTGGAAACTACGACAGCGACCTCCGGGGATGCGCGCGAATCGGATTCTATTCGCCGCATGCTAGACTCATACGATACGCGTGGCGCATGCATCAGCTTTTTGGGCGCCGGTGCAAGATCTGTTATTGAACCGTTTTGGAGCCCCGTACGATTATGCTGCCCCCATCGTCGTGAACACCGCGATGCTCTACGAGCGCGTCCGCGTGACGCGGCAGCGCGTCTTCGTCGTCGCGCTGTCGTTCGCGCTGCTCCTGTGCAACCGCCTCCTGCACCGGGCGTCGTCGCTGAGCTCGTCGGCGGCGCACGGGCCGGGCAACCTGCACGCCTTTGGCACGCACAGCAGCCTCCCGCCGCCGCCGCCGCCGCCGCCGCCGCCGCCGCCGCCGCCGCCGCCGCCGCCGCCGCCGCCGCCGCCGCCGCCGCCGCCGCCGCCCGCCGTCGCCGCGCGGCCGCCGCCGCCGCCGCCCTTCGTCGTGCCGCCGCTCGGGGCCGCCGTGCGCGAGTGGGCCGCGGGCGAGCGGGGCCAGTGGGAGAGCCTCGAGGCCGTCGGCGTCGCGTCGCGGGCCCGCGCGCCGGGCGCGCTCTGCGTCGGCGGCTTCGCCGACGAGGGCGGCGAGGTCTGCGTGGCGCCCTACCTGCAGATCCGGCGGCCCTGGCGCGTCTGGGTCGTGCCCGCGGACGAGGGCAAGGGCGAGCGCGGCTGGCGGTTCAAGAATCTGATGAAGGGCGGCTTCGACGCCCACCCGCACCTCGTCGACGAGGCCAACCCGGCGGCGGCCGACGCCCTCGTCTGGATCCCGACCTGCGCCCACGAGTTCCGCGTGGAGAAGTACGCGCTCCGGCCGGGCGATCTCGCGAAGCTCGCGGTGCTCGACGAGAGCGACGCGCCGGGCAACTGGCCCCAGGTCAACAAGCACCACCTCGGCGTCTACTTTAAGCGCTCCTGGGTGCGACGCGCGGCGTCCGTTTTTGTTCCGCGCGATCCGGGGGAACCCGCGCGCCGGCAGGTCCACAAGCGCAACGGCACGCACCACGACGGCGGCGACGCGCCCGGCGACGTCATCGCGAAGAAGGCGTCCAAGGCCGTCTGCGAGGGCGACGGCGACCACTGCGCGTACCACGGGTCGCGCGCGTGGAAGAACCGCGACAGGCCCGCGCTCGGCCAGTACTTCGTGCCCTTCCCCTACAGCGTCTGGGACAACTACACGTCGGGCATGGTCCTGGGCGCGCCGCGGGACGTGCGCGTCGTCTGCACGGTGCGCACGCACGCGGAGAAGCAGCCCGCGCGGACGCGCGTCGTCGGGTTCCTCAGGGAGATCCTCTTCGGCGAGTTCGGGCTGGCGCCGGGCGAGGACGCCGTCGTCGGGGACACGGGGGGCCACCGGAAGACCGTGGACGCGTCCTACTTTGGCTGGATGCGGTCGGCGCAGATCGTCGTGACCTGCAACCCCTCGCACTGGGACGGCGACTTCCGCCTCTTCGAGGCGCTGAGCTCGGGCGCGCTCGTCTTCACGGACGAGCTCCACACGCCCCAGCCCTACGCGCTCGTCGACGGCGTCCACTGCGTCGTCTACGACACGCACGACAAGGGCGACCTGCGGCGCAAGCTCGCCTACTACCTCGAGCGGCCGCGCGAGGCCGCGCGCATCGCCGCGAACGGCCTCGCGCACGTGCTCCGCCACCACCGCGCCGTGTCCCGCGTCGACTACGTGCTCCGCACGCTCGACGACAAGTGGCGCCTCCACCCGGAGGAGGACCGCGGCCGCGAGCCGCGGCCGCCGCCGCGCGCGGCGCGCTACGCGGAGACGGGCTTCGCCATCCGCGCGAGCCGCGACCACGAGCTCCACGCGCTCGCCTTCCCGCCGGACCCGAAGCGGCCCCTCATCGGCTAAGGGCCCCTTAGCGGCGGCCCCGGTCCCGGCTCCGGTCGCGGCGGCTCCGGTCCCGGGACCGCGACCGGTCGCGGCGGCTCCGGTCCCGGCTCCGGTCGCGGCGGCTCCGGTCGCGCGAGTCGTCGCGGCGGCTCCGGTCGCGCGACGAGCGGCCCCTGGACTCGTCGCGGGACCGCCCGTCGCGGCTCTTGGACCGCTTCTTCTCCTCCTTGAAGACGCCGCCGAGGCCCTCGACCCTGCCCCGCCGGAACGCGTCGAACTCGCGCCGGCGCCCGTCGCTGCTCAGGCACGCGTAGCGCGGGTCCCGCACGGCGCGGAGCGCGTCGTCGACCTTGGACCAGCGGAGCGCCTCCCACTTGGCGAGCTCGGACGCCGCGTCGGCGGGCGCGGCCCCGAGCAGCGTCGCCTCGACCTCGCCGAGGTAGGCGGCGAAGTCGGCGCCGCGCTTGCGCGACCGCGCCTCCTTGGCGGCCTTCTCCGTCGCCGCGAGCTCGCGCACGAAGTCCTCGAAGGCCCGCTGCTTGACGTCGTCCTCCAACAACCCGAAGCGCGCGTCCTTGTGCGCGCGGCAGTGCTCCCGCAGTTTCGGGCCGGCCTCGCGCCACGTCGCGCTGCCGTCGACGAAGGCGTGCTCCGCGAGGAGCCCCAGGAAGGCCTGCTTGTGCTTTTGCTCGAGCTTCGCCGCGTCCGCGCGCTCCTTCGCCTTCTCGACCTTCAATCGCGCGTTCTGGTACTCCGCGAAGGCCTGCTTCCGCTCGCCCTGGTTCTTGACGGCCTCCGTGGGCGCGTCGTACTGGACCCGCCGGTAGACGTCGGCGAAGACCTCCCAGGAGCCGACCTCGAGCGACTCGAGGTGCGCCTGGAACGCCTTCCGCGCGGCGTCGCCGTCGTAGGGCGCCTGGGCCTCAACGCCGCCGCCCTCGGCGATGGCGGCGCAGAACTTCTCGTAGGCGTCGTTGACGAGCTGGAACCGCCGCGTCGCGTCCGCGTCGCCGCGGTTCCGGTCGGGGTGGTGCCGGAGCGACTCCTTCTTGAACGCGCGCTTCAAGACGGCCTCGTCGCGGCAGTCCGGCGCGACGCCGAGCACGCGCGCCGCGTCCGCGAGCTTCATGTCCTCGCGCTTCTTGTCCTTGAGGTGCCGCCGCTTCGCCGCGCGGAGCGCGGCCTTCTCGAGCGCCTCCTCGAGTGCCGCGAGGCGGGGCTCGACCTCCGCCTTGAGCGCCAGCAGCTCCTTGCACTGCGCGTGGCACTCGAGGCCCTCCTCGATCTTCGCGAGGCACTCGGGCAGGTAGCCCATGTTCGCCAGGTTCTGCGCCTGCTCGCAGAGCTCGACCGCGCGCTCGCGCCGGTGGATGCTGTCGAGGTGGCTCATGGGTGTGTCTTTCGCGGAGCTATGCGGCGGCGACGAGCGTCGATGGAGTTTTTTGAGCTATGCGACGTCGGGATCCGTTCGCGTCGGCGGCGAAAGGCGTCGACCTGCCCACGCCTCGTCGTCGGGCGCGAGTAGGCGAGGTCGGTCGAGATGACGGCGCCCGCTTGGCGCCCGACTCGGCCGGCGACCGGCGAACGCGCCTCGCGCCGCCCGAAACGCCGAACGCGGCCGCCGTGTTACGACTCGACCACGACTCCATCCGGGAAGCGCGTCCGGGAGGAGCCGTTGGCGTGGACGAACTTCTTCGTGCCGTCGGGGAACGTGATGTCCTTGGAGCCGTCCTGGTTGTGCTTCTCGACCTGGCCGTTGGGGAACTCGAAGATCTCGATGTTGCGCTTCGGGTCCGACGTGTGCGTCGTCTGGGCCGACGCGTAGTAGTAGACGACGCGGCCCGTCGCCGCGTCCGCGCTCTTGACGTCGCCGTTCGCGAAGCGAACCTCGACGGCGCCGTCGGGCGACACGGCCTTGCGCGTGCCGTTCTTGTACTCGACCTCCTTCTTCCCGTCGGGGAACGTGCGCTCGCGGATGCCCTCGCGGCCCTTGACGGGCCGCCACGGCGGCTCGGCCGGCGCCGTCGCGCGCGGCGGAGCGTCGTCGCGCTTCGGCCGCTCGGACGTCGCGGGCCGCTGGGGCCGGTCCGCGGGCGCCGACGACGGCGCGGGCGCGGCGTCCGCCGGCGCGGGCGTCGTCCGCACGGGCGGCGGCCGCTTGTGCGCCGGTTTTTTGGACGACCGGTCCGGCGGCGCCATGGCGCGCGCCTCCTCGGCGGCGACGGCGGCCTCGGCGTCCCGCACGGACGCCATCTTCGCGTCGTAGGCCTCCTGCAGGGACGCCTCGCGCGCGAGGAACTTCTGCCGGCGCCGGTCGCCCTGGAGCTTCAGGCGCGCGATCGTCGCCGACATCGCCTCGACCTCGGCGTCGAGCGCGGCCTCGTCGCCCGCGGCGCCCTCCTCGGGCTTGGACCGCTCGCGCTCGACGCCCCGCTTCTCCTTGGCGATCGACGCCTTCTGCTGCGCCTCGAAGGCGTCGAGCGCCGCGTCCTCGTCGTCCGCGCGCGCGTCCGCCTCCGCGACGCGCCGCTCGATGTCCGCGAGCGACCGCTCGAGGCGCCGCGTCGTCTCCGCGCTCTTGGCGAGATCCTCCTGGCACTGGGCCAGCGCGAGCCGCAGCGTACTTCGGCTCTCGGACGTTCGCGGCGCCGCGGCCGCGGAATTTCGCGGCGGCGCCGCGCCGTTCCGCGCGGGCCTCGGCGCGGCCGCGGGCCGCGCCGCGGGCTGGCGCGACGGCGGCGCCTCGGCGCCGTTGCGCCGCGCGGCGCCGTTGCGCCGGGCGGCGCCGTTGCGCGCGGGCCGCGCGGCCGCCGCGGCCGAAACCGCCGCGGCGTCGTCGTCGTCGGACGCGGCGCCGTCGTCCGCGCCGTCCGCGCCGTACATGGCCGCGAGCGCCGCGTCGTCGCGCGGCGGCCGCTGCGCGCTCCGCCGCGGCGACGACGCCTGCACCTCGTCGCCGAGCACGGCGCGCTCGACGGCGACGAACTCGTCCAGGGCCGCCTTCTCCGCCGCGCGCGACGACCGGAAGGCGCGCGTCAGCGTCGTGTGCGTGAGCTCATCGGCGCTCGACTCCGCGTCGTCGTCCCAGGACATCTTTCGAGCGTCGCGCGTGCAGCGCGCGCGCGCGCAACAGGGCAGTGCTCGAGCTGTTGGCGCCTCTTTCACCACTTCGCGATGGACGACGAGTCCTTCCTCGATGGACGGCGTGCAGCGCCTCCGGACGAGTCTGAGGCGGCCTATTTTGCGGCTGCTAGGCGGCATCGGCCGTAGATGTGCGGCGGTTCGTGGCGGTCGAGCGGCGGCCCGGTCCAGGACGCGTCGCAACCCTCAAGGTTCGTGTTCGTCGCGCGCGAGCGCGGCTCCGAGTCGCCGACACCGGCTCGCTCCGACGCGGAGCAGCCACGGTGGTGCGCGGACCCAAGAGTGATGCGGACGTGCGGAATTTCGCGGCGCGTGGCTCCCAGCCGCGTCGAGGACGACGCGCCGAGGAAGCCTGGCGCCGCCGGGGGTCGCCGATCCAACACTTCGAGCATCTCAGCCGCAAGCTCAAGACCTTCCATCAATCAACGATGTTCAAGCTTATCGTCGCCCTCTGCGCCTCGAGCGCCGTCGCGTTCCAGTCGGCCATGCCGGCGGCCCGCGCCACGTAGAAAACCGGCGTCGAAATGACGGGAAACGCGCCGTGGGCTCCCAAAATGGCTCGATTCGCCGATCGGCGGTCGAAAGCGACGGCGATCGCGCGGGCGGGCCCCGCGCGGCGTGGCGCCCCGGAGCCCGCCGCCGCGGCACATAAAGCCCCGCGCGAGCGCCTCGGAACCCGCCCGACCCGCGCGCGCGCGCCGCGCCCGACGAAACCGCGCGCGCAGGTCCTCGCTCAAGGCCGTCGAGGAGTTCGAGATCGGCGTGCAGCCCCCGGCGGGCTTCTTCGACCCGCTCAACTACTGCGAGGACCAGCCCGAGTCCTTCGTGCGCCGCCGCGCCGTCGAGCGCAAGCACGGCCGCGTGACCATGGTCGCGTTCGTCGGCATCCTCGTCCACAACGCGAACATCGAGTTCCCCGGCTACCTCTCCAAGTCCCAGGGCCTCAAGTTTTCCGACATCCCCAACGGCATCTACGGCCTCTCCAAGGTCCCCTCCGCGGGCCTCCTCCAGATCCTCCTCTTCTTCGGCCTCGTCGAGCTCGCGTGGTGGCCCGCGTCCAACTACTCCGGCGACTACGGCGTCGGCTTCTTCGGCGCCAAGTACGAGGGCGAGGAGAAGCTCCAGAAGCTCAACGCCGAGATGGCCAACGGCCGCCTCGCCATGCTCGGCGTCGCCGGCGCGATGCTCGCCGAGGGCCAGACCGGCGAGACGCTCTCCGAGCAGCTCCTCGCGCTCAACTTCAACCCCTTCGCCTAAGCGGCGACGGCGGTGCGGTCGGCGCGGTCGGCGGCGGCGCGGCCACGACGGCGCGGCGGCCGCGCGCGCGCGGCGGCCGCGACGCGCGCGCGGGCGGCGCGGAGTAAGAGCGCGTCCCGACGGAAGGTCGGCGATTAGCCAGTGCGATAATGCTCCTCAACGGCGCTTCTCCCAGCCCTCGGTCGCCGGGCGCCGGGTGCGCCTCCCCTTCCATGACTTCAACATCGCGGGTTGCAGTACGGTTGAAGCCTTGACGACGCAGAGGCTACGCAGCCCCGCACGATGGAATAACGCAGTCGTCCACAATGAAGCGGCCTCCAAAGGGGACGAAGGTGGGGCCCTACGCGCCGCCGCCGGCGGACGGCGTCTGGAGCGAGAAAGACGACGCGCTGCTGCAGCAGCTCATGGACCCCCTCTTCCACAAACCAAAAATCAACCCGCTGGGCATGCTGGGCAGCGAGGCGCGCGGCCTCTGCTGCGCGCCCAAGTCCGAGGTTTTTGATCGTCTTGTTGCGTTCGTGTCGACGATCAACGTCATGAGCGGCCTGGTCCTCTCGGCGATCGCGTCGCTCGCGACGGCGCCGCTCGTCGTCGAAGCGCTGCCCTCGAACAAGCGGTTCCTGGGCAGCCTCTTCAACGTGCTCGCCTTCGTGTCCGTCGCGACGCAGATCTGCGTCGTCATGTTTTCCACGTACATGCTCTTCCTCGTGTACTGCCACGGGCACAGCCCGTCGGCGATCTACCGCGCGCTCGTCCACTCGCAGACCCTCATCGGCGCCTGCATGCTCGGCGTCTACTTCCCGCTCCTGCTCTGGCTCGGCATGATCGTGATCGCGTCCCAAATCTACTTCGCGTTCTGGCCCAAGTGGCTCTGCACGTTCGCCGTGCCCCTCGTCTACGCGGCGTTCCATTTCCTCTTCACCTACAGCTACGCGCGCGCGTTCCCGCGCGCGATGTGGGGCTGGCACGCCGTCACGGCGCCCTGGCTCTTCTGGAGCGGCCGCGTCCGCGCCGACGTCGAGCGCAACGACGCGGCGCTCCGCGCGGCGGCGGAGCAGGGCGCGCTCGCGGGCAAGGACGACGACCACGACGGCGTCGTCGACGCGCCGCGCGCGCGGACGCCCGAGGAAGCGCAGCTCGACGCGTTCGTGCGCCGCGCGCTGCCGGAGCGCGAGGCGATGGAGGCCGAGGACGCGCGCCGCGCCGCGCTCGTGCGCGCGCTCGCCGTCGAGGGGCTCGTCGTGCCGCGCCTCGCGGACGCGGCGCGCCAGCCCGGCGGCTTCGCCGTCGTCATGGGCCTCCTCGACTTCTCCCAGGCGGGGAGCGGCATCGAGCTCTCCCGCGGCGAGCGCCTCGCCCTGGCGACCGCCCTCATGAAGGAGGCGACGCCCGTCGACGCGTATAGGTAGGGTAAGACAGGTCACGGTGGTGTTTCAAGGTGTGTTCCGGGCCCCATGATCGCGGCACCACTTGCCGCACCGACTTGGAGCTCGAGCATCAACAGACTTCAAGCTACTTCAGTCCGTACTTCACGAAGATCACGGCGTCGACCGACTGCGTCGACGCTGACCACAAAGCTCGAGCGGCGCGCGCATTTTTGGCTGCCGACGCCGCCCAAAACGACGAGACCGCCTGGCCTCTGCCACAACGACAACCGCGAAGCGAAGCCGATGGCCGAAAACCGGCGGGCGCCGTCCCCGCTCGCGCCGAACCACGACGACGTTCTCCAGGGTAAACCGCAGCCGAAATGGTGGCTCATGCACGCGCTCAACTACGTCGTCATGGCCATCTTCCTCGGGTCCGTCGGGCTCCACGTGTCGCGGACCTCCTTCGGCCTGCGGCGCGACGCGACGCGCGCCCCCGGCGTCCGTTACCGCGCGCGCGCGGCCGCCGCGCGTTCGAATAGAAACGAAGAGAAACGAAACGCCGTAGGTCCCTGCTGCCCATGCTGACGGTCTGGAGCTGCTGCATGGCCTACTTCTTCGGGTTCTTCGGCATCTCCTTCGTGGACAAGGACGAGGACCTCTTCGCGGGCGTCGACGACGCGTTCGAGGTGCTCGACCTCACGGTGCGGCGCGAGGCGCGGGCCGACGAGGCCGGGGCCGACGCCCCCCGGGAGTTCTCCCCCGGCGGGGGCGCCCTGCCGACGCTCCGCGAGGAGACCGACGCGCGCGGCGGCGCCGCGGCGTCGGCGACGACGCCGCGCGCGCTCTCGGCGGCCGCGGCCGCGCGGGCCGCCGAGGAGAGGAGCCCCAACGAGCGGGCCGAGGACGCGGACGGCCTGCGGGGCGTGCGCGGCGAGGACCGGGTGCGCTGCGCCGCGGCGCTGGCCCGCGCCGGGGGCGACGCGGCGGCGCTCGAGGTCAAGATCCCCGTGCGACTCGCGGGGCCGGTCCGCGTCGACGGCCGCGAGACGCTCGCGCCGCTCGCGGGCGCGGACGATCGGCTCCGGGAGCGCGTCGACGCCGGCGCGCGGGCGCTGCGCCTGAGCGGCGGCGCGACGTCCCGCGCGGACGCGGGGGAGGCGGCGGAACCGACGTACGGCTGCGCGTCGGTCTGCGTCGTCTGCCCGACGCTCGCGGGCGCGGACGCCGCGGCCGCGCTCGCGCGGGGCAAGGCGTTGCGCAACGCGCAGCGGCCCCGGGCGGTGATCCGCGACGCGCAGGCCCTGGGGCGCTGCTGCTACGTGACGCTATCTCTTCTTCTACCGTCGGACGACGCGGAAGCCAAGGCGCTCGCTTTGGGCGTCGGCGCGGCGGTCTGCGAGGCCGCGCGCGGCGCCTACGTCGGCCCGGCCGTCGCCGCGCCGGAGCCGCGGGCGCCGGCGACGATTTCCGTCACGGCGGAGGCGACGGTGCCGGGGCCCGTGCTCCTCAAGGTGCTCGGCTGCTCCGTCCACGACCTCTGCGCGGCCTTCGCGCGGCGCGAGCTCGCCGCGCGGCACCACCTCGCGCGCGCGGGGCCCCGCGCCGGCGACGCGCTCGCGCCCTGGGCCTCCTGCCACGCCGACGACGCGCGGCGACTCGTCCGCGCGATCGACGGCGCCGCGCGCGGCGGCGGCGGCGGCGGCGGCGCGCCCGCGGTCCGCGCGGCCGTCGAGGCCGTGAACCGCGGGCGCGACGTCCACGTCGCCGCGACGCTCGACGGCCTCGCCGTGGACGCGGACGGCGCGTCGCCGCTCGCGGGCCTGCTCCGCGGCGACGGCCTCGCGCCGGGCGCCGTCGCCGCCGCCGCCGTGCTCGGCCTCGAGCTCGCGAACTTGGCGGCGTCCGCGCACTCGCGGCCGCGGCCGGGGCGGACGTAGGCGCGTTTTTAAGAGTCCATGCGGCAACGTAAAACGATCTTTCAGGCGTTCTTTCGAGCAGTGCGCAGAGATGCTCCAAAACCGTAACTATAACTTCAAGTTAGACAGAAATCCGAAACGGATTCGAGGCGACGGGTTCCCCGACCTTTCGCGTCCCAACCTCGACGCGCTGTGTCGTCGCTACCGGAGCCGCTGCCCGCGGGCTTCGACCTGCTCGTCGCCGCGGACGTGCTCTACGACGCGTCTCTAGCCCTATGCCGGCGGAGGTGGGCCCCGCCGCGGAGGCGCCGCGGCCCAGGGGCCGGTTCCGCAGCGCGACGAGCGGGCTCATGAGCAAGCTGTGGATGCGGCGCCGGAGCAAGAAGACGAGCAAGGTCGTCCCGACGATGAAGACCCTCGTCGTGGCGCCCGCGGGGACGCCGACGCGGTCCATCAGCACGGAGACCTGCGGCACGCCGACCTCGCCCTTCGACGGGCAGCCCTTCCGCCTCGGCTACCTCTGCGCCGAGCCGCTCGTCTACCGGAAGCCCGACGGGTCCTTCGGCGCGCTGCCCCCGGTGCAGAGCCGGCGCGACGGCGAGGTGTCGCTGCTCAAAGCCGTGCTCGCGCGGAGCGAGACGGCCGTGCGCTTCCGCAGCGCCGTCGCCACGGTGACGGAGCTGCGGTCCCTGCTGACCGTGGGCTGCGACGCGCTGCACTTCAGCGGCCACGGGCTGCCCCGGTCGCTGAGTTTCGAATTAGAGGGCCGCGCGGAGCTGACCATGGTGGGCCACGACCGCCTGGAGGCCCTGTTCGCCGCCGGCGGGCACCGCGCGCGCCTCGTCTTCGCGGCCGCGTGCAAGTCGGAGTTCGCGGGCCGCGCGTTCGCGCGCCACGTGCCGCACGTGATCTGCGTCCGCGTCGACGCGCGCCTCGGCGACCGCGCGGCGCGCGACATGGCCGAGCAGTTCTACGCGGCGATCCTCCGGGGGCGGACCGTGCGCGAGGCGTTCGACATCGGCGTGGCCGCGGTCGGCGCCGCGGGCGCCGCGTACCTGCTGCTCCCGGAGGACGGCGACCACGACGTGCCCTTGGTGCGCGGCGACGACGCGTCGCTCGTCGCCGGCGACGTCGCCCTGGCGACGGCGCGGCCGGGCGCGCTCCGGGACGAGTCGCGGCCCGCCGCGGCGTCGAGCTGCCCCGCGCCGCCCGCGCCGCTCTTCGGGCGCGCGGCGGCCGTCGCCGAGGTCGTGCGGCTCGCGGGCTACGAGGGGCGGCGCTGCGTGACCGTCGCCGGGGCGAGGGGCTCGGGCAAGGCCGCCGTCGCGCGCGCGGCGGCCCAGTTCCTCGCGGACCGCCGCCACTTCGCCGCCGTCGCGCACGTCGACGACCTGCCCAAGGCGCCGCTGTCGGCCTTCCTCTCCTATGTCGTCGACGAGACGCGCCAGCCCTACCCGCGCGTCGTCGAGCGCTTCCTCGAGGCGGCGGCGGCGGCGCGGCGCGCGTGCGAGGGGCGCGGCGGCGGGTCGCGGCGGCCGTCGGCGGACGACGAGCTCACGCCGGACAGCTGCGCGCGCGCCTTCGCGGATCTGGCGGCCCTCGCGGGCGGGAGCGTGCTCGTCGTCGTCCGCGGCGCGTCGCCGGAGATCCGGGGCCTCGTGCGCATGATTTCGCATTTGCTGGAGAACGTGCCCGGGCTGTCGGTGCTCTGCTCGGGCGAGGCGCTCCACGGCGGCGCGGAGCGCGTCGAGAACGCGCCCGAGAAGGTCTACGACCTGCCGCCGCTCCCGCGCCACGACATGGCCCGGCTCCTGGACGACCTCGCGCCGCGGCGCATCCCCGACGCGGAGCTCCTGGGCCTCGAGCCCCACGACGACGCCCCGCGCGTCGCGACGGTGACGCCGACGACGCGGAAGCTGCTGGCGCCCATCGCGCGCGGGCCGGACCCGGCCGACGACCGCGCGCGGGCGCTCGACGCCTTCGCCGCGCACGGCGCGCTCCTGGCGCTCGAGGGCAACGCCAAGGCCGCGGTGGCCTTCGCGCCGAAGCTGTCCCGCGACCTCCGCGATCCCGCGCTGCCGGGCGAGGCCGCGCGGTGCCTCCGCGACTCCGACGCGTCGCCGGGCAGCGCGCCGTCGTTCTGGGCGGAGCGCGGATTTTAACTTTGCAAGCTCGCGCGCTAGACGCACACGTCTCCGGATGATCGCCGGGCTCTAGCCGGTGCGCTGGCGCTTCTCGCGGTGCTTCTTCACGGACGCCGCGGCCGAGGGGACGGTGACCTTGCACATCCAGCGGTGGTTGTGCACGATGCGCTCGTCGCCGCCCGCCCCATACTCTTCAGGGCCGCGAGTCTGGAGGTAGCCCTGCTGCCATTTAGCCACGAAGCCGTGATCTTTGAGCGCGTCGACCGCGTGTTTTTGGAAAAAGTCATCCGCCATCCAGTTCTTGTGGTCTTGTAGTTTACCGTAGATTTCCGCTTCAGGATCCGAGTACCGACCCCGATATCCCATGTGCAGCAGCTGGCTCCCGTGCGCCTTGCTCATGTCCGACAGATTGTCGCCAATCTCGTATTCGACATACGTTTTCACCAGCGACGGATGAACTTCGAACTCATGGAGAATACAGGCGACAGCCTTCGGGATCGCCTCCATGGCCTTGACATACACCGTGGCGCGCACCTTCGCCGCGGCAGACGCGTCGATGAGCTCGACCGAGGCCGGATCGACGCGCAGCCCGAAGAAAGCGAACGCGCGGAGGACGTACTCGAGCTCGAGCTCCGCCCCCGGGAGCTCAAGCGCGCCGTCGACGTGCTCGTACCACGCCTTGATCGCCGGGGCCACGGCCTCGTCCCACTTGTCGCCCAGCGCGGCGCCGGGATTCAAATCGATGGTCTTGTCGCCCGCGTCGTCGCCCGACCAGCGCGCGATCATCGCGCCGATGACGGTTTCACCGGCGGGGTCGCGGCGCGCTACATCCGCGCGTGTCACGCTGAATTCGCTGTTCGTCTGCCCCTCGAGTCGCACGCGGATCATGCACGTGGGGGTGGGGTCTTTTAGGTTGAATGCATGTTTACCGTATGTTTCCCCACTGGCGGACTCGCCCTACCCGCGCCATTCTCCGCGCACCCACGATAAGCAGCTACGACGGCCGCGGGTCCAGTCCAGGCAGCTGCAGGAGCGCGGCGCGTGCGCACGCGGCGCGCGCTTCCGAAGTCCGCCCGCAAATACTACAAGTTCCTCTCTCGTCCGACCAGCGATGCGCGCGCCAACGAAGCTGAGCTGCGTGTGGAATGCTTACTCACAGTGGCGAACGGGTTACGGGCGAGGCCGCGTTAGAACGCGGGCGCGTCGTCGAAGCTGAGGCCCGGGTCGTCGTAGAAGACGCCCGCCTCGAAGGTGCCGTCCTTCTCGCTGCCCTGGGACGCCGTGCGGGGCCGCTTCGGCTCGATCTTGTCGACGAGGAGCGAGGCGCTGTAGAGCGCGTCGAAGGACGAGAAGCGCGGGAGCGCGCCGTCGCCGCGGTCCGCGCCGAGCGCCTCGTGGGGCGGGCCCTCGCCTTCCTCCCCCTCGCGCCGTCGTTTCGTCGTCGACAGGGGCAGGTGGCCCCACTGGGCCGACGTCGACCGCGCCATGCGGAGCGCCTCCGCGGAGGGCCCCGCGATCGCGCCGCCGCCCGTCCACGACCCGCGGTCGCCGCCGCCGCGCGCGCCGTCGCCCCCGAAGGCCAGGGGCTTGGACGCGCCGCCCTTGGGCCCCGGGTTCGGCTTGCGCCGCGCGTCGCCCGGCGGCGCGTCGCTCCCCCGGGGCTCGTCGCGGAGCGGCGCGCCGCCGTCGTCGTCCTCCCAGCGGATCTGCGCCGCGTCGCCGAGCAGCTCGTCGATCTTGCCGCCGCGGCGGTACCACTCGGGCACGGCGGGCGGCGGCGCGGGCCGTGACCGGGCGCCCTCGGGTGGCGGCCGGCTCGGGTCGTCGTCGAAGATGCGGCGCGCCATCTCGTTGACCTTCGTCGATGACCCGGAATGCGACGCGCCGCCGGGCAGCGACAGGGGGCTCAGGAACTTGAAGAGGCCCTGGGCCACGTCCGCGGCGCCCGCGCGGCCGTTCGCCGCGACGGCCGGGGGCAGGAAGCGCCGCAGGGCCGGCGGGACCGCGATGGCCTGGCCGCCGCGCTCGCCGTCGTCGTCGAAGTCGAAGCCCGACCGGCCCGCGGCGCCGAAGCCGCCGGGGCGCGCGCTCCGGCCCGCCGCGGACCCGCCGCCGCCGCTGGGGGCGGCGCGGTCCTTCTCCAGCTTCTGGAAGTACTTTTGCGCGTGCGACCGGACCTGCACCGTCGTCCGCGAGCCGACGACGTCCGCGACCTTGGTCCACTTCTTCCCGAAGAGCTCCAGCCCGTGCAGGAACCGCGTGTGCTCCTCGTCCGTCCACCGCCCGGTCTTCTCGCCGCTGCTCGACGCCTGCTGGGGGGCGTCCTCGGGCGGCTCCTCCATTGCGTTCTTATCGCTTACGGCGCGCAGGCGGCGCGTCTTTTTTCGTCGAAAACTTTGCGCGTTCCGTCTTCCACAATCGGCGCTCGATTTCGTGAATCGCGCGGGGCACGGAAAGCGGGGCCGTCGGAGTTACAGGCCGCTATTCGCGATGCCCATAGCTTGTCAGTAGTACGTGTACCTCGGCCGTCCGGACTGCAAGCCCGGCCGGGGCTCCGTTGGGACCCCCGGCTCTTGGAGGCGTTCTTGGAGCCTCAGGTTTTGCGTTCTGTTGCAAGAGTCCTACAACTCTGGAACGGCAACAACATTCGAGTCTGTCGGCCGCCCGGGCCTTGCGACACCCGGCATGTGCAGCGCTCGCCGCTTCCAAAACGTCGTCGCTGGCGAGCAAGCGAGCTGCCCAACGAGGTCTCGGCTCGCCGTAGCCCCCAGCGACAGCCACACCTCCTTCGGGTGCGGCTGCGGGCGGCCCGCAGCGCGTTCGCCGGGCGGCGTGCGCCGCGCGAAGTTCGCGCGCCGTGCGTAAACATGCTATGTTGAACCATGTTGCAGCTCTCCATGCGATACGCCTTGCGATTCTTCTCCAAACCAGCGCAGTGCTGCCACGGCGTCGTCCGGCTGCAACGCACAATGGCCGAGCTCGAGGAGCACAAGCACGCGATGACGGAAGCGCGGAGCGGCGTGCTCGAGGCGTTGAGCGACGACGTGCTCCGCGAACTCTGCTGCTACCTCCCGGGCCGCGACCTCGCCTCAGCGGGCATGTGCAGCCGGGGCTTCGAGTCCCGCGTCGGAAACTGCGCGCACCTCTGGCGCGAGCTCTGCGTGTCGCTGCTCGGCGAGGCGCGCGTCGCGCTGCACAAGGACGCCTGGCGCGAGGCCGAGGCGACGGCGGCGTTCTACCGCCGCCTCTTCGACGCGGCGCTGAAATGCGCGGCGTTCCGCTACGAGACGGACCTGCGCCAGACCTGCGCCGTCACGCCCATCGGCGGCGCGGCGGCGCGGCCGGCGGCCGAGGCCGACCGGTCGCTCGCGCTGCTCGTGTGCTCCACCGGCCACACGGCCGTCGCGCTCGGCGGCGTCGTGCTGCAGGTCGGCGGCTGGCGCCGGCCGGCGTCCTGTTGACGATTTTTGAGAGCTTTTGAAAACAAATCGTGACCGACGCACTTCGTAGGCGCCAGCAGGACGAGCGCGGCTGGTGCCACGTGACGACCGTGCGCCTCGCGCCGGGGCCCGTCGCCGTCTTCTCGCCCGACCAGGAGGCGCCCGACGGCTTCCCGGGCCGCCGCCTGCGCCACGCGAGCTGCGTCGTGACGCCGCCCCGGGGCTTGTTCCCCGCGAACGTCGACAAGTGCGCGCTCGTCCTCGGCGGCTACTGCGACGTCACGCGCCAGCCGTCGGGGGGCGGGCTGCGGACGCTCTGGTTCCTCGCGCTCGGCGCGCCGGACGGGAGCCGCGTCGTCTGGCGCCGCGTCGAGGCGCTGGGCCCCGCGCCCGCGGGCATCTGGCACCACGCGTGCGACGCCTTCGACAAGGGCTCCAAGGTCGTCGTCTTCGGCGGCGACGTGCCGCCGTCGGACCCGGAGTTCCGCGAGGACCGGAGACACTGCGCCTTCGTCTACGTCCTCGACCTCGCGGCGTCGCCGCCGACCTGGACGCGGCGCGCGACGTCCGGCGACGTGCCGACGTGGCGGTCGCTGCACGTCGCCTGCAGCCACGCGGCGCTCGCCGACGGCTCGGAGCGCCTCGCGGTCCTGGGCGGCACGGAGGAGCACACGGCGGTGTTTACGAGTGGGCCGCCCGTGCCGGAGATGGCCGCGCACTGTTTGGACCTACGGTGGTTCGTCTGGCGCCGCGGCCCCTCGCTGCTGAAGGGCGAGCACATTCAAGCCGCGCGGCTGCGCTTCGGCGCGGAGCGCTACGGGCTCCACCTGCTCGTCTACGGCGGCCACGACGACGGCGGCTGCGTGCCGCGCGCGGAGCGCGTGCTCAAGCTGAACCTCCGCACGCTCGAGTGGGGCGCCGTGGCCGAGGTCGGCAGCCCCGCGTCCTTCCCGAACGTCGCCGCCGCCGCGCTCGCGGGCGGCGTCGTCGTCGGCGGCGTGACGATGCACCGCTTCGGCGGCATCCGGCCCGTGCCCAAGCTCGACTTCCTGGCCCTCGTCGACCCGAAGGCGGCGGGCGGCGCGGGCGAGCCGCCGGCCGCGCCGACGGCCGACGGCGACGACTCGGACGACGACATGGTCCGCATCAGCGTCAACGACCCGGCGACGGGCGCGGCGCGGTCCGTCGTGCTCCCGGCGTCGTTCGTCGCGCACCTCGTCCGCGAGGGCCGGCTCTCGCTCGCGGACGACTCCGACGACTCCGACGGCGGCGGCCTCGACGACGACGAGCTCGACGAGCTCGACGGCGGCGACCTCGACGACGTCGACGGCGGCGAGAGCGACGGCGAGGCCGACGACGGCCTGGACGACGACGTCGACGGCGGCCTGGACGACGACGACGACGCGGAAGACGCCGCCGGCGGTTTCGACGACGACGGCGCGGACGGCCTCGACGACGACGACGACGACGGCACGTCGTCGCCAGGCGTCGAGAGCGCCTAAGTCCTGTTTGTACGTGTCGCAGCCGTCCGCGGCGGGACGTGCGGGGACCCCGGGCCGGCCGGCGCCCGGCGCGGCGGCGAGCTCGAGCAGGCTTCGAGCGGCGCCGCAGATCAGACTGGATCGTCTTCCCAGCAAAATCCCTCATTGCAGCATTCTGCTCGACGCGCGCTGCAACCGCGCTTCGCAAGACACAGAGCAAACAAAAGCAATGCCGGTCGTGCGCCTCTTGTTCGCCGTCGCCGCGCTCGGCGGCGCCGGCGTCGCGTTCCTCTCGCAGCCGACGGTGAAGGCGAAGATGGTCATGGGCCTGGGCCGCTTCTTCCGCGACGTCGCGCGCGCCAAGGCGCGGCGGCGGCGCTACGGCAACCGCTACGCGCTCATGCCCATGATGTTCAACATGGAGGCACCCGTGCCCCTCGCGGAGGCGGAGAACGACGCGACGGTGACGTGGTCCGAGCTCGAGGACGCGACCGGCCTCGACGGCGCGCCGCACTACCTGTCCATCAAAGGCCGCGTCTACGACGTGTCGGCGTCGGCGGCCACGTTCTACGGCGTGGGCAAGAGCTACCACGCCTTCGTGGGCACGGACGCGTCGCGCGCGTTCGCGCTCGGCTGCACCGAGCCCGAGTGCGTCAGCGACGACTTGACGGGCCTCAGCGAGTCGGAGCTCCGCGAGATCGACCGGTGGACGGAGATGTACGACACGCACGACAAGTACCACTACGTCGGAAAGCTAGTCGAGGACCCCGTCGACGCCGTCCTAGAACGAGCGTACGCGGAGGCGTAACGGCCCGTCTTTGTAAACCTAGGCGGGCGCGAGGTCCAGGTCCCGGAGCTTGCGGACCTCCTGGACGTCGACCTGGAGCCGGAAGGCGAGCTTCGTCGCCGTGGGCTCGTCGTTCGCGGCCACGGCCAGGAGGCGCGTGAACCGGCCCGCCGCGGCGTCGTAGGACGCGATCGCGTCCCGCAGGCGCCCCGCGAGCCCCTCGGCCGTCGCGCTGCCGGCGAGGGCGTCGGCGACGTAGGCGTCGACCAAAGCGCAGAACCGCGCGGCCGCGTCGAGCGTCGCGTCGAGGTGCGCCGCGACGGCGCCGCCGCCGAGCGCGGAGTCGCCGCCCGCGCGCGGCAGCAGCAACACGTCCGCGAAGACGGCGTCCAGATAGCGCTCGTGGGCGCCGCGGACGTCGTCGAGGTTCTTCGCGCCCCGGACGGCGGCGACGAGGCCGGCCCACGCGGCGCCGAACTCGTCCGCGCAGTGCGCCGCGACCGTCGCGCAGAGCGCCGCCATCTCGTGGCGCTTGAGGCCCGCGTCGTGGAGCGCCTTGCGCGCGGGGCCCGACAGCGACTTGCGCCCCCGCTTCGACGCGGTCACCAAACTCCGCCAGCAGCCGCTCAGCAGCAGCTCGACGCGCTTCCGCCGCGCGAGCGAGCGGTGCGCCGTGCCGTAGGCCGCTAAAGCCGCCGGATCGAGGACCGCGTCCAGCGGCGGCGTCGCGTCGTAGGATAGACCGAAGCCGACGCCCGTGTCGCCGTCGGCGTCGACGACGTCGACGCGGAGCCGCTCGAGCGCCGCGGGCGCGAGCCGCTCCGCGTTCGACGACCGCAGGGCCGCCTCGAAGGCCGCGACGGCGTCGCGCGATCCCCCGAAGGCCGATGGGCCGTTCCGACCTAGACGCGAGACCTCGCCGACGAGGCGCCCCGCGAAGTCGCCCTGCGTCAATAGCACGCAGCAGCGCAGCGCCAGCAGGTGGTCCAGCAGCCCGAAGGTGTCCGTCAGCGACGACAGGAGGCGCCGGTTCACGCGGTCGTAGGCCGCGGCGACGACGTCCGCGAGCGCGCCGCGGTCCTCCGCGTCCGCGGCGGGCGCCGCGCGGAACGCCTCGGCCCAGACCTTGCCGTCGACGCCGGCCCCGGCGAGCATGGGCCCGTCGTCGCCGCAGCAGCGCCGCAGGAAGTTGATGGACTTGCCGACGACGAGGATCTTCTCCGCGGTCTCCGCGGTGACGAACGACGGGATCACGGTCCGCCGGAGCACGTAGCGCTCGCGCCAGAAGTCGCTGCCGGCCAGGACCTCGTCGGCGCCGTCGTCGCGCGGCGCCTCGGCGACGAAGAACTCGCACGCCGCGTCCGGCAGGAGCTGGCCCGAGCCGATCCACCGCCGCGTCGCCGCGAGGATCGGCGCCGCGGCCTTGGCCGACAGCGTCCCGACCAACGTGGCGACGTCGCCGTCGCCGTGGCGCCCGAGCTGCAGCAAGCAGCTCACGAGCGCCCCGCCGCGCGCCGCCTCCGCCGAGCACGCGTCCGCGACGTTCGCGAGCGTCTTCAGCCGCTCGAGCGGTTCCACGAGCCACACGAGCAGCCGCCGCAGCGACGACCCGTCGCCCGCGTCCTCGGGCGCGGGGCCGCGGCCCTTGAGCTGGGCCTCGAGGACGGCCAGGAGGCGGTAGTAGTCCGCGAGCTCGTCGGCGAAGGCCGCGCGGAGCGCCGCGACGCACTGGCCGCGGGCGTCGGTCCGCTCCGCGAACGCGCGGCAGCGCTCGTAGAGCCAGCCGACCTCGCAGAGCTCGCGGACGCCGTCGAGCGTCGAGAGCTTGCGCGCGAGGTCCCGCGACGCCGCGTAGGTCTCGCGCCGCGGCTCCTTGCGCACGTAGCGGCCCTCGATGCCCTGCAAGGCGTAGAGCGCGTCTCGTAATAACAAGGTCTCGTCGCCCGCGACGCCCAGGCCCGTGCCCCGGGGCGGCGGGCCGCGGCGGCCGGGGAGGCGCGGCGGCGACGGCGGCCGCTCCGGCGCGACGCCGTCGATCTTCGCGTGCGGCTTCGACGCGTCGTCGAGCACGCCCGCGGCGCGCGAGAAGCCGCCGGATACCGTCGCGAGGCGCGACGCGCCGCCGCCGCCCCGCGGGCCGAAGCGCGCGAGGGACCCGAGCAGCTCGACGACGCGCGCGCCGCCGCCGGCGGAGAGCGCCGACGCGCCCGCGACCGCGACCGCGGCCTCCTCGAAGGCGACGCCCGCGCCGGCGCCCCGCGCGGCCTCGACGCGGTGCCGCAGGCGCGCGCGGTCGCCGAAGCCGTCGCCGGCCGCGTCGAGGCCCTCGCGCGCCCGCAGGCGCGTCGTCGACGACGACGTCGCCAGCGTCGACCCGAGCACGCGCAGGCAGAGCGCCACGGCGGCCGTCGGCGCCTCGGCGACGCCGATGATGGACGACGCGAGGCGCTTCATGTCGTGGACGACCTCGGCGTCCGGGCGGAGCTCAGCGGCCAGGTCGGCCATGTCTCTCATGATGCGCGCGTGCTTAGTGGACACTCGGCGCCATAGCTGAGCTCGCGATTTGAAGAGCGCATGTTGAAGGCACGTTGCCTACGCCGTCGCGATCCCCGGGTGCGCACCTCGCCGGCCTTACACGTCCGCGTCGGCGTCGAAGACGAAGTCGGCCGTGGCGTCGCCGGCGACGTTGGCCTTCTGGTACTCGGCGACGCGCTTCTCGAAGAAGTTCGTCTTGCCCTGCATGGAGATGAGCTCCATGAAGTCGAAGGGGTTCGCCGCGCCGTAGATCTTGGGGTGGCCGAGGGACGCCAGGAGCCGGTCCGCGACGAACTTGACGTAGTCCGTCATGAGCTTCGCGTTCATGCCGACGAGGCTCACGGGCAGCGCGTCCGTCACGAAGTCCACCTCGGTGTCGACGGCCTCGCTGATGATCGCCGTCGCCTCGGCGTCGCTCAGGCGCAGGTGGCCCGGCAGGCGCGAGTAGAGCGCGCACGCGAAGTCGCAGTGGAGGCCCTCGTCGCGCGAGATGAGCTCGTTCGCGAAGCCGAGGCCCGGCAGGATGCCGCGCTTCCGCAGCCAGAAGATGGCGCAGAAGGACCCGCTGAAGAAGACGCCCTCGACGGCGGCGAAGGCGAGCAGGCGCGCCGCGTAGGGCGCGTCCGACGCCGTCCACTTCATCGCCCAGTCCGCCTTGGCCTTGACGCAGGGCATGAGGTCGTGGGCCCGCGTCAGCGCCTCGCGCTCGCCCGGGTCCTCGACGTAGGTCTCCAACAGGAGCGAGTACATCTCCTGGTGCACGCCCTCGATGGCGCCTTGAAACGCGTAGAAGAACCGCGCCTCGGGCAGCGTCACCTCCTGCGCGAACCGCTCCACGAGGTTCTCGAGGACGATGCCGTCGGACGCGGCGAAGAAGGCGAGCACGCGGCTCAGGAAGTAGCGCTCGCCCTCGTCCAGCTGCTCCCAGTGCTGCTTGTCCTGGCCGAGGTCCACCTCCTCGGCCGTCCAGAACGACGCCTCCGCGCGCTTGTACATGGCCCAGAGCCCCGCGTCCTTGATCGGGAAGAGCGTGAAGCGGCTGCTGTCGCGCGCGCAGAACCAGGGCAGCTCCTCGCTCCGGGCCGTCCCGTTCCACGCGGAGGGCACGGCGACCTCGGCCTGTTCGTACAGTTCCTCCACGGGGGGCGCCTCGCTCAAATCGCCGTCGACGGGCAGCGTGCCGCGCTTGTCGTGGCTCCGCGACGCGCGCAGCTTCGTCGGCGGCAAGCCCCCGGCCAGGGAGGCCACCGCGAGCAAGCAGGCGCCACGATAGCTCATGCTTCTCCGAGCAGCTCGCCCCTTTGAAGTTGGCAATTTCTGTGCCTCGACGCGCGCGTGCGCGCGTGAGCTGAGCCCGTCGCACGCGCGAGGCCTCGTCGCCTGCGTAGGCCTCAGGCGGAGATGGGGGCAGAGGCGAATAATCCTGTCTTTCGGCGTGCAGTCTCGCGACGACGCGGCGCGACCGTCGCGCGTCGCGAGCGCCGCGAAGACGGGCCAACTTCCACCAACGCTCCCCTTCGATTCGAGCGACCTGCCTAAAGCGGCCCTACCTCTAGAGCTCGGGCCCCTTGCCCTTGATCGAGAGGACCTCGATCTCGAAGAAGAGGCCGCCGTTCGGCGGGATGCCCCACGCGGGGAAGCCGCGCGCGCCGTAGCCCTCCGGCGCGGGGATGTCGAGCTTGCGCGTCTCGCCCAGCGCCGCGCCGAGGAGGCCCTGGTCCCAGCCCGTGATGACGCCGCCGACGCCGGCCTGGTACGTGAACGGTTTCTGCCCCGGGTCCTTCGTGCTCCAGAACTTCTTGTCCGTCTCCTGGACGATGCCCGTGGCGTGCACCGTGACCGTGTCGCCCTTGGCGACGAGGGGCGCGCCGTCGGGCGCCGCCGCCACGGTCATCTTCTTCGTCTTCAGCCCGCTGATCTCCGTCCACTGCGCCGCGGCGAGGCTCGCCGCCCACGGCAGGAACGCCACGAACCAGGTGACGCGCATGATGGCTGTGTGCGGCTGTGTGCGGACGACAGCGCGAGGCAGCTCTTGGCGCAGCGAGAGAGCGCTCTCACGAGCACGGACGACGGCGCGAGCAGCTCTCTTGGCAAGCGAGAGAGGTTTTTGACTGCAACACTTCAACAATCAATTCAACCAACGGACCCCTCATGTCATCGGGGGCAAATTTAGTGAGGGAAACGCCCGCGCAAGAACGCAAAGGCACTCGGGTAGGGAAAGAGGGATCAGTAGGAGCCGGCCGGTTTCACGCCCGCGCCGCCGCCCTTCTTCATCATGAAGAACGCGCCGGCGCCCGCCGCGAGCACGACGACGAGGACCACCACGACGATGATGATGACCACGGCGCCGCCGTCGTCGTCGTCGCTCGACTTGGACCCCGCCGGCGTCGACAGCGTCGGCGCCGGGGAGATCGACGGCGCCGCCGTCGGGTTCGGCGTGGGCAGCGGCGTGTCGACGACAATCGCGACCGTCGAGGCGGAGATGGCCGTCGTCGACGCCGTGACGTCGATCGCCGCGGACGCGAAGCCCGTGCTCGCGTCGCCGCCCGTGGCCGCGGCCTCCGCGGTCAGCGTGCTCGAGAAAGAACCGTCCGACACGGACGTCGAGAGCGCGGTCGTCACGTCCGCGAGGATGTCGTCGCCGGCCGTCACCGCGCCCGTGGAGCCCTCGACGGACGCGTACATGTCGAAGTCGACCGTTGCCGACACCGAGAGCAGACGCCGCCGGCGGCGCACGAGGGTCGCCACGGGCTCGCCGATGCACGTCTCGTAGTCCGCCGCGCCGCCGGGGCATATCTCGTCGGACTGGATGATGCTCGCGATCGTCTTCCGGAAGGCGGTCTTCATGTCCGTCTTGGCGTTGAAGTCGTCCGGGTCGAGGCCGTTCATGACGACGGCCGACGCCACGGTCACCGACGTGTCGTACTCCGTCGGCATGGGCGACGGCTTCGGGGACGGCTTGGCCGTCTCGCCGGGCGGCAGGTTGACCGGAGCCGTCGTTGGCCTCGGCGACGGCGCCGGGATCGGCACGCCCGTCGGCGCCGCCGTCGGGTCCGGCTGCTCCTTGTAGACGCAGTGGCCGTCGTAGGACATGCCGCTGATGTAGAGGCCGTCCGTGTAGGTCTTGGCCGCGAGGTACTCGGACCACGTGAACCCGTCCGAGAGCGTGTTCGTGTCGATGTTCAGCGCGGGCAGGCTGCCGGAGATGTGGCCGTCGGGGTTGTAGTAGAAGTTGCCGTAGTTCTGCGCGTAGCCGTAGTCCATCGTGCACCGGCACGCGGTCGGGCTCGGCGACGGCGCGGGCGTCGGCGCGGGCGTGGGGGATGCGGACGGCGCAGGCGTGGGCGCCGGGGTCGGCGTCGCCGAGGGCGCGGGCGTCGGCACCGTCGAGGGCGACGGCGTCGGGGCGATGGTCGGCGAGGCCGTCGGCTCGGGGGAGCCGGACGGCACGGGCGTCGGGTCGCCCGTCGGCACGCCGGACGGCGCCGGCGACGGCGGCGTCGACGGCTGGGACGTCGGCGTCACCGTCGGCATGCTCGTGGGCACCGACGTCGGCACGCCCGTCGGGGTCTCCGAGGGCGCCGCGGACGGCGGCGTCGTCGGCACGGGCGTCGGCACGGGCGACGGGCACGGGGTCACCTTGAAGCGGCAGCACGCGTCGATGTACACGTCGCGCACGTCCAAGTTGCCGGAGTTCTTGATGTTGTCGGCGTCGGACTCGCCGCTGAGCCACGCGAGGCTCGGGCAGATCATGGACGGCGCGGACGTCGGGACCGAGGTCGGCATGCCCGTCGGGCGCGACGTCGGCGCGGACGTCGGCGGGACCGTGGGCAGGGACGAGGGCGGCGCCGTCGGGACCGAGGTCGGCACGGAGGTCGGCGGGAACGACGGGGCGAAGGACGGACTGGACGTCGGCACGCCCGTCGGCACGGACGTCGGCACGCCGGACGGGTGCTCCGTCATGTACGTGGGCTCGGACGTCGGGATGGACGAGGGCTCCGGGGACGGCGGCGTCGTCGGCATGCCCGTCGGCACCGACGTCGGGTTGGACGTGGGCTCGGACGACGGCGTGAACGTCGGGTCCGAGGTCGGGACGCCGGACGGCTCCGGCGTGTCGTAGGTCGGGTTCAGCGACGGCTCCGAGGTCGGGACGCCCGTCGGCGCGGGCGAGGGCTCCGAGGAGGGGCAGCCCGTCGGGAGTGCGGTCGGCACGGCGGTGGGCACGGACGAGGGCTCGGCGGTCGGCGTGGTCGTGGGCGCCGGCGTCGGCACGCCCGTGGGCACGGGCGTTGGCATGGCCGTCGGCGTGTTCGTGGGCGTCGATGTAGGGTTGGACGTCGGCACGGGCGTCGGCATGCCCGTGGGCGGTACCGTGGGGATGGGCGACGGCGGCGTCGTCGGCACGGGCGTCGGGCGGACCGTCGGGATCTCCGTGGGCGCCGGGCTCGGCGGCGTCGTCGGGTGCGGGCTCGGCGGCGTCGACGGCGTGCCCGAGGGCGCGCCCGTGGGCGTGCCGGACGGGAAGGGCGTCAGACTGGGCTTGGGCGTCGGCGCGGGCGTCGGGGTCGCCGTCGGCGCGGGCGTCGTCGGCTGGGGCGTCGGGGGGATCGTAGGCGACGGCGTCGGCGGCGACGTCCACGAGAGGTGGTCGAGCACGTAGGTGCAGCCGCAGATGTCGGTGATGATGGACTTGCAGTCGCCGATGGTCGGGCCGGGCGTCGGGGACGGCGTCGGCGAGACGGTGGGCGACACGGACGGGGACGGCGTCGGCGAGACCGTACGGCGCGGGCGTCGGCGGCGTCGAGGGCGACGGCGTCGGGGCGGGCGTCGGCGTCGCGGACGGCATCGGCGTCGGCGCGGGCGTCGGCGTCGCGGACGGCGCGGGCGTCGGCGGCGTCGAGGGCATCGGCGACGGCGCGGGCGACGGGGCCGGCGAGGGCGCCGGCGTCGGCACCGTCGAGGGCGCGGGCGTCGGCGCGGGCGACGGCGACACCGTGGGACCGTCGGTGGGCTTGAGCGACGGAGACACGGTGGGCGCGACCGTGGGCGAGATCGTGGGCGTGGACGTGGGCAGCGACGTCGGGATCGTCGTCGGGAGCATCGTCGGGATGTTCGTGGGGCCGCTCGTGGGCACGGACGTCGGGACGCCCGTGGGCACGGGCGTCGGGATGTTCGTGGGCGAGCTCGTCGGCGTCGACGTCGGGTCGGTCGTCGGGACGGACGTCGGCATGAAGGTCGGCACGAAGGAGATCGTCGGCAGCGGCGTCGGCGCCGACGTCGGCGTGCTCGAGGGCATCGGCGACGGGACGCCCGTCGGCGTGTGGGAGCAGGCGTTGGCGTCGTAGATGTAGCAGCACGTGGACGCGAGGGAATCGAACTCGAAGCCCAGGGCAGCCCCCGTGTAGACGTCGTCGTAGTTCGTCCCGTAGTCGTCGCACGTATTGTGCTGGTAGGCCGCCGAGAAGGTCGCCGCCTCGGCGGCGCCGACGAGGAGGGCCGCGGCGACGACGAAGGAGGGCATTGTGCACACGCCTTGGACGAGTGGAATGCAGGAGCAGTTTTGCGAGAGGCAGTTTACCCGTCTCCAGGGCAGGAAACGAAGACCGATACGAAAGGAACCACAATCCTGCCCATGAATTAAGTTTGCACTGAAGTCGGGTTCGCTCATAGATTAAGTTTCCAAGTGCCGCAACGATTCTCCGCCATCGGCGACGACGCAAACGGCGACGCGGCGCCGACGACGCCGCCGACGCCGCCGACGACGCCGCCGACGTCGGCGCGACCGCTCCCACGCGCCCGACGTTTAGGAGAAGAGCAGGTCCCCGGAGCGCGCCCGCGTCAACGGCGCGCGCGCGCGGCCGGACGCCGGCGCGCCGCCGCGGCCCCCGGGGAGGCGTCTGCCCCGGGCCGCTTCGTCGGCCTCGCGGCCCGGCGAGGCCCGGGGCGGCCGTCGCTTCCGCGGCTCTTCGACGCGGCGCGCCGGGGCTCCGCGGGTCGACGGCCGCCGCCGGCGTCTCGGCGGCGGCGGCCGCCGTCCATGTACGCGCGCCACGCCTACATGGTCGCCGAGGTCAAGGCCGGCACGGCGTCGGGCACCTTCGTCGACGACAAGAAAGCCGCCTAAGCTGCGGGTAACGTTGCCGACTTGCGCACGTTGCCCAGCAGATCCTTCCGCGCCACGTAGCCAGGTCGTCGCGCTCCGCCTCGAAGCGCGCCGCGGACCGGTCCTGGCCCGCGGCGCGCCAGGCCTTGGCCAGCCCGTCGAGGGCGCACACGGCGACGTCGCCGCCGATGCGCATCGCGGCGCCGGACGAGCCGAAGCGCGCGATCGCGAGCGGTCCGGAGCCCTCGGCCTCGCCGAGGCCGCAGTAGATCTCCGCGGCGGCGCAGGCGTACCAGCGCCGCCAGGCCTCGCAGCCGGCGGTCCCGGCGTCGTCGGACCAGGCCGCCGCGCAGTGCCAGGCGGCGGACCTCGGCCGTCGGCTCGAGCCGGCGCCGCAGGAGCGCGACGGCCTCGTCGAGGGCCGGGTGGCGCCGCGCGGGCGGCTTCGCGACGTCGTCGAGCTAGACGACGAGGTTTAGCTCGCCGAGCGACCCCCCCATCGAGGCAGCCTCACATCGCACTGGTTGCGAGTTGCAGTCGATACTCTGCCATGTTGACGCTCGGCGTGACATCACTTGGTTGACTCCGAGCTGCCTCGCCCAGGTTGGGCACGCGATGCAGCGGTTCCAGGACTTGGCGCGGCGCTCGGTCTGTGGACCATGTCGCGCCTTGGGCCCGGCTGCGAGTCGCTCGGGAAAGACCATCGGTCGATGGGGAGCAACTTAGTTCGCGTCGGGGCAGCCCGTGGACGACGAGAACGGCGGTTATCGGTGGGGGGCGACCGACGAGGGGCTCGCATTAGTGCTGAGGTCCCGTATGTGCGACCAACTTCG